GTGTGCACATAATCACATGCATGGAGGCATGTGCGCACCCACACATTTCCCACACACATTCACGCATGTGCTCTCACAAATGCACATGACCACACAAACGTGCACGTGTGAACACATGTGTGGACTCCTAGGCATGCACAATCACATGCATGCACACACACCTCAGCTGCCCTGCTCTGAGGCCTGACCGTGCCCCCACCGCCATCCGCCCGTGTTCCTGGACCTCCCCGTGGGCGGAAAGCCTCAATGTCACGCCGCCTTTTCCACTCTGGACACGAGACGGCCTGGACAGAGCAGGTGGCCCCCAGGGGCAGGATGGTGCGCTGGACGTGGCTACGGTCACCAGGTGCAGGACAACGGGGGCGCAGCCCCAGGACAGGCTCGGTCAGATCTCTGGCCTCTGATCTGGTACTTCCTCCGGGGACGGACAGCGCCTTGACCTCTTGGCTGTCTAGGGATGTGCCGTGTGGCCCCAGCACCGTGGCCTCCCTTGGACCCTCGCACCTGCTGGTCCCCCATCCTCAGACCTGCCACTGGGCAGCGTGTGTCCTCCGGGCCTTCGGCCACCGCCTTCAGTCCTGCCAGGGACGTGGCCTCTCAACCTTGCAAACTCCCGCACAGGTGTGGTTTCCCCACAGTTGGACCCTTTGCCCTGGCGGCTGGCAGGACCCTGCTCGCTCTGGCCCTGCACCACCACCGGCCACCCCTGCCCCTGGACACACTGGCCCCCACAGCTGCCTATGCCCCCCACACCCGTTCTGGTTCTCAACCACTTCCCCTCTGTCCATTTCCCCCCAGGCTGTTCCCTTGCCACGCACGCTTCCCCAAGAACCCTACCCCACCTTTTCTTTGTCCATGGGTCGCCCCCAGACTGAAGTCCCCTTATCTCACAAGCCCTGGTTGGTGCCCTTTGCCGCCTTGGTCCTCGGTACCAACCGGCTCCTGGTCTGGTCGGAGCTCACAGACCCCGTCCGGCTGGTGGGGGTCCCTTGGCTCCCCTGTTGCCTGGGCAACTTGCTCGCGGATGTGGCACCAACAGCATCCCCCAAAGGGCTGCTGGTCTGCGATGGCAGGAGGCACACACCCCGAAGTGCCCCTGTTCCGTCCGTGCTTCTTGCCTGTGTCTGACAGAGGGACGCTGGCACCCAGAGCTGTGCCAGCACCTGAATAAACGTGACCTCCTTCGGCTCTAGCGTGTGTGTCTGTGGTTCTGGACGTCCCGGGCTTTCCCGGGGGCAGCCTCCTGGCACCTGCCTGAGACGAAGCGTCTCTCCACGAGCCGGGGAGTCGCAGGGCAGGTGGCAGGCGGCTCCGCCCACTCACACGCTGCCTGCGATGACTGGTGTGTTCTCTGCCACGCTGCCTGCCCCTGTGCCCGGACCTCGTGCCTGCGGGCGGCGTGAGCACGTCCATTGCCCGTGGAGTCGCCGCTTACACACAAACCCCTGTGGTCACCACGAGGGCACGGCCGCAGGCCCTCCTGCTCCAGGGGCCTCGGGAGGCCCCGATGCATCTGGGCAGGGAAGTGCCCGCGAGGGGGACGCGGCAGGGGCGGGGCGCTGTCCAGTCGGGCGGAAGCCTGGTGCTCAGTGCGCGGTGCCCACCTTGCCACAGACGAGGAGGTGGGCACAGGCTACCGAGGAGAATGTCCGAGAAGAGGAGGCCCCGGGCCTTGCAGGTTCATGTCCAAGTCCGTCGGCGCGGCCTGTGGGGCAGGGGCTGCTGGTGCTCAGCCGCCCCCGTCTTGGCCTCGCCGGGGCTGCCCCTTTTCTCAGACACCTCTCTGTGTGACATCACACGCGACCTCTGCTCCCTCCCTGGTGCGGAGCCTCGGCCCATGCGGGACCGGCGGGGCGAACAGCGGGGTCCCGTCCTCTGCGGTGAGGGCGCTGCTCCCTGTGGGGGCGCGGCCCCTCCCGTGTGGCTCCGTGAGCAGAGGTGGTGCCTGACCCAGACCTCGAGAAACTCGAGGTCTTTTTTTTTATTTTTTAAAAGATTTTATTTATTTATCTTTAGAGGGGAAGGGAAGGAGAGAGGGAGAGAAATATCAGTGTATAGCTGCCTCTCGTGCGTCCCCTGCTGGGAACTGGCCTAAAACCCAGGCACGGGCCCTGACTGGGAATCGAACCGTGATCCTCTGGTTCGCAGGTCGGCGCTCAACCCACTGAGCTACACCAGCCAGGTCAAGGTCTTTTTAAAGGAAACCTGGGTTCTGGCAGACCCATCCCAGTGCACTGGGTGACGGTCACCCGGGGCAGAGCTGGCGGGCCAGGCTGTCCCCTCCCCCATCACGGCCACAGGACCACCGGGCTCCATGTGGCCTCTGCCCTGTCTAGCCACGAGGTCATGGCCAGAGCTGGGATGAGATCCCGTGGGAGTGGGGGGCGGCGTGCAGGGCCGTGTGGGGGTGGGGGCCCCGCCCGAGGCCCCAGCCGGGGGCCTGCGACCGCTTTCTTTTTCTGTTCTTGTCTCCCCTTTCCCTCCAAGGCAGCTTTCCTCATTATTACCGACGTGTTGACTTTGAGCAGCAATCCTGGGCACCCTGTGCAGACGGACACGAGACACAAACCTGGTTTCCTCTCGCAGCAGAAGTTAAAAATTATTCAGCACGGAATTCCTGGGCCGTGCTGCGGAAGCCCTCGTACCAGGCGAAGGGTTCCACCGCCTTCCCGGCTGGCCAGGCCCAGAACGCCGCCTGGGGGCCTCCCGGCCGTGGCTGCCGCCGCACCGTCTCCCCGGGAACAGGTAGGACTGAGGCCGCCGGGAAGCCTCGGGAGGAGTTTGTATTGTGGGGACTGTGGGTGCCTCCACCCCCCACTTCTGAAGCTTTTCTGTCCAAGCTGCGGTCTAACCCGCCCTTGTCTGCCCCGGGCCGGAGCTCTGACGCCACTGGGGCGTCGGGCCCCAGCAGGAAGCTCAGGGCTCGGCCGGTCAGGCCCCGGCGTCCCTTGAGGGGAGTCACCAAAGCCGAGGCTCTGCTCTCTGTTGGGGGCAGAGCAGTGGCTGTGCCCTTGGCGCACAGTTGGGGGTGTTTGAAACGGCTGGGAAAGCTGGGCTGGGCAGGCCGGCCGGCTGGCCGCTGGAGGTCCCACGGCTTGTGGCCGCCGGACATTCAGCCCCATGTGTCTGCACAGAAGGCACGAGGGGACCCACGGTTCCTGGAGAAGTTGGGGACTTGGCCCTCGGTGGCGTGTTCAGGCGTTTTTGAGCTTTCTGTCGGAAGGGCCATTGCGTAGGCCCTAAATTGCTCCCCGCCTGTAACTGTGACCCAGCAGGGTGGGAGGGCACAGCCAGCCCAGGCCCAGGAAGAAGGGGACAGGCTCTGGCCAGCGGCCTTGGTTTACGTTTCCTGGACACGGCGATGCCAGGAAACTCCTGCCAGGAAATGTGTTCTGTGTAGCAAGACGCAGGTGTGCCATGGACGCCCTGTGAGTGTGCGAGAGAGTCTCCCTGCTTCCGTCCCCAAGGCTGGAATTGGATCCTGCCCAGACCCAGGCGCCTGGGGTGTCACGGGGGTGTGGGGCACAAAGGAACAAGACGGGGGCCCGAGACCCTGGGCGCATGATCTGAAGGGGCCACCGGGGTGTATCGCTGTGGAGACCTGCCGGGCCGGGAGGGTGGACCTGGGTGGGGGTGGGGTCCCACGGTGGGCGGTCCCAGGAACACAGATGTTGTCACAGCAGGAGGAGCAGGTGGGGACGGTGACAAGGTCAGGAGAGGTGAACGATGACCTGCCCTGGACGACCAGGGAACAGACATTCATGGCCCAGCGCTGGCTGACCTTTGACTGCGGGTCACCCTGAGGCGACTGAAGTGACCCCGGGGCCTGAGAGGATGAAGCCCACACCCAGGAACTTTTAACTTCACACTCAGTCCGTTACTCCTGTGTGTGGTTTCAGACCCAGGCGTCTCCAGGACGGACGGCCTCCCGCCTGGGCAGCTCCCACCTACCCCAAGCCCCCCCCCCCACCCCCGGTCTGTGCGGACAACCCTTGTGCTGTTGGCCAAACTCACGGCACCGTGACGCCCAAGAGCGACTTCCTACGTGTCTGAGTCAGGGGTCACCGGGTGCCCCTGAGGACGTGGCAGGCATGCACTTCCTCAGACGCGCGTGGGCCCCCGTGTCCCCACAGGGTTGCACGGTGACCCCCACTGGCTCCGTGTGCGAGATCACAGCCGGCTGGTGGCGTGCTGCAGTGTGTTTTCCCCGGAGGTGATGATCCGCTTTCTATCTTCTCTGAGCTCATAACTGAATCATCCCCAGACTCACCAGCGGCACAGCCTGAAAGACAGGGGGTGCCTGGGGGCTCCCCACAGGAGCCTGCACCTCCCTGACCCTGGGGGATGCACAGGGCCGGACCCCAGACCATCCTGGACTTCTCCCTGAAGCTCCCCTTTCCGCCTCCCCAGACCCATCCTTCCTCTTCCTCAGCTTCCTCTTCTTCTTAGGGAGCATGTTCTCTGCAGCTTCCAGAGAAAGGGCAGGGGGCAGACCTGTGGCCTTAAAGCCCCCCCTTCGCTCTCCCCGAGGGGCCAGCGTGGGCTGCAGAGGCCGCCTGGCCGTCACGCTCCCGCGAATCCTGAGCCTCGTCCCAGCGTCTCCCAGTCCCCAAGGCTGTGGGTCCTGCAAGGTCACTCTCACCTCTGTTCTCTGGCATGCTCGCTTTTCTTCTGGAAGTTTCTGGGGCCTTCTTTTTGTGCCGTGTTCTGACCGTTCATGAAAACGACCTGTGTGTGGGTCACTCACATCCCCTTTGCTAGGCTCCCAGTGGCTTTTTCAGTCCGGACCTTCCTGCCCTTGAGTTCCAGGACGTTTTCTCGCTTATTAAGTTTTGCGTCCCCTCCCCTCTGTTCCCTCCGTCTGCAGTCAATCGAGGTCTTTGACCTCAGACCAGCCTCTCACGACCTTTCCTGCTTCCTTTTCCCGGTCCTTCAATTTGCTCCCAAGGAGGGGTCTCGACTCTGGCTCCCACCTCTTCTTCCACAGAGCTTGTCACTCCAGCTGCCACTGGCATTTCCAAGTCACTTCCGTTCTCTGAATATTTATTTCTCGACTTTGTCTGGGGTCACAATATTTTTTCTTACCTCTTTGAGAACACTAATAATAAGGTGTTTAAAAAACTTTCCTCCTCGCACAGTCTAGAAAAGCACAGTAATTTTATATTTTACACATATGTACATATCACATATATTTTATATGTATATATAGAATTCCATGTTTCCTTGCAGTCACATCTGCTGCCTCAAAGTCAAAACTTCCGTGTAGAAAACGATTCCATGAGCCCAGTCTGCAGAAAAAGCGCCGAACTGAGAAAATGTGTTGGCGCAGGTGACGAGGACTTAGAGTCCATTTGTGTCAAGAGCAGACAGGGACCTGCGCGTACGGTGGGTGAGGGCTGCTGTGGGCAGAGTCCCTGTTTCTCGGGAAGCAGCGGTCACAGACGGAGGGACGGTCCCCGAGTGGGTGCCCGGAGGCGGGCCTCCCGGGGGACGGCCCAGGCTGAGGGGGTGCAGGGTGGGGCCAGGGGAGCGGGCGGAGCTGCCCTTCCGTACCTCCAGGGTGGCCACCCCCAGGGGCAGCTGGGGGCCCTGGACGGCAGGCTGTGTGTCTGCCAGGGGCCTGGTGGCACCTGGCCCCCCTGGAGGGGAGGCGGCACTGGGGACGTGCCTCGGTGGCAGAATGGAGCAGCAGAGGCTCTGATGGGCCAGGGCCCTCGGGGAAGGTGGGCCGCTCCCATCGGCCGGAGTCAGAAACTTCTGGAACGCAGACCCCTGGGTCCCTTGTTTCCATGAGGGGCTCGCAGGCGAAAGGCCAGAGAGGGTGACACGGGGGCTGTCACCGGCACAACAGGAATTTCTTTCCTCCGGCTCCTGGGGGCTGGACGTTTGAGACCCCAAGAGCCGGGTGTGGGCAGTGCCGGCCTCTCCGAGGCCCCTCCCCGAGGCCTTCTCCCCTGGAGTCTGGGCGCAGCCCCCCTGTTCCCAGGAGGACAGTCGGACTGGGCGAGGCCCCGCTCGCCGGCCTCGTTTGAACCTGGTTGCCTTTTCAAGGCTCTATCACGAATGAGGTACTGCATCAGGGCGTCACTTAGGAGTTTTGGGGACGAAGTTTATGCCTCATGGGGTGTTAGGCCGTTGAGAAGTGGCAGGTCCCTCCGACATGCCATTCCCGAGGAACCACCAGCGAAAACCCGCGGTTAGGAGACTCTGCACCGCGGACCCTCGGGCGCCGTCGTCTGAGCTGCAGTCCACCCACCGACAGACATTTTCCTCCATGAACACAGCCGGCCCCGTGCGTCTGCGGGTCTCGCGTCTGCGATGTGACCAGCCGCACAGCCAGCGCGGTGTCGTGGGCCTGCCGTCGTGAATCCGGGGTGTGAATTGGAAAATGCTGTTCCTGACCCGCAGTCGGTTGAGTCCATTGCGGAGGGAGACGGACCAGTGCCTGGGGCCTCAGATGCAGGGACGCTGCCCAGGGAGAAAAAGGACTCGGTGTCTCTGGGTGGCCAGGTGGCCGCGTCACTCAGCAGGGTCTGTGCACCCGTATTTGTAGGAAGGAAAACTGAGCCGAAATGCCTCTTACAGAAGAAGCACCCAGAAGACGCACACGGTCCAACAGGGTGATGAGGGGGGGCCCTGGTCTGGCCTCGGGGCCCCAGTGAACAGCCTGGGCCTGGACTCCTTCCCATGTGGGGTCAGTGTGGGCGGAGTCGGCCCGCGGCGCCGCTGGGAGCTAGGGCACACGGTGGCCCTCACCCCCGCCAGGCCCCACGGACCCAGGCGCCCAGCGTGGGGGAGGTTCGCTCTGGACTCCTGTGGTTCCCAGGCCAGTGGGAGGCAGCCAGCAGCCAGTCTCGAGTTTAATGTTTCACTTCCTCCCCTCATGGTTAACCCCCCGCACCTTTCCCTCTGGCGGAAACGGCACTGCCAGGGACAGAGCGGGGACCTCTTCCCTCCCACCTGCACAAGGTGCGTCGGGCCAGCACGGGTTCTCCAGGGACCTCCATGGTGTCTGTCTATCCACGAGATGGTTTGGCGCAGGCCAGATCCGGGTTCCCTCGCAGGTCTGTTTGACAAGCACCGAGCTTTCTGGGGCTTGGCCAGGTGGGCAGCTGGTCTGGGGAGGGGAACTGCGCCAGAATGTGGATCCTGAGCTCCGTTTTCCTGAAAAAAGTTGTTTAAAAAATGATTTGATTCACGTGGACATCTTTGCTGGCGCGTGTGAGAAATCAGTGGTCAGGAAGACCTGGGAGGTCTCTCTCCCTCCTGAGAAACAAGCCCACAGTGGACAGCATGGTGGGATTCGAGTGCCCGCCTCTCCCTCTGCTTCCGGGGCCCCAGCGTGGCTGTGCCCCCACAGGACCCCCCGGCCTTCTGCGCCCCCATCCCACAGCAAGCCCCAGCACAGGGGGCACTTCCTCTCCACGAAAGCCTTTCTTCCTTCCTGTCCACACCCGTGCCGCCCCCCGGAGGTCACCGTGTAGGGCCTGGCAGGCAGGACGGGTCTGGAAGGAAGGCAGGTCTCTCACACTTTGGCCAACACGCTGGACCACGTGAGGGGTCCAGAGCCTTCCGCGTCCTCACGTGTCCTGTGTGGGCCGTGAACTGTCATCGGAAGCACATCTGTCTTCCGTCAGAAAGGGGGGCTTTGGGTGTGCGTCGCTGTGGCCCGCAGCCCCCAGGGTGATGGTTGGCACCCCGGCCTGGAGGAGGGGCCTGCGATGCCCCCTTGAAGCTCGGGCAGGAGTGGGGTAGGAGCCCGAGGGGCACGCCTCTTCCAGGAAAAGGGCGGGTGTCCACATTGCAGCCCACGTCCACAGCACCCTCCCCACCCAGCCGGGTGCCCTGGGGAGGGCAAGCTGATGGGGGCAGGGCAGAACTCTGAGACACGTGGGTGGTGGCCTCAGAAGGCTGGGGCTGAGCAGAGGCCTGGCCAAACACGAGTATTTGGGGGACTGTGACTGGAGGACCGTGGGGGCCCCTTGCCCTGGGGAGGAGGTGCTGGGTCCATCCTGGGTGGGTGGGCTGGGCTGGCAGGTGGAGGGCCGCTGTGGCCACCGGGAGCAGGGCCGCAGCCCAGGAGAGGGGCTGGCGCGGGCAGCAGCTCGGGGAGCAGAGCGAGGCCTCCTGCTCCCTGGGCAACACCCTGAAACATCCCGGCAGGTGGGATCCAGACACGGGGCCTTACGCTTCTCCGGTGGGAGCAGCCCCTGCCTCGTGCTGCAGGTGTTGAGGGGGTGTCCCTGCTGGTGCAAAGGGGCAGACCGGAGGGCGGGTCTTCCTGGTGGGACTCCAGCAACCTCACTTTGCTCCGGCTAATTCGAGCGCAGGTGCGGGTGTGCAAACAAAGGTGGGGCGAGGCAGGCTTAACCCTTTCGCCCCATCCCGGGAGGGGGCAGGAAGCTGGAACCCTGACCAGGTGGCCCGCTCGCCCTGGGCACCAGGCCACAGGGCTCTGCGGCTCTGGCGGGGTGGCAGCCCGGTCCTTCTGAGCACGCACACCTGCTCCCACCCCCAGCCGAGCACCTGTCCACCACCCCAGCCCCGCCCCTTCCTCGATTCCCCAGCTAACAATGCTGGCCGGCAGGGGCTCTGTGGAGGCCTCACCCCGCCAGGGAGGGTGAGGAGGGTGCGGTGGGTGCGGTGGGTGGGGAACCCAGCTTTGCATAAGGAAACTCGAAACTCCACCAGGTGCACAGGAGACAAAGGTGCTGAGGGAGGTGGCTTGGAGGGGCGGGGCTGTCCTGCGTGGGAGGGGGGATGGGCGGGGGGGGCTCCATCCCCACCCCCTCTGCCTCTCTCCCCTGCACCTGTGAATGCAGGGGCGAGGGAGCAGGGCGGGCTCCATCTGGGGGCTTCTCGTCCTGAGCCCAAAGTGATCCTCAGAGAGGGCCCTCTGAAAAGGGCGGAGGCTGGAAAGGAAAGGGGCTTGGCTGCCCCCCCCCACCGCTTCCCCCATCCTCCCCCCTCACCGTCAGGGTCTCCCCAGCGTCCAGAGCTGTGGGTCCTTCTGGGGCCTCTGCCACCTGCTGCGCACAGGTGCTCGTGGGGCTTGGGGCAGAGAGGGCCCTCCCACCCCCACCTGGTGGCACAGCCCCTGGGCCGGGTTCAAATGTCCTGAGCCTGGGGAAGGGGTCAGGTCTTCCGTCACAGGCGTCGGCGGGGACAGGCAGCCACCTGAAGCACCCCAGTGAGGGGAGGCTCAGGAACTCTGCCAGGGCTCTCCTGAGGTCCCCCGACCCTCTCAGGCCCAGCCTGGAGAGGGGCCAGGGCCCGGACCCGACTCCCCGAGGTCCAGGCCCTCAGCCAGTCCCTTCCTGTGGCCCTCCCTGGGCCCCTCACACTCCGCAGGCTCAGCCCCTGCATGGTGCCTGCGTGCACGCTCTCAGGTGCCCTTGGGGAGGGACAGCCTGCAGGGCTCGGCCCCAACCTGGGCTCCCGGATGTGGGCACCTCCGGCCTTCCGCCTGCTGCTCTCTGTGGGCCCTGCGAGGAGAGGGCGGGCCTGAGCAAAGGAGCAAAGGCAGTGAACCCGCCTTCCTGGGCCTCACCGGGACTGGGGCTGTCCTGACCTGCCCTCAACCCCGGCTCCACCAGCTGCCAGCCACCAGCTCCCGCTGTCTCCCACCTTCCCCAGGAACGGGCGGGTGCAGCCGGGTCTCCCCTGCCCCAGGCCGACTCCAGCAGGAAGTCCTCGCTGACTACCCTCCAGAGCCTTCCGCACCCTCTGGGCTGGTGGGCAGGGACCCCTGAGGGGCAGAGGAAGCTGGGAAGGGCAGGGAGGGGCTCCGTGGGCCCCGCAGACCTGCAGCAGCCCTGGCCACAGCTGTGTGCGCCGAGGGCGGCCCCTCCCGAGAGACAGCCCCTCACCTGTGGGCCAGCCCGTGCCTCCCGCCTGTGGAGTGCAGTGAATTTTCCAGAAAGCTGGGTTTGAACTTGCACAATTTAAAGAAGCCTCCCTTCCCGGGGCTCACATCGTCCCACTGATTGCAGCCAAAACGCTGTTTGCGTTGTAGGTGACACAGGTGACAGAGGTGACGGTTGGGAGGCCTTGAGGTTCTGAAAAACCCTCTGTCAGGCAAAGGCATCCAGAGTGCGAGCCGGCGCGCCGGGCCTGCAGGGCTGTGGCCGGACTTTCGGCGCCTGGGTCTCTGGACAACGCCCCCCCGGGGGGTCAAGGGGCAGCCCTGTGGGTCGGGAGCCCGCTCACTGCCCCCTGGTCTCACGGGTGTCTCGGGTCAGCCAGGGCGGTGGTCACGGACAGGGGGCCGGATGCCCCGGGGCTGCTCCGGAGTTCAGCAGGGCACCCCGAGTCCCAGGGCTCAGGGCAGCCCTCGAGCTGGTGGGGCCTGAGGCGGCAGGAGCTGCTTAGAGCTGGGGTGCTCTGCACTGAGAAGGGGCTGGGCCCCGTGGCTGGTCATCAGAAGCAGGAGCGGCCAAGCCCCTGGCTGCCCGCTGCTTTGTTATAGAAAAGACAAAAGGCAGAGGGGAGGGGCAGAGAGGGAAACAGTCTCCGAGAGGGGGGTCGGGCCGGAAGGGGCTGGTGTCCTCGGCACCCCGGGCCCTGCGTGGAGGCTGCGGTGCCCTCTGCCCGTCTGCGTCCAGGGGTCTGTGGAAGGAGGGCCACGTCTCACCCCTTGGGCGGGCCTGCAGCTGTGCTTGGGCAGGGACCCCCCTAGTGAGACAGACGTGCTGCCCCCAGGACCCCTGCCTGGGAGCACAGCCTGGGAGTGAGCTGTGCCCCCTGGGAGCAGGGGGCGGGCTGGGGAGCTCGCAGGGAGGCGGCCCCTGACGACTTAGTCTAGCACCCACGGGCGGAGCCCAGGCCCCGGTCCAGGGGCTCCCAGCAGCCGGGGTAACAGCACAAACAGCACAAGAGCGAATGGGTGGGAGGTGACCCAGAGGATCCCACCCAACTCAGGGCGGTGTGGGCACTGGCCGAAATGGGACCACAGATGAGCTCAGGAGCCTCTAGTTTGGGGTATGAAGGCCCCTGCACCCCAGTGGGAGGCAGGGGCCCTGAGGTGCTGCCTGGGGTCACACTCCCAGACGCCGATGTCAAGGCGAGAAGAGGCGGCCCTGCCCAAGGCACAGCTGTGGGTGCCAGGACAGCTGTGCTCTACCCCCAGATTCAGGGGCCACCCAGCTCACCTTCACGTCTGGCTGGACAGGACGTCTGCCCACACTGTCATCAAAGCCGCCCTGGGACTCCCCCTCCGACAGTCCCCACTGCCCTCCTTGAAGGCCCCAGGGGTTGGGGACTCCAGGCTCAGAGCTGTGCACAGGTCCTTCAGAGGGACCTGCCCCTCCCAGCGCCTGTGGGTGCCCCTCCTCCCTGAACCCACCCCTGCCTCCTCCGACTCCCACCCTCAAAATCCTGCTTCCAGAACGGCTCTCCCAGCCTGCCGCCCCAGGAACTGTCTGCCTCGCAGGCCCTCCCGCACCCTCTCCCCCTCATTGCACCCACCGGGGCCCCTTCACGGGCCCCCGCCCCCTGAATCCCCCCACGGCTGCCCCTTGGACAGGACCCAGCAGGACACTCCTTGTTTGGTGGACTCCGCCCCTCCCTTCCTGTGGAGGTCGTCCCTGGTCCCCAGGGGTCCCCCCCACAAATGCAGGAACTGCCCTTAGCCTCCTCTCTTACACTGTGGTCAGGTCGAGCCATGGGGGGGGGGGGCTGCCATGCTCCCAGCCAAGGGCAGCCTCCTGGAGGCCTCCGGCTCCCACAGGGTCCGCCTGCCACCCCCGTGCCGGCCCCGCAGCCCCCCAACTCTCCAGCCGCTGCCCTGCTGGGCCTCCCCAACTGCCCACTGCCTCCCTCCTCCCTCCAGAGCCCACAGCCTGGCTCCTCCCTCCTGCTGCTTGGCTGGTTAAGGTCACAGTGACCTCAGGCTCCGTCCTGGCCTCCTACTGGCCTGGCCTCTGTGTCACCTCCTCCTTCCTGTCCCCCCCCCCCCCACGGGAGCCAGCTCTGCCGAGGAATGTTGCAGGCCCCTCCGCAGTGCTCTCCCTTCTCCGAATACTCCTGGCCCACCCGGCCCACCCAGCGATGCTAGATCCTGGGAGGAAGCCCCTACAGGCCAGGAGCATGTGGGTGCCTGCTCTCAGGCACGTGACAGCAGTGGCTCCTGTGCCCCCAGACCCCCAACGCCACCCCAGCTTCAGTTTTATGCGAAGTCTCACCCACCAGCGGTGGGGGGGGGTAGTCTCAGCAAAGTCTTGATCCTTCTTAACAGGCCTCTCAGCCTCTTTTTAAAAACACCAGCTGATCCATTGCGTGTAACCGCGGTCCGTACTTCGAGGACCCGGCTTTGGTGCCCCTCACAGGTGCCCAGTGAGGGTGACCAGGCTGCTGGACTCAGGCACCTGTCAGTCAGCTCGGAAACCCGGGAGTCTCACAGGTGCTGGTGCTCTGGTCAGTGGCTGACCCCTCGGGCTGGGGCTGGGTGGCCTTGCAGACCGTCTGGCCCCTGTGCTGAAGGCCCCTGCTCCGTCCCCGCTGATGTCTGGCCAGCAGGTCAGTCACCGTTGCCCAAAGCTTCAACCCCAGTTTCCCCCCCACACCTGACGGGCCCACTCTGCTGACCTGTACGCAGTCACGGCTCCTCGGGCACCCCAGCCCCCGATGCGTCCAAGGCTGGGGTGGCGGCGGAATGGCCCAGCTGCTGTGAAGCCTCGCTGCCAGGGCGCCCTGCAGTCCTTGACCTCTGCCCCCACCTCCTTGTCTGCCTGCAGCCCCTGACCTTGGCCCTGGGGGTGCTTCTCATTCCTTTCTCCTTGCCCAGCCCTCTGCTGCCCTCTGTGGTGGTCCAGGCCCGGATGGTGCCCATCCTCGGACCAAAAGGGCAGGGCGTGGGCAGGGCTCCCACGGTCAGCAGCACAGGTGCGGGGAGCGTGGGGTCTGTGGCCATGGAGACAGAGGCAGGAGGTGGTTTTGGAGTAGGGGTGGGGACCTGGTGGCTGTCCCGGGGGGTGGGGCAGGAGACAAGTTCTGAAACCAGACGCAGATGACTTGTGCGGCCCAGGGACACACCAGGTGCCCCGAATTGTTCCCTTTAAAACGGTTAACTTTGTGTTCCGTGCATTCACCTCAAGTTTCAAAAACCCCTGCAAAACACGCTCCCAGGTGCCGTGGGCCGCCGGGCGCTTCCTCGGCCGCCTCCCCTCGGCCCTCCCCCCGAACTCCCTCGGGTGCTGCTGGAAAACAAGTGCTCTGTGTCAGGCGAGCAGCCCCTGCACAGTTACGCCCCAGTGAGTGGAAAAAGGAGACGGTAATTTTCTCTAGCCCCATCCCCCGAGGCGGCTCCAGGCATCTTGGAGGCTCTTTCCTGCCTTCGGAGACCAATTACCCAGGTGGCGGGGACAGGCAGGGCCCAGCGGCCTCATTAACTTGCCGCCTCGGTGGGAGGAGGCTCGGAGAGGCAGCTGGTCCCGGGCCCGGACAGCTCAGCCACCCGGGGACCTCCAGGTGCAGCAGGAGCCGGGCCAGCCCCGGGCCCCAGGCGGGCGCGGGCCTCTCCTGGGCGGGCGCGCCCAGCACGAGGGGCTGCGGTCTCCTCCCTGCAGTGGCAACAGCCCAGCTGATGCCTGGGTCCTGGCGCCCGGGTTGCATCAGGCAGACGGCCTCCCGGGGGTTTCCCGAAGCACCTGTGCCCGAGGCGCCCGCCCCACTCAGCGGCCCCCAGCGCCAGGCCAGAGCTGCCTCCCTGCCTGGGAAATGAGGGCTTCTGGAAGGTTCCACACATCCATCCTCTCTCTGTAAGACCACTCGGGCTGAGTGGGGCAGGAGGCCAAACTGGAGGCTGGTTCTAGAACGATTCCCTAAAGGGGCCACTGACCCCCAGAGGCCCCTCGAAGCCCCTGTGGCAGGTGCCAGGGTGGGTCCACTGCCCACCCTCCACGGAAGCGGAGAGCCCTGCCTCGGCCCCTCGCTCCCCAGGCCCCTGAGCTCCAGCTCCGACCTCCCGAGGCGCTTCCTCTCTGTGCCCCTCGTGGCCTGAGGTTCAAGAGCATGGCGTCTGCCCACTGCCCTCAGACAGGCAGCCCTGGGCAGAGCTCCCCGCGGGTCCAGGACCCTCCCCACTCACAGCGCTGCTCCCCAGAGGGCGCCCAGCCGGTCGGAAGCTCCCTGACCCACAGCAGCCCCGTGCTCTCCCCCCTCCCCGGAGGTCACCCCCAGCCTGACCCCGCAGCCTTTCCAGGACCACCCCCCTCTCCAGGCCAGGACGGACCCTGTGCATCCAGTCCCTCCCTGGCTGGAGCCCCAAAGAGACTACACAGGACAGGCCCCTGCAGGGACCACAGGGCAGAAATCACCAAGGGCCACACAGGACCGGAGGGGGGTCCCCTGGTGGGGCCCCAGAGAAGGGCTGGAGCAGGGGCTGCACCATCCAGAGTGACCTCCTTGGTGACCTCACGTGACCTCACTGACCTCATCTGACCTCCTCTCTGACCTCCTCCCTCTCCTCCTCCAAGGAGGATTTCCTGATCCAGCACTTCTGCCAGCCCCGGGGCACTGGGGGCTCCTGGGCCTGCAGCTTGATGGGGGGTGAGGGGCGCTCCAGGAGGTTGGGGTTAACCAGTGGGAAACTGTCCAGAAAGAAGGCAGTTTGTCCAACCGCTGGGGAAGCCCTAGAAGGTGTGGCTGGGGCAGGGGCAAGGCCAGGTGAAGGCCTCTGCCCTCTCCTGCCACCGCTGGGCCCACCCAGGATGGTGGGCAAGGCTTGGGCCAGCTAGGTTTTGTTGGACGAAGGGCAGGTGGGAGCCTGCCGGCTGCCAGTGTCACTGCAGGGGCTCTGGGAGGCTGGAGGGGGCTCCGACCCAGGCTGTGGACACAGAGGGCGGGTCAGGGCTCCGAGGGGAGAGTCCACAAAGCAGAGTGGCCACTGCAGCTGAGGGGCACAGCGGGGGAGCCCAGCTGGCCCTCAGAGCCCTGGCAGCACCTGCCCCTCCCGGGGCTTGGCTTCCGCTCGGAGCCGGCAGGTAGGCCTTTCCCCAGGAGACCAGGCCCCCCACACCTGCCCCAGGCTGTCTGGGGGCGGGGGCACCATCCCTGGGCGCCCCCCTTCTGCCCTGAATCTGAGAACATTCACTCAAGGCAGATGCTAACGCACCGAAGGGCTGATTTGGGACGCAAATCCCAACAGCTGCCGCTGGGCCCTCGGGGTGGTGTCTGCAGGCTCAGCCGCCCCAGGAGCCCCGGTCACGCCTGCCGGTAGTGTCGCTGGACGAGGCGCTGGGGGGGACACGCGTGTGCCCCTGTGAGGGGACTGCCGGAGCCTGGGCTGCCCCGCCTGCAGGAGAGGGTCAGCACAGGGCCCCGATTAAAAGTCCTCATGTTGGACGTTTTGCTGTCATTTGGCCTCCACACGGGCGAGCTGGCAGCAGCGTTCCTGCTGTGGGGTCCCGAACCCGCTGGCCCTCCCCTGGCCCTGCAACACTGACCCCCAAGCGCTGGCCTGGGGGTGCTGTGCAGGGAGCTGAGGGAGGGCGGGAGGAGGGGGGCGGAGACACAGGTCTGGGAGGGGCGGTGCTTCTGGGAAAGGGAGGGCAGACGGCAGGTCCCCTCAGGCCTCATGACTCAGGCCAGAGGGGTCTGAGAAATGGGCGCGGTGGGGAGCGAGCCGGCGTCCTGCCCCCAAACTGGGATCTGTCTGGTGAGCAGGGGAGTCAGGCCCTGCCCTCGGCCCGTGGGGTTCGAAGTCCTAGAGCTGAGGGCTCAGTTTAAGAAACATGCAAACTAAAAAATGGAAAATTGGGATGAAGTGTGATTTTTATTTGGAACCTGAAAAGAAATAGAAATAAATGGCTAATTTTTGAAAGCTGACAAATACCACACACATCGTAAAATCCAAACAATAACCCATATTCTTTTTTTAAAAAAACACTTTATTTATTCATTTATTTTTAGAGAGAGGGGAAGAGAGGGAGAGAAACTGCCTTCCCTGCAGTCTGACTGGGGTTGAAACCTGCAGCCCAGGCGCGTGCCCTGGCCAGGAACCGAATAGGCGACCTTCCGCTTTGCGGGCTGATGCCCAGCCCACTGAGCCACACGCACCAGGGTATAACCTGTATTCTTTATGAATGAAAAGCACGTCCTGGGCAGGTTGGCCTGCCCGTGCTAGGAACAGGCAGCGAAGAACTGACGGGCGGGGCCCCTCAGGGTGCTGAGACCGTGGGAGCCGGTGCTCACTGGGGAAGATGGGACGGAGGGGGCGCCGAGGGTGCCCACGCAGCCCTGGGCGGGTGCCGGGTGTGAGCACGTGGACGGTCCTCCTTCCGGAGGAGAGACGTGGCTGTGCAGGTGTGGAGCTCCGCCCACCAGCGACCCCCCGGGTCGCGGCTTCTCAATTCATCGTCCACTGAGAGGAGTTGGGGCTGATGGGGAAAACCTCGCTAGGGGACGGGCAGGGTGAACTGGGGGAGCACCTTTCATCCAGGAAGTGTGGGGACACGGAAGGAGGCTGGAGAGGTGCGAGCCACAGGGCCGGCCTGGAGACCCCCACGACCCCCACGTCAGACCTGCAAACAGACCCTGGCAGTGAACAGAACAGGAACGCAGGTGTGACCTCTGGGAGGTGTGAGGCCAGGCGTGGGGAGAGGAAGTGACCTTTCCTGGCCCGTGAGGCAGGGACCGCCACTTGACGGCTACCAGCCTGAAAACAAGTGCCACTCCCGTGGCTTTGCAGCTGGGACCACACAGCCGGAGCACAGGAGGGAAAACTGGGCCCCTGGGGAGGGGCTCTGTGTGGGAGGCTGGAACCGGCAAAGGGGTCAGAGGCCGGGCAGTCAGAGCCAGGCCCGGGGGCGTCCCGGAGACACCAGGTCCGGGCAGCTGTGGTCCCGGCTGGATGTCTGCAGCAAAGGAAGGTGCTGGGACAACTGGCCGGCGGGTCTGGGGCCAGACCGGCGGCCATGGGGGTGGGCAACAGGGATGCCAGTGCTGCGTGTTGCTTTGGAGGGGGGATGTCATTGTTCGCAGGACAAACACACAAGAGTGGAGGGTGAGGGACGTCCAGCCAGCGGCTCACTCCCAAGTGTCCTAGAAGTCAGACCCAGGCCTCAGCTGCTGTCCACCCGCTGTCCACCCATCAGAGTCCAGCACGGACTCTCTGGGAAAGGCCTGCAGCCCCGGGCTCTGGGCGGGCCCTCTGAGGCCCCTATTTCCAGCCATTTAGCCCAACTCCATTGCTCTCTGCCCAGGTACCCGTGTCCCCCTGCGGGGTCTCAGGCCAGACCTCCAGGTCTAACTGCCACCCCACAGGTTCACCATCACTGCAACCCCAAAACCATCCTCTTCAGCACAGAGCCCCGACTCCCAGCCCCCCCTTCTACCCGGAGCTTCCTGCCTTCCCTGCAGCACCTGAAACATGGGGGGCCCCTGCCCTTCAGGCCGTGCTCCTGGGGAGGGGCTGGAGGCCAGGGAAACCTCCCTTTCTGAGTGCTGGGTTTGGGGTACACCCGTGAAGAGAGTTCTCAGGGTCACAGTAACACTGGGAAACCCAGCTTTGGCTGTGGGAGTCCCCTCCGCAGGCGGTGGCTGCGTCCTGCCGGCCCTGCCGTTTGTGTGGTGAACAAAGGTGCCCAGGTTGCCGTCCCAGCATCTGCCAGAACCGCCCCGCCCCTGGGCTCTCTGTTTTCTCCCGAGTCACCGGAACGGGCCCCACCTAAGAGGGCCAGACCCAAGGCCAGGCTGGGCAGGTGTGGGCCCTGCAGGGCAAGAGAGGCGGGGGCAGGAGGGGGTCAGACTTTCAGCGGGGGAAGACCGGGGGCCCTGGCATCGGCCTGGAGCCAGGGCTGGGACCCGGGGCCTGACCTGTCCCTAGCACCTGGGCAGCCCAGCCCAGCATCTCCCTCCCACCTGCTCAGGGCCCAGGCCTTCCTGTTAGGGCCAGAAAAAGTAGAAAGAAGCCCACGGAAGGTCCACCAGCCCCTCAGGCCAGCTCCGCCCAGCCCTCTGTGCTGGGCCTGCTGGTGAGACCTGGGGTCCTGGGGCACAGTCCCCACCACTGAGAGCCCCAGGCGGGGGCCAGGTTCCCAACTGGCTCAGCCGGTGGGCAGTTAGAAACAAGGTCCCAGGTCACATCAAGAATCAAGCGATGAGTGCGTAAGTGGAACGACACACCAGTGGCTCTCTCTTCCTCTCTCTCTCAATCCGCCTAAAATCAACCAGTAAAAACCTTTTTAGGAAAAGGAGAAGGAAGGAAGCAAAGGCCAAGTGCCGGGGGCGCCTGGGAAAGCTGGCGGTGGAAAGGCCAGGGGTCACCAGGACAGAGGGCAGGTCGGCAAGGGCCGGTGTGGCTCTCTGGGCTCCGGGGGCTCTGCGGTCAGGGGTCCGAGCCCACGTTCCCATCTCCCAAGCCGAGGGCCTGAGGGAGATGGGGGACAGACAGGCCTCCCACCCTCCAGGGGGTCCGCACAAAAGCTCTGCCCTCCCCAGGGCAAAAGGGGCTGCCTGCTGCCCACACGGGCTCTGGACCAGTCTTCGCTCAGAGTCTCCGGGAAGTCCCTCCGGCCTCGGGGGAGGCAGCTGCCCCCATCAGGCCCCCGAGTCTGCAGAGCTCCCCCCGGGCCCACTGAAGGTCAGAGGAGAGGTGAGAGGAGGGGAGCGGGCCACAGGGGTGAGGCTGGGCCTGGGAGGTGGGGGCGGGGCCTGAGCCTCGGCCATCAGCTCCGCTCACGGCCCTGTTCCAGCCCCGTCCTCGCCCCCAGAGCCTAACGCAGGGCCCGGGCCCCGGGCATCCCGAGTGACCTCGGAAGGGTTCCTTGCAGTGGTCGGGAGGCCCGGTCCAGCTCAGCTGTGCTCAGGATGGGCCAGCAGCACCTGCTTTCTTTCTTTAAAGATTTTGTTCATTTATTTATTTTTAGAGAGCGGGCAAGGGAGGGAGACAGAGAGGGAGGGAAACATCCTCAGACCAGGGGCCGAACTCGCAACCCAGGCAGGTGCCCTGACTGGGAATCTAACTGTCTACCTTTTGCTTTTCGGGAAGACACCCAACCCCCTGAACCACCCTGGTGGGGGGATCTGCTTTTGGACCCCACCTTCTGGCAACACCTGTGCACTCAGTGTGGCTCCCAGGACCCCCGGCTGGATGTTGACGGCCTCCTGGCCCCCCAAACCTGTCCCCTTCAAGGCCCACTCCTGGGGCTTGTCCCCACCTGCACAGCTGACTTGGGCTGTCCAGGGAGGGGCCCGTCCCTAGGCACCCGGTGGCCCTCCCCACCTGGCCCCTACAGGCACCATGGGGAGGTGACCACGGCAGAGCCGAGGGCCGGGTCAGGGTCCCCAGAGAGTTATGGCACCTCGTGCACTTGGAGATTTGAGCAGCAAGCCCAGCCTGACCACAGAGGCAGGTGGGGGCTGAGGCCACAGCCAGGAGTCAGAGACAGGCCGAGACCCAGGCCCCCAGGGGACACCAGCCAAGGTCACCAACAGGATACTCCAAGATATATTTTTATTTCCAATGGTTTCAGGTGCGCAAAGAGGCTTGGCAGTTCCAGTTCCCAAGACCTTGTGCCCAGGTCCCTCTGTGAGCCTCCCGTGTGTGTCCGGGGTCACGGCCAGCCCACGTCCTCGCCCCTGCAACTCCCTTCGTTCCTCCCCCTTCTCCGAGGGGCTGGGGTGGACTCTCAGACCCCGACAGTTGGGATGAGCCTGGTCGGCTCTGGGACCGTCCCTGCCCCCGAACTGCGTTTGTGGTGTCTCTCTCTGGCTCACTGGGGCGGCGGGTTCGGGGACGACCCGGAGCAGCCTTCCCACCTGGTCTGTCAAGGTGCCCAAGTGCAGCTCGGCCCTGGTCACTCGATGGAGGTTTTCCCACCAGCAGGATGTTTTCTATGGGCTTGTCCCCTAATTTCAAATATTTTTGAACTCCACGGCTCTTGTTATTAATTTCCTGTGAAGTCATAATTAACTTAGATTCACCACCTTCTGCACCTCAAAACCCGCCTGCCACCTCACAGGTCTGCTGGGCAAATCCTCCCCATGTTCTCCCCTGGTTCGGTGCGGTTTGGGTTTCAAAGGCCCCGCTCTGTGGTGGGGGGCGGGGGTGGCTGGCTGCGTGGTCCGTCCTTCCGCTGGTCCCCGGGTCTCGGAGACGGCAGGAGTGTGGCTGGCTTTCCTCCGGCGGCTCTGAAGTTTTGTCCTTGGTTTTTCTGAAAATCTCACTGATGACCAAGCGGGATTCCTGTTCGCTGGTCCTGCCTGGGCTCGGCGGGCTCCTGGAGGGGGACATCAGACGTCTTTCGGCAGCTGTGGGAACCGCTCACACCAGCCTCCTTCAGACATGAGTTCCCCCGTTCTCTCCTCTTCTGCGTCTCCAATATACATGTGTGTGTCACGCCTGTATAACCAGAAAGAATGACATGCATCTTTCCCTCCCTTCTGTATTTTCCGAAATGTCTCCTTTTCCTCTCGCCTTTACTCTGGATAAAATTTTCTCGCCTCTACCCTAGTTTTCCTTTCGCTGACTTTGCCCCCAGCTGGAAACCTACCCCCCGAGTTGTAAGTGGTGGCTGTTACATGTTCTCATGGTTGAAGGGCTGTTTGGCTTCTTTTTCAAAATCTACCATGTGAGTTTTTTAAACTTCATTTCCCTGAAGATATTAAGCCTCTTTCTTATTTTTCAGCAACTAAGTTTCGCTGCTTTATGTCTGTGTCGATGGCTGCGGTCTCGGAGGCCCTGCTGGTGGCGTGGTGCACCCCGCAGGCCTGGGCGGCTTTGGCCGTGCGTGGGGCACTGTGCCTGGAAACTCGTGGGGTGACCTGATGGCCGGGGGTGCAGGCACCTTCCCAATTTGACCTTCTGCCTGGCACCTGGGGCTCACCTGGCCCGGGACCTCCTTGACCTGAGGTTCCAGGGAATACGGAGGTGGCCTGAACTTCGGTGGCCCTGCCTCCCTAGAGTGGGGCTCACTGTCACTCTGTTCTCACTGGGGGGGCGGAACCCTCGGGGCTCCCAGCTTCCTACGAGGAGGTGGTCCCGTCAGACACCCGCCCTCACTTTCGTTTCCACCCCCAGGTCCCCAGAACAGACGGCTACTCCCGGCTCCTGGGACTCAGCACTGGTGCTCACTCAGCCCCGGAGCCCGGCCTCCCCTTCTGTGCAGCCCGGTCTGTCCATGGCAGGTCCTCGGCTCGTCGACGCTTCGACTCGACGATGGCTTGGCGCCGCAGTGGTCTTGGTGAGCGGGGGCGGCCCAGCACCACGGCTGGGTGGTGCACCCCGTGTGGGCAATGGTCCCCCTGGGCCCCTCTCCCTCTGGTTTGGGACCCCTGCTCACTCCTGTCTCTCTTCCTCCCTGGCACTGTGGCCTCTGTTCATACCACCTGAGGAGTCGCCAGACGTGTTTCCCGCCCGGGGTCTCTGCGCACCTATGACAGCCAGCTAGGTTCTCCACCCAGAAAACTCCCAAACTCTCAGGCAGAGCCAGCAGGAAGTCTGAGCTGAGACCACGGGACACCAGGGAGGACAGTTCTGGGTCCTCCCCAGCCCCCAGATCTCGAGGCACACAGGGCTCCGTCTACACCCACCGCTGCGTCCCAGGGCGGACCCGGGGTGCCTCGGGCTCCGGCAGACGAGCAGAGTGGAGGCTCGGAGGGCACACAGTGCCAGCTGCCCACAGGCCGGGCTGAGGAGGCCCGAGGGCTGACTGCTGGGCTGGGCACCCTGGAGGCAGTGGGGGCAGGGGACTGTGGCAGCTCCAGAGGGTTGAAGAGGGTCTGGCGGGCACTCAAGGAGGAGGGAGTGGGCCGTCTGAGGGTCGGAAAACAGAGGCCTGGCAGGAGACCTCGTCTGAGGGTGAGGTTTGCAGGGTTTCGGGCTTCTGGCTCAGCGTGTGCTGGAAGCCGTGACCAGGTACGGCCCTCAGGGGCACCACCTGAGAAAGGCACAGACGCTGCCGGGTCTCAGGTGGAAGGGGTTAAGAAGGTCAAGGCTAGGCCAGGCTGTGGGAGTGGGCCAAGGTGTTGGCAGGGTCTGTGGAGGTCGCTGCCGGCACGGCCGGGGCCTGAGAGTGTGGTCCAGGACGGGGAGCGGGGAGGGGGTGGCTGAAATCTGTCCAGGAGGGCTGGAGGGGGCCCCAGTGCCGGGTTAACCTTCCCCGTCCACAGGCACGTCCACCTGGCCTCCCAGCCAGATCGGGGGCTTGGGGAGGGGCCTTGGGTGACAGCCCTCCTGCCCTGAGCCTGGGGCAGCCAGCGGCCCTGGGTCCCTGGGGCCCAGCAGGAAGAGCCAGGCTGAGACGGGGTGGAAAGACAGGTCAGCAGGTGGGTGCAGCAGGGCGGACCCCCCTCCCCGCCCGCCACTGCCCGCAGGCCATGCCCACCTGGCAGCGCCGCCCACCCGGGCAGGGAAGCACCTGGCCCCGAGGACCAAGGGCAGGAAGTGAGGCGGGTGGGCGGGTCCAGAGACTCGGGCTGCAGCCCCACCCCCCTGGGGAGCAGAGGGAGCCTGCACAGCCTTCCCCTTGGGGTGGCAAGGGCAGGGTCTCTGCTGCGTCCTCAGCTCCCCAGAGAGACACCACTGGGGGGTCCGAGCGGCAGAGCTGGTGCCCAGTGGGGGGGGCCCGGGGCAGGGCAGAACTTCCCGGTCTGAGCCGCATATACCAGGGTCTGGCTCTGCTGGGCCTGTGAGCCGACCTCCCTCCCCGTCTGGCTGAGGAAGCCTGCGTCCTACAAAAGTGCTGATTGGGTGGCCGAAGGCAAAATGAGCCTTCGGGGGACAGCCCAGCACAGGCCGCCGGCTCGGACTTGCAGGAGGACCGAGGAGGGTGGGTGACAGAATTTGCTGCCTGCGTGCGGAGCGCTGACCCCCGGGTGGCTGCCCCGGGGCACCCACCCACACCTGCCCCCGGTGTTTGCTCCCCCTGAGGCCGTGAGCTGAGCCGAAGGAGCCCGGGGGCTGGAGGGAGACGCAGACCAGAGCTGGAGAAACCAGGGCAGGCAGGTGCCTCTGAGCCCGGGGCCCCCAGGGCGCAGGAGAGGACCCAGCCCTGAGTCCAAGCCCCAAAGACTCCAGGTCCCAAAGTTGCCCCAGAGGAAGGCGAGTCCCCACGGCCTGGCCCCCAGGCTGCGGCTGCCGGACCCTGGGCAGTCAGTGGCTGGCCGACCTGCCTGAGGCGCCTCCAGCAGCACAGTGGCCCTTTGTCCTGCAGCCCCGCCCAGGGAGGCCTCAGCCCAGCCAGGCCAGCTCTTCCACCAGCCCACTGTGTCCCCAAGTGTGGGGGTGGCTTTAGTCACCCCCCCAAACAGCCCCCCACCCCACCACTCGCCTCTGGGGAGCCCATTTGCCTGCCGCATCCCCTCCTGCTGTCATGGAAATGTCCACACCCACCAGGTGGCCCGAGGAGCCTTTGTCTGGAGGCCACTGGTTTCTCCAGTGACCCTGGCAGCCGCCACCCACCAGGCAGGGTCACGTGGGCCTGGCGTGCTGTGGGCGGCCCAAGCTGACCGCTCAGAACTTGGGCACTCACCAGGCTGTGCCCACCCCCCCCACATCCTGGGGTGGGGGATGCTGCCCCAGAGAGACCTGTGCCAGCCAGGGTCCAGGCCACCCTCCCAGCTGGTGACAGCTCCGTGCTGCTTGGCCAGGGGCGACCGTACCTCGCTCAGGTCCCCAAAGCTGGCTGCCAGCAGAGCTCACAGACACCAGAGGATCCCGGGGCCCAGCTGGGCTGGCGGTGATGACTCGGAGCAAAGGGGACATCTGGACTGGCTGCCGCCAAGTGAGGAGAGGTGTCCCAGTCCTGCCCAGGGCGCCCGCTGGTCCTCGGCCGTCTCACCCCACAAGGTGCCTCAGGTGGCTCGGGGTCAGTTTTACTCTATTTGGGGCTCAGGCAAAACAGTGCTAGGAGAGGCATGGGGGTGGTCACAGCAAGGTCAGGGAGCTGGTGGTCAGCCAGACAACAGTCCCCCTCTCCAAAGTGACCAGCCAGGGGCACTCACAACTAGACCACCCTGCCATGCAGCCCAGAGCCTCGACCCCTGGCCAGCAGGTCGGCCCGAGGGGCCGGCCTCCACGTGGCCACGGCTCAGCTGCATCCTGGCCTTTCCACTCCTGGGCCGGGACTGTGGCTCGAAGACCCAGCTGTGGCCAGGGGGGCGGCCTCTCACCGGGGCAGGAGTTGGTGATAAAGGCCCAGGCCCGACTGGAGGGGCACATGGCGGGGTCTTCTCTGTCCCCACTTTGCTGCTGCGGCAGCGCCCTGGTGCCGCTGTAGTACAAAACCCCCGCGTGAAATGTGCCGTCTTTCACCCCTGGGCTGGGCAGCCTGACCAGGACCTGGTGTTTCTGCATCCGAGGGCAGAGCACTGGAACTGGTGGCCAGCGACACAGTCAGAGTAGCCAGGACAGACCAGGTGCTGCCGGGATAACCAGGTCCCAGGACTCAGGGGGACTGGCTTCTAGCACTTCCTCCTCCAAGGGTCAGGGTGGGGGGCCCTGCTTTTCACGTGACTGTCCCTCCTTCGATCCCCGCCACGTCCCGATCAGAAGCACTTGGGGGCTCCATGAAATGACGGCAGCTCCATCTGGCAGCCCCGTGTCCTCCTGGGAGCGTCTGGAGCCCGGCAACGCCGTGCCCGTCAGCCCCGGCCCAGCACATCTGGCTGAGCCAGGAGGCCCTGACCAGGACTGAGACTGAGGGCGGGAGGCGGGGCCGGGTGTCAGCCTGGGAAGGGTCTGCAGCGAGCAGCCCCTCCTCCCACTCCCACCCACCTGCAAACGCCTCCAGGTTTGGGGTTAGTGAGCCGCGCCTCGGGTTCCCCAAGGCAGGAGTGCCACCAGCCAGGGCCGTCTCGACCTCCCCACTCAAACACAGGCACCCCGGTGGATATCGGGTGGGTGGGTGTCTTGCCAAAGGTGTGTGTGTCCTCCACAGCCCGAGGGTCTGGAGGTCAGTGGTTTGGAGGGTCAGAGGTCACTAATGCTTCCAGGACTGGCTTCCAGAAACTCTGCCTCGAGGCCAGGGGGACCAGACCAGCCCCTGGGTGCTCTGCCCTCTGGAGGCCGGGGAGGAGCCCGCCTGCCTATGGTGCCCCCACCCCCAGCACAGCCCTGTGGGTCACGAGGCCGGGCTGGGGAACGGGCTAGGATGGGGACACGCAGGGACCGGGGACTCAGAGCCCTGTCCTGAGGGGCAGTGGGAGGGTTCATGTTCTCCGACAGTGACCCCAGTGGTCCGGGCCCACAGCAACTTTTGGGGGGCCCCTGTGCAGAAGGGACAAAGGCCAACTGGGAGGCAGCCCTCCTGACATGATTCGGCTGTTGGGGGGCGTTCTGCGGTGGCCGCACGCCCTCCTGCCAGGTCTGTCCCTGGGCAGAAAGACAAGGCCCCACGAAGTCCTGACCCGGGGTTGAAGAACGGCGAGCACGCACTCTGGGGCTGGCCCGTCGCCGGGGGTCTGCGGCAGAGCTGCCGGAGCTCACTGTGGAAAGCGCTGGGCCCCTGGGGAGCTCTGCGGGTTGGGCTGATGTCAACGCGGCCCCTTCTGTCAAGTCGGGAGGGCCACCTCGCCACCCCGGCCGGAGTCCCGGGCCTCCCCACCCTGCGGTCCTTCCAACCCCCACAGGACGGGGCTGACACAGCCTCGCTCCCCCCGCCTGTGCGACAGGCAGCAGAAGGGCTCCCAGGGAACCATGGGGGGCAGCCCTTGCAGCCGCCACGGCTGAGGCTGGGGCCCGGGAGTGAGGGGCGGGCACGGCCCTGTGCTTTGTTCATGGGAAGCTGCAGGTGGAGGGAGTGAGGGGCAGGCAGAGGGCCTTTGTGGGCCCCCCCCGGAAAGAGAGGGTGCAGGCTGTGACCCCTCTCGGCCCCCTGCCTCTTCCAGCGAGGCTGAGCTCAGGGCCTGCTGGGAGCCCCCCCCCACCCCGCCACCGCCCCACGCACGCCCCACTGCCGCTCCTACAGAAGCTCTCTGCCCTGGTTTTTGTTCAACCTGGGCCCCCGGGGGGGCGAGGCGGGGGCAGGAATGCATGCGGGGCCTGCCGCCCGCCCTGTGGCCCGCGTCATGTAACTGCCTCCCTGCTGGCCTATGGGAGCCCGGGGGACACACCTGTCGGAAGCCAGGAGCAGAGATTGGTCGGTGGTGAGCAGGCACCTGTGTGGGGCGGGGTGAGGCCCTGCATGTAAGGCGAGCCCAGGGCCACGCCGTCTCTTCCCGGCCCTGCCCTGCTCTCTGCCGCAGCAGGAGGACCGGCCACCACCTCCATTGTCCCCGTCACTCTCCCAACTTCCTGGAGACCAGGCGAGCTGCCCACCTGCAAGTGTGGATGTGGACTTCAGCTTCTCCTTTGTGTGGAGTCTCAGCGGAGGGAGGCAGGGGATGGTCTTCCCAGGGGGCGGCTGCCCTCCCGGCCCCCCTACAGCAAGGCTGGGGGAGCAGGTGGGACCAAAGCCTAACCTCTGTCCTGAGCTGACAGGTATTTGGGGTCACTGCTGCCAAAGCTTCTCCAGTGTCCATTCTGAGGCCTGGTGGGTCTTGGGCACAGGGACGGTGCTGGACAGGACACAGCAGCCCGGCCGCCAGGCTGGGGGCAGGGAGCAGCCTCCCACCCTCCTCCTCCAGGTGCAGAACCTGTCGGGGCAGGTAAGCAGGAGGCGGAGGAGCCCGGGGAGGCCGCTCTGTGGGGAGAGCCTCCAGGTGCCTGCCGCCGTCCCCCGCACGGCTGACCCAGGCGGGACGTGGCAGCCGTGGCGATGGGCCTGCAGTCAGGACTCGGGGAAGGGTGGTCCTTCTCCTCTGAGGAGGTGAGCCCCTTGGGCCGGGTGCGCTGGGTGTTGGGGCGAAGCCATCTTGGGTTCGGCCACTTGGGGTCCATAGGCCGCATCTGCAGGGCCGGTGTGCACGGGCTCTGCCCCACCCAGAGGGCAGCCGGGTTCAACGACAGTGAGGGTTTCCACCTTCTGCCCCAACACAGCCCTTCTGGGAAGCTCCTTCCCCAATGCTGTGCTGATCCAGGGGCACCTTGCTCCCTGCGGGCTGGGGTGGGGAGGACCTGGGCGCCGGGCTCTGGAGTGTGTTCCTGGGCTGGGCTAGGCTTTGCCGGCGGCCACCCCGGGACAGCCAGAGCTCCGGGCAGAGCCGGTCCGGCCTGGCTCCAGGCTCTTTCTAACCCGTCCGGGTTGGAGGTGCTCACAAAGCCGGAACCAGCTCGGAGAAGGAGTGGGCTGGCCCTGGCCAACAGGATTCCTCGGGGCCGAGACCAAAGTCTGTCCTCTGGATCCTTGACTGGAATGCACGGGAGCCACACCGCGGCTCATCCGGGAGCGCCGCCGTTTCGGGGGCAGGTTCCAGGGCTGGGAGGTGTTCAGGCCCGTGGGGTGTGCGGCAGGTTTTCTGAGACGTACTGTCGAGCTCGTTGTTCGCAAATTTTTAGGGGGGAAAATAGGTTGGGCTTGTTTTGTTTGGCTTTTGTCTAGTAACCCCGATGAAATGCTTGAGAGTTAAGGCGATTAGCAGGGTGTTGAATTAGCAAAATAAGTTTTATGTTTATGAAAACGCAAAGCAGCCATAGGTGTGGACGCAGCCTGCTGTCCCTTCCAACATTCTGGCAATTTGCAAAACCGGTTTGTGGGAATGTTCGCGTGAATTTAGAAGGCGGAGGGTCTGCGGAGGCACGGGCCCTGGGGAGCAGTGCGGCCGCGCGGGGCGCGCGGTGCAGGGCGCCGCCGCAGGGCGGGGGCGCGGCCGGGAGGGAAATGGCGGCGTCCTCGCGGAGCGACGCGGCCCCGCGGCTGGAGACCGGCCCTCGGAGGACGCCCCCGCCTCCCCCCACACGCGCGGGGTTGGGTTTCAGCGCTTTGTTCTCTGCGGGCCTCACCATTGATTAAGGCCCGCCGGGCAGGTTAACCAGCGGAGAGCGAGTTCTCCACGCCGGGACCCGCTTCTCCGCCTGCCCGGGGCCCACAGGCCGCTGCCCTGAGACGGGCGTTCGCTGTGCCAGGGCTCCTTCCTCCGGTCGCCCGAGCCGCGCCTGGTCGTCAAGGTGACGATTAACGAGGCCGCAACCCGCCCCAGGGCGCTGGCTTCACTCCCTGCCGGGACCCCATGTGGCCGCAGGGGACCTTCCTTTCCACGTCCCAGCTGCTGGGGCTCCCCGGCCCAGGCCCTGGACCGCAGGCCGCGCTCCGTCTTTGCCTGGGGGTCACACGGGCTCGACCTGGAAGTTCGAAGAAAGCTTCCCGAGGCCCACACCTGGGCCTGTCCCTGTGTCTGTCTGTCTGGCTGTTGTGCACCTCTCCTGAGAACGTAATGGCTGGGAAGCTGGCGGGCAGCAGACAGCAGGGGCTCCCGTCCACCTGGCTTGTGGCCGGGCCAGCTGTGGGTCCTCTCAGGCCGATGTTCCCCCCAGGAAGGCTGGCCCTGAGCGGCAAGGGCTCCAGGGACACCAGGCCCCAGCTCTGGGGCTGTGAGCAGGGAGGCTGGGCTATGCTCAGAGGGCTGGCCACAGGGTGGGACGCTGGGCACCCGCCCGCACCCCCTCTCTCAGCCCCCACTGCCTCCCCCCAGGGCCTGGCAGTGCAGAGTGAAGCTGAAATTTAACTTAGCTCTGCAAGTGAAGCCTGACTGGTTCACGCAGCTCGGAAGACAGTGCAGCTGTGTCCCTGCCACACGCTGAATTCCACAAGTCCGAGCGACAGACCCCGAGCAGCCAGGAGGGCCCAGCGGTGGGGATGGGGCACAGAGCAGCAGCCCGGGCACCCCCCCCAGGGCCCTTCGTCAGGGTCAGGTGTTCTGAAGACTGTCGGTCGGCCGTCCCCAGGACTGGGCTGGAGAACCGGGTGGACCTGGCTGAGGCGGGGGTGGGGTGGACACAGCCTTTGTTGTGGTCAGCCGCTACCTGGGGGGATCAGGAAAGGGCCCCCACCTCCTCCCTGCAGCCTCTGTGGGTGGAAGATGCCGGAAAACTTGAGAAGCAGCTCTGGCTGGCTCTCCAGGCCCAGGTGCCACTGTACAGGGGACAGGGAGGGACAGGAGGCAGGACAGAGCCCTCGGGCTCCCCAGGGCAGGGCGCCAGGGTCTCAGCCCCATGCCGGGGCCCCCGGTCTGGGCCTTGAGTAGGGTGGGGGCTACAGATATTCCAACTTCCAGAACCCCCACTCTGAACACCCCTGTCCTGGGGGGTCACCACTAAAGACTGGCTTGTCTCTGGCAGGCACTGGGGGCTGTAGTCCTACATCCTGTGTTTGGGGGCTCCATCCCATCTGCTCTGGGGTTCGACCCCAGACTGGTGAGCACAGGCTGAATAGGGCCCCCCTCTCACCCCCCTGCAGGGCCAGCGCCTTCTTGCCTTTGGACTTCATGGCCAACAGCGGCCAGGGCCAGCAGACAGCCCCTCCTGTGGCCTCACTGGTGAGAGACCGCACTGCGCAAGGTGGGGATGCTGGGGCCCCAGAGGCCTGCCCTGCCCGGCGCGGGGGGGGGGGGGGGAAGCAGGCCCCGAGGGGCTGTCCTGCCTCAGAGCCAGGCCTCCCTCAGTCCTCACCCTTGACAAGGGCAGGAGGGGCCGGGTTGCAGACAGCTGGGGCGGCGTCCAGGGGCAGAGGCCCGTGCTGTGGCCACTGCACAACGCCCCTCCCGCCTCAGACACGGGCTCGCCCGGGGCTCCAAGGGGCCGCGCCTGCCATCCAGGCCTTTCCCCTGGACCACCCGGAGGGTGCCTCCACTCTGCCCCTGAGCACTGGGGCTCCGACCTCCCGGGGGCAGGACACCTGGCCCCTCCTTGGGTGCCCACCCCACGCCCAGAGCTGGCAGCCCTGCTAGGACGGAGGGGCTGGCCCGTAGGGAGGGTGCCTGTGGGTCCGTCCCCCCGGGACTTCCACATGCGACAGCCCAGACTTCTCCAGGCTGCGCCCCACAGGCGGGGCCTGGGGGGCACCTGGGCCCCTCGAGTGAGCCCCGTCCCTCCCAGCGCCTCTTCACTGCAGTGTCCTCGCAGAATGTGGGTCTCCCTCAGGCTGCCGAGCACCCCCACGCCGAGCCCCCTCCTGCCCCTGCTGGGCGGCCCCCAGACCCACCGGGGCGGCCACCGCCATCTTACTGGGCAGCATTGGATGGAGTCGGGTCTCTAATACTGCCTGGTAATGATGACGGAGGTGCCCTGCCAGCAGCGACGGGGCCGCCCCTTCAGCCGGAGCCCCGCCCCTCTCCCCCCACACAGGCCACAGGGTGTCACCTGCCCACAGGCCCCCCACACTGTCCTGCCTGTTGGCTTCCGGGGGGGGGGGTATGGGGCAGAAAGCTGACCTTGGGCAGGCCCCTCCCAGGGGCCCAACTGGGTCTGAAGCCCCTGCTCAGCCCCGAGAACAAAAGGCTTTTCTGCAACCGCACTGAGCGCCCATGACAGCGACCCGGGATTTGGACGGCAGGTGTCTCGGCCCTGCCCACGGGGCCCGGCCGGGCACCACGCTGCCCCTCACAGGCGTGGGTCGCGCAGAGTGTGGGGGACACGGGCGCCTGATAGACCAGCCCCATGTCCCTCACTCTGGACAAAGTGGGAGCTCACAGGCCTCCCGCCTGGGGCGGGCACCGCGTGTCCCCCGTGTCCTCGGGCCGAGGCGCACCTGGGCCCCTGTGGGCATCTTACCGGACAGTGCTGGACTTCTCGGCTCGGCTCTAACACTGTCTGGTAACGATGCTCAAAGGTGGCCCGCCGCTCGCTGCCAGGACGCGGCCCGGGGACACGCTGTCCTGCTCCCCACACGCAGAGCCCACAGCAACTGACCCCAGGAGACAGAGTTAGGGCCAGGACACTGGGACCGGACAAGGGTGGCAGTGCCCCCATCCTGCACGCCAACCTCGTCCGGGGACCTGGCCTGCGCCCTTTGCTCCGACGTACTTGCTGCTACCCGGCCCTGAGGACCTCCCAGAATCAACAGCCAGCTGGGCAGCGGCCACTCCAGGAAATTCGTCTTTGGCCTGGTCCAGAGCGGGCAGCAGCCAGGCCTGCCCCCAACCACCTTCCCTTCCAGCCCCTCCCTCAACCACGCAGGGTCCCACGTCCGCTGTGGCTGTCCTAGGGCACCCCAACCACATAGGCCGTTGGGAGCTGGCCCTCCTGAGAGGCCCCCATCGGGGGGCCGCAGCAGGCACTGACCTCTCACAGGGCTCTGTCGGGGGAGCCAGCTTCGGTGGTCCCCTGGGGCCACAGGAAGGACAGTGCATCCATGTGCCTGGCCCCAGCCCACCGGCTTCTACTCCCGGATGAGGGTGGTCCCCCTCCCCCACCAGCCCTCAAAGTGTCACAGGCAAAAATGGAAATGCAGTCTGGAATTGAAGCCGGGGCCCCTTGGTTTCATCTTCTCAACTGGAAGCCAGGACTCAGGCCCCCAGACCTGCCTGGGAGCCCCCCAGCCCAGGAACCCCACCCCATCCAGGCCCCAGCTGGTCTCCCAGGGAGGAGGGTCTGCCCCTGGCCGCCTGTTAACTCATTAACTGTGTGCTGACTCAGGGTCAAGTGCAGGGTAACCAGATGCTCACGCGCGCGCGCACACACACACACCTGGGCCAGGGGGGCTACGAGCTGGGACCAGGTCCCTGTGAGGCCCTCCTCGGGGCAGCCCAGTCCTGGGAGGCTCCGGTTAGACACCGGGGCAGGGGCCGCGGGGTGGGGTGGCTCTCTGCAGACTCAGGAGGACCTGGGGGTCCTGCCACCCAGCCGAACACCGTAGGACAGGCAGCCTGCGATGGGCGTCTTACCAGACACGGTTAGACCTGGGTCTTTCTGTCTAATACTGTCTGGTAATGCCGTCCATCCACGGCCTGGTCGCCGCCAGAAGAGGGGCTCCCGCTGGACACTGGTTGGAGGGGGAGGCCCATGGTCTGTCGGGCCCCGAGGTGGCCGGACCAGGCGGTGCACCCTGCCCTTGTGTCGCCGCCGCAGTAGCACAGTCCGCACGGGGACATCCCAGCCCTTGTTGCCCCCACCGGGGGATGGGGGGAGACTGCCGACCCTGGGCCGGGCTTTCTGTGGCAGCCAAAATAAACTGCTGGGGTAACAAAGGGTGTGGGGCACCGAGGACTGGTCTGCGTTCACCTCCAGGCACAGCCCACCCCCACAGCAGCCCAGCCTGGGACCCTCTCCAGGGGGGTGACCTCATCTTCCGCCCCCGACATGTACCAGGTGAGGGGCCCACAGGAGGACAAGACTGACTGCACCCCAGCCCAGGGCAGGGACGAGCACCCCAGAGACCCTGGGTTGTCCCACCCACCTGGGCAGTGTCACCTGGGACAGGCAGGGTGCAGCCACCTTCCTGCCTCGGCTCTCAGCTCAGGGTCCCCACCAGGTAGGTCCCCACAACCTGTCTGAGGCCTGGGCAGTTAGGGGCACGCTCTCCTGGTGCAACACAGCGCCTCTCAAGTCTGTGGGCCCCCCCCACCCTCTCCCTGTACTGATATTCGAGATGTCTGTCTAAAGTCGTCCCCCAAACCAAACTCTGATGCTGACGCCCCCAGCCTCATGGCCTCTTCCTTTCCCCAAGTTCCCTGACCCTTGGCTTCCCAAAGACCCACTGAGGACAGAGCCCCAGACCCTGTGTTAGACCAAGGGCTTGGCCGACAGAGTGGGGGGTGGGCCCCCAGGGGAGGTCCCTGCACCTCCCCCAGTCTCCCCTCTCCCCGAGTCTCCCCTGAACATGGTCTGTGCAACCACATTCTAGAGCGCGGCCCCAGGCCTCTCTGGACAGGTGACCAAGGGGGCCCTGCAGACGGGAGACAAGCAGAGGCCAGAGGCTGCCTGGAACCTGTGAGGAGGGCCCAGGAGGCTGGGCCCAGCCCATCAAGGTGCTGACTGCCCAAAGGACACAGGGCCTTCACCTCACCCCCTCCCGCAGCCCCAGGGGCGCTGACCGCTGCCTTTGCCCCCAGCACACTCAGGCCGGGCACACCCACAGCCCCTGCTGTGCAGAGACAGAGGCTGGGGCTGGGGCGGCACCACGCTGGCCAGTGTCTCCGGTTTTGAGGCCTCTGAGTTCCTGGTGTCCAGTGAGCAGGGGCTAACTCGCCCGAGCCCAAGAGGAGCTGGGGACCAAGGCACTTCGGCCGGCCTAGCAACCTGAGTACCTCAGGGGTCTGACCCCAAGAAGGAAGGACAGGTTTAAGGGCAGCGGGCATTCTAGGGCCACAGCCCGCCTTGCAGAGTCAGGAATGGAGCCGAGGCTGCTCCCTCTGAGGCTGCTGGGGGCGGGGGGTCCTTCTGGCCTTCCCAGCCCCCCGGTGGCTCAGGTGTCCCTGGGCTTGTGGCTCCTCGTGAGGACACTGGTCCCTGGAGTTATGGTTCCCCAGAGGACCCAGGAGGGCCTCAGCTCACGCCCCCCCAACTTCATCACAACTGCACCGACCCTGTTCCCAAATGAGATCACATCACAGGTTCTGGGGCTGAGACGGCAGACGCATTTGGGGGGCCGCCATCCGGCCCCACGAGAAGCAAAGGCCCTCCAAGCAGAGACTCCTTGTGACCCATGCAAGGCTGTCGGGGGCAGAGGCACAGCCCCAGGGGGGAGGGAGCACCCCCACCCTCAGGGGCTGAGCCCCGTGTGCGGATTTGAAGAGTGGGGGCCCCAAGGCTGGGCCGAGGGCTGAGGCGAATGTAACAGCAGTGGAAGCCGAGTGAACACAAAAGGCATTGTGGGCTCAGGTCTGGGGGCTTAGCGTGGATCCGAGGGTCTGGAAAGGCGCAGGGATGACCTGGAGAGAACGGAGGGCCCACCCCCAGGGGCACTGCCCGCCTGCCCCCTGCTCACCTCTGGGCCCTGGGTTTAAGTTGCTGGGAGACAGTTGCCAGGTCACCACTGTGTCCCGGGCAAAGGGCTCACCCAGCTTGTAGGACAGGTAAGAGGGGGAGGTGGGCCGGCAGCAGGGGCCCCTGCTGGCGTGAAGGTCTGCCGTCCGCGCCCCCGCCTGGCCACTACGGATCCCGCTGGTCCTCTGGGATTCTGCCCAGGAGCAGGGAGAAGCAGGGAGGGGAGGGCGGGGGAGGGTGCCCTCCTCTGCAAAGGGCCCATGCCCCCTGGACCACGGCGAGAGGGGCAGGGACCCCAGGGCCGGGCCAAGGTGGGTGTGCCCCCTGGGGGTGTCGGCTCCTCAGGGCGAGCTCCCTCTCGAAGGACAAGACCTGTCTCCCAGCCCGCTGACGCCTCTGGGAACCCGCGTCCCCGAGGACAGCCCGCGCCTGCTCAGGAGGCGCCAGCCGGTCAGGCGATGTGAGTGCCGCCCTCGCCCCACGCTGCCGGGCGTGTCTCTGGGAGGGGCCGGGCTCCGGCGCCTGCTCATTCTGCTGGATGTTTTGGGCAGGTTCACGAGGGCCTTCCGTCCATCACGCCGCAGCACTGTTTCCCGCCGGTCTCTCCACCTGGCCAGGTAAAGGTTTATTTCTAAGTCTGTTATAAAGCTGAGTTTTCCCTTAGCCCGCCCCAGCGCTGGCCGTCCTCGCCTGCGGACACGGCAGGCCCCTGCCTCTCCGAGCGTCACATTTTGTCTCTGTGTTTAGATTTGGTCCTTCCGAGGCTGAACGTGCAGGCCTGAGCACAGGGCCTGCCCAGGCTTTTATTTGCTAATTTTAGTGACAAGAAAGGATAACTCCTTTGTGCAAATAATAAATACACGGTTAGAAAAGCCGAAGAGAGGTAGGAGGCAGGCAGGGTCTCCGCCACCCAAGGCCACCTCCCCAGGCTGCTTCTGTCGCTTGCCTCCGACCTCCACCCCTGCACCTGCAGGGCGGAGGCTGCCCCCCCCCCCGCGGGCGGGGGTGGGGGTGGTTGGCCCCTCTCCATTGCATGCTCCTGTGGTGACCTCGGGTGTCTCTATAGCCCACTGCCTGCAGGAGCTGCAGCTGCCCCACCGCTTCCAGGGTGCAGAGCTGGGGTGCAGACAGATGACTGTGTGGGGACCTCCAGCTCAGTGCCTCCCTCAGGAGCCCCTCTGAGGACCCCCAGCCTCTGCTCCCAGTGTCTGTGGCCCCCGAGCCGCCTCCGGGCACCCCTTCAGCTCCCCTGCGTCTGGCTCCCACCCATGTCCTCCTTGCTGGGTGGTGACCGGCCTGTGTTGTCCTTCCGGTTCCCTCGCATTCCAGGACAGCCCCAGCCCCCGGGGGCTCCTCCCACTCCCACCCCAGTGTGTTCCAGGGGCCTTTCTTCCGGTGCTGTGCCTGCCACGTCTCCCTGTCCTCTTGCTCTGTGCGAGTGTGTGCTGTGCGTCTGTGTGCCTGAGTGCGTGAGTCTGTGTGTCCATCTCTCACCCCTGGGGGCCTCCCCCCGAGGCCTGCTGGCGCAGCATCCGCCCGTTGGGTGCTGTGGGGAGGCTGTCGGTCGGTACCTTGGGGCTGATCCTCTGTCCTCAGCAGGGCTCCTGGGACCTGCTGCCAGGTGCCAGGAACCAAGCCAGGCAGACACTCACGGAACCCTGCCACTCAGGGCCGGGCACAGCTGGGTCAGACTCTGCTCCCTCGCTTCTTTCCTAAGTGGCAACTGAGGCCCTGGGCAGCACTTCTTGGGTGACCAGCAGAGCAACCAGCCTCTCTGGAGAACCCCTCCTGGGCCCTGGGTGCAGGGGCCACAGCCCTTCGTCCCCCCAGCCCCAGTGTGCTCCCCTCCCCACTCTGGGTTTTCAGTTCTTCGGAACGTCCTCGCCTCCCAAGCCACCCCCAAACTGGGAAGGGCCTGTGAAGGGACAGCTGAAACGTCCCTAAAAGTTCTGAGTTGATGGCAGGGGCTCAAAGCCAGGCCCACTCCTGGGGACAGGCCACGAGGATGCTTCAGACACAGGATGCTTCCCCTCCCCCGCCCAGCCACCCCTCCGAACGCCTGAAGGCCAAGGGCCCTTCCTTACAGGCAGCGCCGAGGCCAGAGGGTCCGCTCCTGCAGGGCAGGACTCGCCCAGGACAGACAGAATGAGAAGACCTCCGTGCCCCTGAGGGGCACCAAGCCCCACAGTCACCGTGGAGACAGGAGCCGGCTGCCGCTGGAATCCCAAGTCCAAGACCCCAGGAGGCGCCCCTGCCCCAGCAGGAGGGGCCTGACCGCCTGCCAGATCCGGGGGCTGGGACAACAGGCGGCAAGGAGGTCCCACCGACGGGTGGGAGCGACGAGTTCCCAGAGGTGCCCCCGCCTCAGCGCCCCGGCCCCTGCGGCCCACAGCCACGCCCGCTCCATCCAGCGCCGGGGGCGGCGCCCTCGGGCCCAGGTCAGCACCAGGAGAGGCAAGCGGTCAAGGGTCACAGGGGTCTGGCGGAGCCACGTCTGGGGACCAGGTGAATGCAGGCCTGGTACGGCCTCCTGGGGCCCGGTGCCCCATTCCAGGGGAGGCGGTCTAAGGGGGGACCACACACAGCCATGCCCGGGGGGGGGGGCCAGCAGCCTGGGGTCTGAACATCAGGGGAGGGGAGATGTGTCCTCCCCACAGTCTGGCAGGCGTTCTGCTGCCCTGCACCCAGCCCCTGCTCAGGGCAGGGGAGCCCCTCACCCCTGCCTGACATGGGTCACCCGTGATGTCATGATGCACATTGTGACCCCGCCCTCCTGGGCATGCCCCACTGCCGTGTCTACCCCCAGCTCCGGCCTCACACCCCGCCCCTGACCTGCGTCGAGCTCGGCCCTGTTGGTGAGGATGGGTCCGCTGACCCTGAGTGGTAGTGGCCGCCCCCTCTTCTAGGGGGCATGGCGGGCTCAGGCCCACGAGTCAGGCCTGTGGCTGGGAGGAGCTGTGTGCAGACAGGCTGGGGGCAGTGCCCGGGGGCTGCCAGAAATGGGCGGGAAAGGGTCTGCTGGTCTGGAGCCCAGCTGGACCAGACTTGGGCCAGAATCTGAGGGTGCACCCCCTTATTCACAGGCTGGGCCCATGAGAGACCAATGGGGAGCAGCCAAAGGGACAGGCTCCTGTGTCAGCTGAGCCAGCTGGGCCAGGATGCAGGTGGGCTCAGACAGGGCTGGGAGGGGGTGGGAAAGCCCCCCCCCCCGCCAGGTCAGAACCTCAGACCGCCCCCCTGTCCACAGACCCCCTGGAGGACCCGCTTGCCGGCAGGCCCCGGGCTGCCCTCCTGGAGAAGCACCTGCTGGGGGCGGAGCAGCAGTCACCCAGCACGGGCTGTGGCCCTTTCTTCTATGTCGGGGGCACCAACGGGGCCTCGATGTGAGTGGGGGCCTCCAGCCTCAGACCCAGTCCCCTGCCCTCCAGGGCCCAGCCCAGCCTCAGCTAGGTCACCTGAGGTCCCCTTGTCCCCTCCCCCAGCTCCTAAGGCCCCAGGGTCACAGCTGCCTCTCTGCCCTGCCCCCCCCCCCCCAGAATCAGCTCCTACTGCAAGAGCAAGGGCTGGCAGCGCATCCAGGACAGCCGGCGGGGTGACTACAAGCTCAAGTGGTGTGAGGTCAAGTGTCGGGACAGCTACAGCAGCTTCCGGGAAGGTAGTGGGGAGGGGCTCGGGCCCACCCAGAGCAGGCGAGAGGCCCCACCCCTCCCTGTCGGGAGTCGTGGGGGCCTGGGTGGCCGCGGCCCTGCTGTGGTCACATGCATGCTGCCCGCCTTTGTTGTGCCAGGCGAGCAGCTGCTGTACCAGATCCCCAACAACAGACTGCTCACCACCAAGATCGGGCTTCTCAGCACCCTCAGGGAGTACTCGAGGGTTGTCAGCAAGACGTCGCAGTGCACACAGGCCAAGTATGCCCGCCCTGGGCCCCCCCAGTACCACCCAGGGCCCGCCACCCCATCCCCCATCCGACCCTCTGTCCTGTCCACCCGCCTACATCCAGCCACTCACCCATCTTCCCACAGACCCCTCCACTCACCGTTCTGTCTCCACTACAGACACCTGCCATTACACCCCCCACAGTCCCCCAGAGCCCTTACAGACACCCACCTCGAAGCCACCCCTTGGTGTCCCTCACTTAGTCATTCATTGCCCACCGCACCCACTCCTGCCCACCCCCGTACCTGCTCCCGAAGACCCTCTACGCTACTGTCCGCCCGCCTGTGCCCTCTGCCCAGCATGCAGCCTGAGACGCTCAGGGTCTCATCCATCTGGTGTCCACATGTCCACTCACCCACTCTTCATCTGGTCACCTGCCTGAGCACTGTCCACCCCCACCAGGCAGGCAGCCTGCCTCACCTGGTCACCATGACGCCGTCTCTACATCAGTTGATCTACCTGTCCAATCCGCCCTCCCCATGTCAGTCAGCAACTCTCCCCTGCCCCTTCAGGCACCTGTCATTCTTCCATCTACTTCCACCCCAAACCCACTTACCCACCCCCACACACACCCATCTACCTACCTCCAGGCCCCCACCCATTCCCCCTCTCCAGACACACACCCGTCCGTCCCACACACACTGTGGAGTGGACACTCAGGCCAGGCCCTGTGTCCCTCTGGGGAGCAGATCTGGAAACGACCCAGCACTCGACCTCGAGGAGCTCCCGTGGATGAGCCCAGGATGCCTGGGGCGGCGGAGGTAGATGCACTCAGCCCAGCTCAGCTGGGCAGGGCCGTTCTGTCCTAAATTGAAGGCTGGCCTGATTCAGGTCGATGGCAAGGCCCTGAAGGGCATCCCAGGCCAGTGGAAGACGTTTGGACCAGCCGGGAGCACTCAGGTCCCCGGGCTGGCGGCATGCTGGGCACTGTCCGAACTGACCTCTCAGAAGTACCTGAGCCCCGCGAGCAGCAGAGGAGGGTGGGGGGCCGGGAGCAGGGAAGAGGGGGAGGGGCCGGGTGCAGGTGAGCAGCCTGCAGAGAGGCCAGGTGCACCGCACGCGTGCTCTGGCAAGGGAGCAGGGGGCAAAGGCTTCGTAGAGAACAGCTCGACGTGGCGCGGGGGTGCAGGGGAAACCGGGGAGCCTGGAGCCCGATCCGGCTTCCCGGGGCCGCGCTCCCTCCAGCCTGCCTCAGGCCCCGCCACGCCTGCGCGGGAGGGAGAGAACCCTCCTTGTGTCTCCCCAACGCCCTGCTCCCCCAGGTTCCTGAAAATGGAAGAATTTTTCCCAGAGACCTACCGCCTGGACATCAAGGAGGAGAGAGAGGCATTCTTCACGCTCTTTGACGGTGAGACGCCGCTGAACGCCAGGCCGGCTCCGGAGAGATGCGTTCCGGGCGGGACCAAAACTGGGGCGTAGTTAGGTAGGGTGCGGCCCGGGCTACCAGCGGATGGGGGCGCGATTCCGAAGGGGACCAGGGGAGCCAGGTGGGCCAGGTGGGCGGAGTCGGGGCTGTGGGCGGAGTCTGTGCGCGTTCACAGCTGAGAGGGGAGTGGTTCGAGCCGAGGAGGGTCTGCTTTCAGGCTGGGGCGTGGCCAGACCTGGGATGGGCGTGGCCAGGGCCCTGGTTGGACCTGGGCGGATTGGGTGGGCGTGGTCAGGACCCTGGTTGTTTGCGGGTGCTGGGGGGCTAGTGGGCAGGGTCCGGAGCCTTGGGCGGCCCCGGACTCTCGTGGCTCTCTCCACAGAGACCCAGACGTGGATCTGCAAGCCCACCGCCTCCAACCAGGGCAAAGGCATCTTTCTGCTCAGGAACCAGGAGGAAGTCGCCACTCTCCAGGCAAAGACCCAGAGCATCGAGGAAGACCCCATGCACCGCAAGATGCCATTCCGGGCTCCTCAGGCTCGAATTGTGCAGAGGTGAGGGGTTGTACACCACGAGGGTCGTCAGTGGGGGCGGCGTCAGTGGGGCGGGGAGGCACCAGCCAGTTTGTCCCCTGCCTGGACACTACTCCTCTGTCCTGAAGGAAGCCACCTGGGCAACACCTGCCTTCAAGCCTGCAGCCGGAGCGGTCCCTCCCTCCAGCCCTCTGCCTCTGGGCAGGGCCCAGATCCTAGTCTTGCCCCAGAAAGGTCCTTCTCGAGCTCCCCATCTGCCAGTGTGACCGCGGTCCTGTCTCAGCTGCTGTCTGCCACCCTCCTCTCCCCCATGGCCGTCCCAAGCTGCTGCTCCCAAACCCTGTGTCTTGAGTCCTACAGCTCCCTCCACCTGGGATGTCCCCTCCCTGTGTCTCCAGTGCCACCCTGCCTCCTTCTTCAGGCAGTCCTCCCTGCCCAGGGGCCTAGTCTCCCAGCAAGAGCTGCAGTCTGGGGACACCAAGGGAGCTGAGACCCAGGGATTCTCTGAACCACAGGTGGCGAACACAAGGCCCACAGGCCAAATCCTGCCCTTCACCTTGTTTCATCTGGCCCAGCGCTGTCTCTACCCGGTGGCAGCCCCGAGCCCTCGCTTAACTGTGAAGGAGCAGTTACATTTATCCAGTCCTAACATTGCATTTGGCCCTTTGAGGGCAACCTCGAGGGCCCCCGGTGAAAATGGGTTTGACACCCCTGCCCTGAACTGTTCAGGCTCAGAAATGTCCCCCTACCGATGTACACGCACCCAGCAAGGGAGGGAGCCTGCAGGTCGCACCTGGAACAGGTGGTGAGGGCACTGAAGGACTGGCCGGCGTTGGGGCAGAGGGACGCACAGGGGCCAGGCTGGCTGTGGGCTAAGCCCTCGGGTGCGCACCCAGGTACATCCAGAACCCGCTGCTGCTGGATGGGAAGAAGTTTGACGTGCGCGCCTACCTGCTCATCGCCTGCACCGTGCCGTACATGGTCTTCTTTGGCCACGGCTACGCGCGCCTCACCCTCAACCTTTACGATCCCTGTTCTCAAGACCTGAGTGGCCACTTGACCAACCAGGTGAGGGCCCTCCCTGCAGCCTTGGGACAAGACCGCTGCCCAGGAACACAGACCTATAGGTGGCCTGGGCCGTCTCCTGCCTGCAGTCAGCGTCACCAGTCCCCTGCAGCCACCACAGGTGTGCTGGTGACGTGACCTGGAGCCTGGCACCCAGGCACCACAGCTTGGTTCCCTTTGGGTGTGGGTGAGGCGTGGTAGGGCTAGGAGTCGAGGGGAGGGGTCCCTGTGAGGACCTCAGTGCAGAGAGCCTGGGGCCAGAGGTCTCTGTGGAAGGTCCTCATGGGAAGATTCTGGGTGGGACCCCCCTGAGGGACCTCCCCCTCCCCGTGAGGATCAGCAGGGGACTTGGTGGCCGAGGAGGTCTCCGAGGGGGGGTCTCGGCAGCGGGCCTGCTGCAAGATGTCCTGGGGGGCAGGGCCTCCGGTACTCGGGGTGCCTCTCCAGGTGCCACCACGGCCTTCCCGCAGTTCATGCAGAAGAAGAGCCCGCTGTACGTGCTCCTGAAGGAGGACACGGTGTGGAGCATGGAGCAGCTCAACCGCTACATCAACCACAAGTTCAGGGAGCCCAGAGGCCTCCCCAGCGACTGGGTCTTCACCACCTTCACGGTCCGTGTGCCCTCACCCACCTTTTGCCTGGCATGGGGCCCCTGAGGGTCAAGACCCCTTAGGGCATGTGGGAGCAAGGGCAGCATTCCCTCGGGAGTGGGCTGGGCCTGAGGTGTGGGACCACCTGGGGGGTGTGTGCCTGTACTGCAGAGTGTGTCCCCCTGTGTCCCTGTGTGCAGCTGGCCACCCCGAGGTGGCTCTGCTGAGAGAGTTCACATTCCCTCCAGTGGGGCACTGTCTCCACACCCTTGCCAACACTTTTTCCATTTTTAATGCTCAGTAGCAGGCGTGAAGTGGGCATGTCACTGTGGGTTTGATCTGTATTGTGCTAGTGATGATGGTGATGAGTGTCCTTTCCTGTGTTTACTGGCCCTTTGTACACGTGCTTCAGGAAGTGTTCTGTTCAGATCTGTCACCCTCTCCCTGTCCCGGTTCTTTTATGGATTCTGGACCCCAAGCCCTTGTCGGAGGTGTGATCAGCAAACACTTCCTCCTGTTCTGAGTGCTTTTTCCCTTTCTTGATAATGTCCTTTCAATAATGTCCTTTTTTTGCATGCAAGTTTTAGAGTTAGATGAAGTACAACTCTAACTTCTTTGGCTATTAATTTTTTAATGTCACATCTAAGAATCCACCGCCAAATCCAGTGTTGGAAATATTTACACATATGTTTTCCTCCAAAAGTTTTTTCAGTTCAGCTCTTGCCTGCATTTAAGTGATTGGCCATTTGGGGTTATTCGCTGTGCAGGGTATGAGGTAGGGCCCCAGTTCATTCTGTTGCATGTGGCTGTCCCACGTCCCAGCGCCATTTGTCAGAGACTGTTTGGGGCACACTGTCGGGTTCTCTCTGCTGTCACAGTCGTGTTCCCAGGGCGGGGGGCGGTCTGCCCCCGGGCTCACACCACACATCCGACGCTGTAGCCGCCTTCTCTCCGTGTGTCACGCTGCTCAAGTGTCATGTGGCAAACCACTCCAGCATGTGGGACGCGTCCCATCAGACACAGTGTGTGTTGTCCCTCGAGTGTGTTCCTGGTCTGGTCTGCGTCGTCACGGCGCCATCGTGTCCGCACTCATCAGCGACGCCTGGGAGGAGCGTTCGTTCCTCTGTGTGTTCGTGCGGTTTGGGGCGTGTCTTCGCTTTGGCTTGTGAAGAGCATGTGAACATTTTGCGTTAATTAAATTTTTGGAAGAATTCATCAGCGAGGCTACCTTGTCCTGAGGCTTTTCTATTGGGAAGGTTTGTGTATTATTATTATTATTATTACTAATTCAACCTTTATTTGTTAGAAGTTATATTCAGACTTCCTGTTTCTTGTTGACTCAGGCTAATGAGTGTGTCTTTGTAGGAATTTGTCCATTTCTTCTAAGTTACCTAATTTGTTTAAAATACACTTGTCCGTAGTATTCTATGGACAGTTATAATCCTTGTTAAAATCATTTTCATCTCTATGCAAAGTCTTCCTCTCTTGACTTTAAATCATTTATCTTCTTTCTCTTTGTCTCCCACAATCTGGTGAGAGCCTGTCTCTTCCCCGAGCCAGCTTTTGGATCCATCCGTTTTTGTCCAGTGTTTCCCACTTTCTGTTCCATGTAATATCCGCTCTGGTCTGCCTGCTTCAGGGTCAGGCTTCTCTTCTTTTTCCAGTTTCTCCAGGCTGGAGGTTAGGCCGCTGGTCTGAGAGCTTCCTCGGCGAACGCAGGTGTTTTGGCCACAACTGGCCGCAGGCGCCGCCCTCACCGGGCCGCTGGGGGGGGTGTGTGGCAGTCGCCAACTGTTCCCGCTGAGCTGTGTCTCCCCGAAGCTCTGTCCGTTCTTACTTTATGTATTTCTAGGCTCTTTTCTTAGGTGCATCTGTGTTTATAATTACTACATCTTGATTCATCCTTATAAAATGTAGTTTTCTCTTAATATCCTCGATTTGTGTCTTAAAATCGATTTTCTCTGATATCAGTCTAGCCATTCCAGCTCCCTTTTGGCCACTGTTTGTATGAAATTTCCTTGCCCACCTTTTGACTTTCAGCCTCTCTGTGTCTTTGAATCTGAAGTCACATAGATAGCATAGCAAGGGGGGGGGGGGTTATGCACTTCACCTGTCCCTGTCTTTTATTTGGAAAGTTTTATTTACATTAACATAATTACTGATGAGGTGAGATTTACACCTGCTTTTATTGTTATTTGTTTTCTATCTGTCGTATAGCTTTGTTTCTCAGTTATTTTTTAAAAGAGTTTATTTATTTATTTTTAGGCAGAGGGGAGGGGAAGGAGAAAGAGAGGGAGAGAAGCATCACTGTGTGGTTGCCTCTCACGTGCCCCCTACTGGGGACCCGGCCCGTAACCCAGGCATGTGTGCTGACTGGGAATTGAACCGGCATCCTTTCGGTTTGCAGGCCAGCACTCAGTCCACTGAGCCACACCAGCCAGAGAAGGAGGAGGCCCTCAAAGGGCACAGGTCCCTTGTGCCCCTCCTCGGCTCCACCCTCTGACAGCTCTGGTCTCCGAGAGGCGAGGTCCTTCCCTGACCCCACGGTGTGCCAGGCACCACCCTGGTCGCCTGCTCCCCCTGCTCCCCCAGCCCCTCAGGCTCAGATGCCCCGCGCCCCGCCCCACAGCACCTCCTCCCTCTCTTCAGTCCTTGCTTGCTAGCTCAAGGAGGCCGCCCCAGAGCCCACATCGGCACACCCCACTTCATCTTCTCCACCAGCATTTGTTGCTTAAGATGCTGCCCAAAGTGTGTAAGGATCTCCAGGTCATAGTTGTCCAGACCCTCCTCCTGAGTTCTCGTCACTCTTGTCCCTGAGCACCTGCCACACAGCCGGAGCTCCACCTGCTGAATGAATGAAATGAGAGTGACTGAGTCTCTGCCTATAAACCTGTTTCATGCTCCAAAAGTGCGAAAACTCGGGCAGGTGTGGCCGTGCAGGTGAGGACACAGGTGGTAGTTCAGTGAGGGCCCAGGTGAGGCTGCAGGAGAGGGGCGTGGCTGTGGCCGTACTGGCCTGGGAGCTACGACCAGGGCCTGTGGTGACGGTCGCCACCCCTTCCCTTCCCACCCACAGAAGCAGATGCAGCAGATCATGGCCCACTGCTTCCTGGCCGTCAAGTCCAAGCTCGAGTGCAAGCTGGGCTACTTTGACCTCATCGGCTGTGACTTTTTGATTGATGACAATTTCAAGGTGACCTGAGGCATTCCAGGGTGGGGGGGCCTGGTAGGCAGGTGCTAGGAGGCAGGTGTCTGTGCACAGCCTGACCACCAGACAGGACCCCCGGCCCTGGGGGGTGTCCACAAGGCTTCATCCCTCCTGCAGCTGGGGCGGCCTCCAAGGCCAGACCCTCAGACCCTTAGAGTCTCAGCCCCTTGGGCAAATATGAAGAGCGAGGCCCTAGAATAGAAGCGACATGCCCAGGGTCACCCTGCTTGCCAGGGTGGCCGACTTGGTCAGCGGGCAAGGGTGCTGACCGGTGTTGGGCCCAGGTGTGGCTGCTGGAGATGAACTCCAACCCCGCCCTGCACACCAACTGTGAAGTCCTGAAGGAGGTGGTGCCCCGCGTGGTCACGGAGACCCTGGGTGAGGCCCCTGCACTGCCCCCCCTCCAACCGCCCCCACCCCTGCCTGCCCAGGCTCCAATGAGTCACCCCACCTGTCTCCCCACACCTCGCCCCGCCTGGGTCCCACTCCTCACCTCCTCCTTTGCCCCCAGAACCTGCACTCCAGCCCCGCACACGCGATGCTGGAGCGGCCGGGTTCCTGCCCCTCTCATCTCCCCAGGCCAGTGTGCCTCGCTCACACCCTCCCACTACCCCCGCCCCCAGACCTGGCGCTGGAGACCTTCCAGAAAAGCTTGCGCGGCCACAGGATGTTGCCGCTGCTGTCGCAGCGCCGCTTCGTGCTCTTACTCAACGGCGAGACCGACTTGTGGCCGCGCCCGGGGAGCTCCCGCAACGTCCCCCGACCGCCGCCCCGGCTGGCCTCTGAGGCCGCATCCACCGCGCCCCAGACCCGCGCGGCAGACCAGCTGGGCGCGCGCAGGCCCAGGCCGCCCCGCTCCGCGCAGGGGCACCCCCGGCCTCACTCCCCCGGCCCCGACGGCGCCCCGGGCAGCGAAGGGCCGAGAGCAGATAACAGGAACCTGGCGCGGGAGGCCTCCCCGGGATCGGCCGAGGAGGACCGCGAGGGTCGCAGGAGCGAGGACCACCGCGGCTCCTAGCGGCCCTCGCCCGCGCCCTCACAGGACCTATAAAGGCTACTTTGCTACAAGCGCCGCCTCCGAAGCGGGTCGGGCGCGGCCCTGGGGGGCGCCTCCTTGGGAGTTTCCGGTTTCCCAGCCCCACCCGCCCCTGCCCCGGGGCTGGGACCTGTCCTTGGGAGGCACACAGGGGTGGAGGGAGGGGGTGGTCGGTCCTGCAGGAAGCGGACATGAGCTCCCACAGCCCCCACTCCGCTAGTCCTGGAGCTGCCTCCGCCAGAGGTGCCCTCCTCGTGGAGCCTCGTGCTGCTGCTGCTGCAGAACCGACAGGACCCGCTCCCGCTCGGCTCTGTGACCCCCGGTGAAGGGGTCTGGTGTGCCCCTGAGTTCCCAAAGAGGAGGGCTCCCCCAGCCCCGGACTGCCCCTCAGGGCCCCACCCCCTGCCCGGGCCCTCACGCCCTACCTCCACCGAAGTCGTTCTCCCCCACCCAGGGACCCTGACTTCCCAGCAGGACGCGAGGTGGGAGAGCACCCTGACAGACCCGCGCGGGGAACAGGGGCCCACCCTCGCCATTCCCTGGGTGGCTTCACATTCCCCACGGGCGCAGCCCCACGGTTCGAGGTGATTCAGGGCCCCTGATGTGTTCAAGCCCCCGACCGCTCAGCCCCCATCTCTGCACTCCCCACTCCCCTCCCCCCAGCCATGCCGCACCCACCCTGCTCCAAACCCCAAGGTCCAGACAGCCACCCTGGGCCCGCCCCAGCTTGCACACGCCCCTCCTGCACCCCGCCCCCCACCGTGCTCTGCTCACCTCTCCCAGCTGTTGGCTAAGTCACACGTGCGCCTGACCCACCCCCGGTTCTGACTTCTAACCCACGCCCAGCACCCGTGGCCTCCACAGCATCTGGGACAGGCTGCCAGTCCCTTCAGTGTCCTCGAGTTGGTGCTTAAGCTAGGAAGGGGCATGGAGCCAGCCTCGTCACCCTGCCGCTGCATTCTGGTGGGGGCAGCAGAGGGCGCCAGAGAGCGCCGAGCACCGCTGCATCCCTGCCCGCCCACTGGAGCGCGCTGCCACTCAGCCAGGGAGAGAAGGGATGGAGGGACAGGGGCTCCGAGAAGTACAGTGAGTCCCCCAGGGTTACAGAGCCAGTGGGGGGCCCACCACTGGTCCAGGGAGCAGGGCCCCAGCTACAGAGTCGCTGCAGCCCTCACCGTCCTGCTTTCTCCCTGGCTTGGAGTGTGGGGTACCCAGGCAAGAGATCACTGAGTGGCCAGAGTCCCCCCAGGCACCTCCAGCGGTCCTCCCATGAGGGGTCATGCTCAGCTACTGCTGGCTCTGCAGCCCAGCCGGCCAGCTCTGAGCCCGAGGCTGGGGTGGGACGGAGGGCAGCCTCCATCAGGAACCAGGGGCCTCCTGGGCAGACTGAGCGCACCCAGGTCTTTGTGAAACCCGCACCCGGGCCTTGGGGGCCATGGCCACGTTCCCTGCTGGCACCCAGGCTGCTCCTCGGCAACATCAGTACCCGGAAGGGCCCAGCTCTCCCAGGTGGAGCCAACCTGTGGGCTCGTGGGCGTGGCCTGAGTCTCCAGGGAGAGGCTGCCCCGATGTCTCGGTCATCCCTGGACCCTGAGTGGCTGCAGTGACGCACCGGGACCCGTGACACCACAAGCACTGCACATTGGCAGAGCCCCCAGCCCCGGGGCGCTCCCAAAGGCCTGGGCCACCGGCTGCTCTTAAGTTCCCAGTGCCCCCCGAGAGCCCAAGCATCAAGTGAGATATCCCAAGAGCCACTGCTGTTTACCCCCAGGGGCAACGGTCCTCGTCCAGGACCTTAAGGACCCGGGAGGCCGGAGAGGCGGGCAAGAGACGGAGACCGGGGTGCTGCAGCACACGGTATAGCCAAAGGCAGGCCGGGCTGGCCGCCACTTCAAAAGCCAGTACTCGAGGGGCAGGTGCTGATGTGCAGAAAAGACGGGGGACTCACGTCTTGGAGCCCGTCTCCCCCTCTCAGCGCAGGCAGAGGTGTTTATAAGGAGGGAGGGGGCACAGAACAGACAGATTGGGGGAAGGTCTGCACAGTTCTCGACGTGCAGACGGGCACAGTCCTCTCCAAGGCAGGTGACAGTCCTGTGTGCGTCATCCCGGTTTAGTCAGCCTGGCTTTACGTCATCACAGCTCCGAAGCTGAAGGTCAGTGCTTCCCCTGGAGCTTTAAGGTCGGCTCTGAACCTTGTAGTTCCTAGAATTCTTACATAAGCAGCTGTTTATCTACAAGCCACACCAGAGTCAGCACTTACAGAGAAGATATCAGCCCCCCACCGTCAGTGTTCCGCTGTTACAACGCGGCACCTGGCGTCTTCGGGCAGCAGGTGCCCCCTGCTATAATCAATACATAGAAGACAGCAGGTGCCCTGAATATTGACCACACGTCAATATTCAAAGACAAGGGGTGGCAGTCCCAGCAGAGGCAGCTGGGACCCCTGAGTGGGGGAGCAGGGGCGCCAGGTGCCCAGGACACGCTGCCCGGCCCTGTGCCCAGCCAGGCATGTGCTACAACGAGAGGGCTGCCCCCTCCTCCCCTCACATCCAGACCCCCCCACACTACCTACTCGCTTCCTCTTCCCTCTCCCCTCCAGGGATCCTGCTGGCAGGTGGGGAACCCCTGCACTGCCTTCTGTCTGCAGGAAGCTTGGGGGGTTCGGCTGCCCTTGGCTCCGACCCAGGCAGCACCGGGGGAACCAACCCCAGAGCCTCCCCCGGCACCCAGTGGGACATCTCTCAGCCTCAGGCAGACAGTGTCCCGGGTCTGCTGAGCATCTTCTGAAGTCATGGGTCTGTTCCGGCCACAGCCAGGGAACCCCAAGGACCCGGTGGACACCCCCAGCCCCTCAGCCCTGCAGTGTGTCCCTGAGACACGGGTCTGAAGCTGCTTGGCCCGAGTCACAGCTCCTGAGGCCTCCTGAGAGGATGAGGCCGGTGGAGGTGGAGGTGTCTGGCTCCCCACCCCACGCTGGGGCACAGCCACTTTGGGGGAGAGCCCCCCAAAACCAGCACAGGACCAGCTGCCCCTCCAGGATCACGTGCCAGCCTTAGAGCTCAGCCCGCCTCTGGGGCTGAGGTACAGGAGATGTGCCCCTCAATGCTCAGGGTAACCTGGGGGTCAGGGGACAGGAGTGACGGCCCCAGCGCCTGGGCGGTGGCCCGTTTGACCGCCGGGCACACATGCAGCACCGGGGCAGCCAGGGACCCCTGCCCGGGCAGCCAGCCCCAGCAGGCCCGAGGACAAGCTCTCTCTGCGGCGGCCCTCCTTCCTGCCCCCACTGAGGGTCTCTGTCCAGCTGGGGCTCTACCCTCAGTAACAAGAAGGGCAGGTGAAGGGTGGGGACCCGCCGAGGCCGGAAGAGCTTCTGGGAACACAAGGCGGCCTCTGGATCCTTATCTGAGACCGAACTCCAACCCCCGGAGGCGGAGCTGTGGTTTTCCGGGACAGCTGGCACCTGCCCCTGGGGGTGGCAGTTCTGGGTGGGTGGAGTTTCACCTTGGGGTCTGTCTAGGGCTTGGGGGCCAGGCCGGGCTATCAGCCTCTGCAGGGGGCACACACCTGCCCCAGGCCAGGAAGCTGGCTGAGGGGGAGGGGAGGGAGCCTCCCACAGCCCCTTAACTCCAAACCACCTCCCCACCCCCTTTCCCCACAGCCAGCACCCGAGTCTCCCCAGGCCCCTGCCCTGGGCACTGGTCCTCACTGCCTGCCCGAGTTTCCTGCTTCTGAATTTGGAGTTGCTCAGGCCTCCCTACCTAAACCCTCCGCCTCCTCCTAACACCTCAACCCCCACCCTCGGCCTGGTGCTGAGCACAGGCCCTTCTCAGGGCAGAGCCAGGCCAGCCCTGCAGACCTGGGGTCCTGGGGGCCCGGGCAGGCGAGAGCCCAGAGGTGGGGAGGGGCGGACGGAGACGAGGTGACTGCCGAGTAGGGGCACCTCTGCTGCACGTGGGGCGCGAGGAGGGAATCACCCCCAGGCCCTCCCGGGGCCAGAGGCTGTCCGCCCAGACCCCTTCCCCTCCCACCGCCCTTGGCTCCTGGAATCCCCCACGGCTCTGCGTCACTCCTGCCGCCCCCACCCCTGAGCTGACGCTGCGCTGAGTTCTCCCGAGGAGTTTCCACGCTGAGTCAGCCCTGCCTCGCCCACCTGCTGGGCCCCTTGGGACTTGGGTGTGGGCGGGCCACAGGCCACTGGTGGTTTCTGGGGAAGGTCTTCCTATGACCAGAGGCCTGGCCCCTCCCAGCTAAGCCAGGTGGGGAACCCCTTCCCTGCTCCCCCCGTTTGGGGACAGCCTGAGCAGGCACCTGAGGAGGGTCCGGGACAGTTGGGAGCGCCCACCTGGGAGCCTGTCTGTGGGGGTGGAACAGTCAAGGGGCCCAGGTGGCCGGAGTGAGCCCCAGGAGAACTGGCTGCCCAAGGAGACAGAGCCAGGGGTTGGCAGAACAAGGGACCTGGCCTAGAGACACAGCGCACAGTATGGCCGGCAGGTCCCAGGGAGGCTGTCTGCTCCGAGGACAGCCTGAAAGGTGTCCGCCGCTGTTTTCCCGAGGTCCAGCTGGCCGGCGCCCGTTTTCTTATTTATCAGCTGGTTCACCTGGGACTCACCAGGGACTTGGGCTCCAGGGACCTGGCAGGCACGGGGGAGGTGCCCACGGACAAGCATTGCCCCAGGGACCAAAATCATGAAGGCATCCCTGCCCTCCTTCCAGGGGCAAAAATGAGCTGTGCTCTGCCGGGGTGGGACGATGCCCTTGGGGCGACACACCTGAGCCCTCTGTCCTCCACTCCCTGCTGTGCGGTGCCCACCCGGCCCCCCGCCCGCTAGGCCTGGTGGGGTGGGGACCGGTGAGTGAGTCGGGAGGGCTCTGCTGGGCTGTGTGCAGGCAGGAGGGGAGGGTGGGGGGACTGGAGCACTTGGGCTGCCAGCGGGCCTCCGGGTATGCTGTCACCTGCAGGGTGCTGCCGCCGAGACGGGTCCCCACTGGCCCGCCTTCCACACCCTGGAAGCCTGTGCCAGTGAGTCCTTGTCAGACCTCCCCAGGTGTCAGCCCTGCCAGGAGGCTCCCAGGGATCTGAGTCCTGTGAGGTGGCAGATGCCAGCAGCAGGGTGGGGAGATGGGTTGAGGTGGCCACCACCCACCCGGAGGCACCGAGGGCAGAAAATGACCTGGCCCCAGACTTTGTGCCCAGATGACGCACGGCAGGCGCCCCCCAGGGGCCAGGCTGGAAGCCCAACCTGAGCCCAGAGTCTGGACCAGCGGTGGCCCCGAGATCGGACACAGGCCCAGGACCCAGCCACCCTAGTGTGTGCCAGGCAGGCAAGCAGCCGGGGGGGGGGGGCACTGGGCGGGGCATAGATGCACAGCCCCTCCCCCAGGACGCCTACTGAGCCCCGAGGTTTCTGCTCTGGGGTGGCCTGACTTCTGCTCCCGAACTTGAACCCCCACCCCACCCAGCCCAGGAGGGATGGTGGCCATGGGTTGGGGGTAGCCCTGAGGCCCGTGCCTCGTGTCCCTGCCTCTGCCCAGCACACGTCCACTCGGGTCGCTGGGCAAGTGTTTATTGGGCTCTGCCCGCAGCCTGTCCTGGGCTGTCTGGCCTCCTGTCCAAGGAACCAGGGCCCACAGACCCCACCTCATCAGGGCCAGCAAGGGAGGGAGGCAGCCCTGTCGTCGGCACCTCCTGTCGTCGTCCTCTCCTGCATGATCTGGGGAGTCACTGCTGCCGCAATCCCCACCCGCTTCCACCGCCGAGGGGAGCAGGGCCGGGCCAGATCCGGGCCCCTCACAGGGCCCAGAGCCCATGCACCCGAGGGTCGGCCCCGGGCCAGTTCCAGGGAGGCCTGTGTCGGGGTCCACCTGCTGGAAGGCGGCCAGGCCTCACACCCACAGGTTCCCCGGCGGGCCCTTGTCCTCCCCCGTGTCCTCCGAGAGCTGTCCTCCTCGCTCCTCTTCCGGGAACTGGCAGCTGTAGGTGTCGTCGACCACCGGTGGCACCTCCAGGAGTGGCTGGGTCTCTGCAGAGGGGCCGTGGTCAGCGGGCAGGGCTCAGAGGGGCCCACCTCCCCAAGCTCAGGCACAACTGACCTGGCGGCTGCACGAGCTGCCTCCTCAGCTGCCAGAGGTGCAGGCCGAGCTGGGCTGCGGTCAGGGCCAGGATGCAGGCACCCAGGGCCAGGAGCACGGCGAGCGGGCAGTGCGTCTCAGCGGGCGGCAGCATCAGGCCGCACACGGCGTTGTGCGTCTTGTTCCCGGGGAACACAGTGCGAAGGCCAGACCGGGAGCAGCTGGGACACGGGCACACGGAGCCCCGCGTCAGCCCTCGGCCACCACCAGCCCCTCCTACAGCCGCTGCCCGATCTGACGGGGGTCACCACACCAGGAGGGGCAGGACAGTCCCCTCTCTGGGAGCCACCCGAAGGCCCCGCCAGCACTCACTCTGCCCAAGGACTACAGTGGCCCTCGCTGCCCCCAGAGAAGGTCCCCTCGGCACAGTCGACACATTCGAAGCCAAAATTGTATGCCCCTGCAGACAGACAGAGGGACAGAAAGACAGACAGACAGGCTGCAGGGCCACCGGTGGGTGTGGACCCCACACCCGACCCCTCCACAGAGGTCTCAGCACCCCCAGGACCAGGCCCCAGAGAAGCCAGCATCTGCGTGTGCCCCATCCAGGTATCTGTGCGGGAGGCGGCCCCGGGGGGACCTGGAGGCCGTGACCCTGGGCTGAGTGCAGGCTCCCCTGGGGGCACTTGGGGAGGACGGCAGCGATGGGGCCAGGGTGGGGGTGGAGAGGCAGCAAAGGCCAGGCCTGGGCTGGTCCCGAGGGCCAGAGGGCAGGAGGCCAGTGAGGGTCCCGGACAGAGGGGCTACGGCTGCCGTCCCCATGGGCCCTAGACCTGCCGCCCTCCAGCCTCACACAACTCCCCTGTGTGGGCACCGGTCCGGCCCCTGGTTGAGGGGAGGGCTGGCCCAAGTGGCTGCAATGCTGAGAGACACAGGAGCCCCTGCCCAGAGACCACGTCTGTGTCCCCCACACCAGTGACCTTCCTTCCACGCCCACACGCCACTCAAGCCCAGCCTTGGCTGTGAGCTCGGCCACTCAGGCTGAAGCCCGGAGGGACTTACCGTGGGTCTCCACCTCCTGGCCGGGTGGGCAGGGGTGGTGTTTGCAGGTCTCGCACTGTGGGTCTCCGCAGTGGAACTCGGGCTGCAGACACGTGCAGGTCCCCTCTGGACAGGCCTGGGCTGGGTGGGGACAGGCTGGCCCCTTAGCAGCTGGGCTGAGCCCCCCTCCCCAGGACTGCCCCCTCTCCGGCCCTCCAGGGTGGAGGGGCTTCAGGGCAGGCAGCCCACTCTCAGGCACCACCAGGGGGCAGAGGGCAGCTGTCTGGGAGCCAGGACCCTCACTTAGCCCTCTGCTCTGTCTGAAGCTGGGCTCACCCAGCTTCGCTGTGGCTCTGCTTGGGACCTGGAGCTGCCCCTGACAAACAAGAAAGTGGCCTGGGGGCCGCCTTAACCCTGCACTGAGCCAGGCGCCATGTTCCCGGAGGCAGTTTGCCTGTCCTCCTCCCGGCCCCAGCCCCAGGACCCCTCAGGGTGACACTCTGGGGTGTCTTTCCTTTGATATGTGTCCCCGAACAGGCACATTCCACCGGCCCCTCACCCACAGCCGCAGGTCAGAGACGGGAGTACGGGGTGGGAGGCAGGAAGTGGCCTGAGTGAGGACCGAGGACTCGTTATGCACTCAGTAGGAACCAGGACCCCGGCCGGTCACGGAAACGGCTTCCGGCCCCTCGCCCCGGGTCCCCGCCTCAAGCCACGGGCGGGAGCTGGGCTGCTTCCACTCCCCGGGCTTGTGGTGGAGCCCGGGGTTCTGGGCCTGGAAAGCTTGCTCACTGCTTTGCCTCGGCCGGGTCTGCGCACGCGGAGGGGGCGCAGCGCCTCTGAGCCCGGAGCCGGGACTCCAACCCCGCCCGCCCGCTGCGGGCCTTACCCGAGGCACACGGGCCGCAGCAGCGCAGGTTCACCCCGGTCCCGCTCACAATGCTCCCGGGGCCGCATCTCGGGTCCATGGGGGGCCGCTGGCCCAGGCCAAGCGCGCAGAGCAGCGCAACGCCCCACAGGGCCGCCCGCACGCCCCTTGCGCCCATGGCACCGTCACCCAAGCGAGCTCCCCGACTTTGAGACGCCATCACGCCCCACTAGGCACGCCCAGACCCCGCCCCAGAGGCCGGCACGCAGCCCCACCTCTACCACGCCGCAGGGGGCGAGAGGAGTTGCTACCACCTGCACCCCGCAACAGGCAGCGACTCGGGGCTCAAGGCGCAGGCGGGGCGCAGGGGATTTGGGGGCAGTGAGACTCCTTTGTGATCATCCTGGGGAACGCAGGTCACGGCGCCTCTGTGCAAACAGCCGAATGCACAGCACGGAGGGACCCTAATGTAAGGGGGGCCCCTGGGTGACGGTGGAGTGTCCGTTGTGACATGTGCGCACCCTCTGTGGAGACGTTTGTAACGGCGACCGCTGTGCATGTGTGGGGGCCGGTGGGAAATCTCTGTACCTGCCCCTCAATTTCGCTGTAAACCTAAAAGTATTTTGAAAAATAAAGCATATTTCTTCCAAAACTAGTGGGTTTCAGCCACTGAGGTCGGAGTCCACTGACTGGTGCTCCAGACACATGTGGGGTGACCTTGGGGTTCCCAAGTGCTCCTGCCTGCTGTCCTCCCAGGAGCGCCTATCCACACACACCCCAGCCCAGTGGGGAGCGGGGAGGGGGTGGGGGGCATCTGAAAATCTCTCTATGCAGAGCCTGTGGCCACCTGGTCTGGAGAGACAGGGTTGTGGGCAGGAGAGTAGCAGGGGTGGGGTCTGGATGTGGGTGGTCAGTCAGGCCCTGAGTCATTGTGGGTGGGCAGTGCCCACAGGTGGGTTCTGGAGAGGGACCTCCCTCTGCGGGTGGAACTGAGCCCTAGTTGTTCCCTCTCGGCCCCTTGGCTCTGGCTGAATCCCCTCCCACCTCCAGTCTTGCTGGAGTCCCAGGGGGAGCGGGGTGCAGTCCGTTGTCCTCCCCGAAGCCTGCAGACCCAGAGCCCCACCTGCCTCGGGCACGGCCACACCCACTAGCCCTCCAGGCTCTGAGCTCAGCACCCAGCAGCCCGGGAGCCCACCCAGGGGTCAGGAGGAGCCCCCCACCCACTTCCTGGGAATTAGGATGAGTGTCCCTCCACTTTGCAAGGGTTACGATGAGCCTTCTTCCTGACTGGGCCAATCCAGCCTGGCAGGGCTCCAGCAGCTTGGGCTGACCCCCGTGCCCCTGTGGGGGCAGCCAGCAGCCCCCTGCCCATGCTTTTGAGCCCCAGGAGCCTCTCTCACTCCCAACCTAGGGGGCTCTTTGGCATGTGGGAGGGTGTGGCCCGGACACTGATGGAAGACTGAGGCCCCTGAAACCTGCGTAGTCGCAGCTCTGACTGCTGAGAGGTTCCGACCCGGATCCCCCCAGACAGACCCGGTCTCCTGGGGGGTGTGGAGGGCCAGCCCTCGCCAGAGCTCTTGAGCCACAGAGAACAGCTTCCACCTCACCTTGACACGGTCCCTTGTCTCTCTGAGCCTCAGTTGCCCCATGGGTCACTGAAGGGTTCTGGGGCCTGCCTCCCCAAGGAAGCCCACCTAGATTGTTTGGCTTTGTGTCCCCCCACCACCCCGCTGAAGCTCAGCACAGGGGAGCTGGGGGTGTGGGGGCTGGGCACTGGGGTCTCTGGCATGTGGCCTAGGGGGGCGCCCACAGCTGGAAGTGTGAGGGCTGTGGTCACAGGAGACCTGCATGGGGCCAGCTGTCCCTTTTCTGAGAGAAATGACAGGAGTGACGGGTTGTTACTCAACGCTTGTTCTCAGGTCCTCAGACAGAGGTCTCCAGGGTGGCTGTGGCTCCCCGCTGCCTGAGACCCTGAAGGTAAGGTGGGGCCAAGGAGCCCCGAGATTTGCATCCAGCTCCTCCTGGGGAGGTGGGGCTGAGTGTGGCCTTACCTGGATGCCAGGTAAAGGTGCTCTGAGCAGAGGTCCGGGCACCGCTTACTTTTGTAGGCGGGAGAGGCCAGGTCTGCGCCAGCAGGTGCCCCTCGGTTCCGATAGGCGCCCAGGAAACACACTAACTCCCCTACAGTGATGCTTGTGATTTGGTCCTTCCAAAATTACCTTCTGGAATTTTGGAACGTTCTGGAGTCAGCGAGACAGACGGGGGCAGAGTCGCTGCCCTCACCTACGGCCCTGCAGATGGGAAGGGGCCCGGCTGTGTGCTCCGAGGGCGGCGAGCGAGGCCGCCGAGAGGCAGAGCAGAGTCAGAAAGTGCCGGCGCCCATGCCTGCCTTCCTGTGCCCACCACGGGGCGGCCCCTCGAGCCGGTGTGGCTTCCCAGTGGGCAGTGGGGCCGGGGTGACCCTCTGCCTGTCTTTATTTCCAGCTTTATTGCCAGCCCATGAGCAGCTGCAAATCCGCATCATTTATTTCAGAAGCAACCGCGTCCATGCCCTGAGGGACCCACAGGGGAGGCTGGGGGTGTGGAGAGACAGGGCCAGGTTGGGGGCCGGATGGGGACACACCACCGGGTGGGCACCCCTGGTTTCTGCGGCTGGGGGCAGGATTCGGCTCGACACCCAGGCCTGGGACGCGGGCAGAGCCCAAGCGGGAGAAGGTCTGGGGGTGTCAGCAGAGCCCAGCGCGAACAAGGGGCAGTGTGGAAGTGCCAGGAAGGTGGCCACCCTCCGTCCATGCCTCTGTCCCACAATGAACACGGAGCCCCAGACTGGCATGGGTGTGGGGAGGAAGCCCTGCCTCAGGACGCCCAACCTTCCAAGCCCCAAGGTCCAGACCCTCCCCCAGGCCCCATTTGGAGGCCCCTGTCCCCACACCGGGGGTGACGGCCCTGTTTGGCCCTGTTGCAGCTCGTGGAGGCCAATGGCTTCCTTCCCTTTGCAGCCCGAGGGTCCAGGGACGGGGGTCAGAGGTCTGAGTGGGGAGAGGTGGAGGCCAGTGGGGCGAGTGCAGAGAGGAAGCTGCCAGCAGGTGGGAGGCCCAGGTCGGCAGGGCTGGAGGGGACCGGGCCTCGAGCGGGGCTCTGCCCGTGCCCCTGGCTCTGTCTCACCGAGCGCCCCCCCTCCCCGCAGCTGGACGTGCTGTAGGCCCTGCGGGCCCGCCTCCTGCCTCGGCTGTGGTTTCCCTCGGGTGGGCTGGTCCCATGCTCCTTCCTGTCGGCTTTTCCACACTTCCTGTGCCCTTTCTGCCCTCAGGTCGGTGTGGTCGAGGCGGATGCACGCGAGCAGGGCTGCTGAGGCTGGCTGCTGTCACGAGTGGGCACGGCCGGTCTCTTCCCGGAACGCCACGGCAGCCTGTGCATGCCGCACGTGGAGGGGGGCTGTCTGCACACGCCGGGATTTCTCCATCCGCCTTGCTGCTGACGGTCGTTCGAGTTTCCACTTTGGGGCCCTCTGCTTACACCCACCAGGCACCTCCAGTTTCCCAGAGTGGCGTTTGGCGCCCCACCGACAGGGCTTGCGAGTGTGGCCACCCTTGAGGCCCCTGGGGGTGCTCGGCCCTGGGCACCAGAAATCGGGGGCACGGGCGGGGGTCCAGGTGATCACACACTCATGGCCGGCAGGCACAGGGTCTGAGGGGCTGGGACACGCACCATGAGCCCCCCTGCAGGGACGGTGGGGTGGCCTCCATGCTCCTTTGAAACCTGAACCTCAGCTTCCCCCCTGCGCCATCAGCAGGACCCCACCCGACCGCCTGCATTGGGCCACTGGCCTCACCGTGGGGCCGCGTCATCCGATGGCCCCGGACCTTCTCTTTGGCTCCACATGCCCCCGCAGCACCGTCAGGGCCGGGGGGGGGGGGGAGAATGGAGCCTCAGGGCCTGATGGTCCTGCTGGAGCCCCCGCTGCACATGCAGCCCCAGCACCCGGACCCCCACGCACGAGCCCACCGGCACCCAGACGGAGACCGAATCGGCCAACACCGTTTATTGGGGCCCCCCCGGGTGGAGTATGCACAGCATACATAGCCGAGCCCGGGGGCGAGCCCAGGCGCACCTAGAACGGCGCAGGGCAGGCGACAGGTGCCAGGGGGACGGGGCGATGGAGCGACAGGCCAAAGGGGTGCCGGGGCACCGGCTGCCACCCGGTGCGGCTGCTCAGAGCTTGGCCAGGGCGGAGTGGGCGTCCGAGTGCTCCTCTTGCACGGGGGTCCGGCAGCCGCTGCCTCCTGGTGGGGGGAGAGCGGAGGTGGAGGCTGAGCGGGGCCTGGGGCTCCAGGCGGGCGGCCCGGGCAGGCAGCGGCGGCACTCACCGGGGGGCTTGGCGTGGTGGGTGGGCAGCCTCCAGGCCTTGTAGTGCTGCAGCAGGACCAGCACGGCGGCCACCGGGGCCAGCAGGCCCAGGCACAGCCCCAGGCCCAGGACGGCGGCCAGCTCCGGGCCTGCAGCGAGAGCGTGGCTGAGTGGGGTCCACCACGGGGGCCCCCGGGGCCAGGGCCGTCCACCCCCACCCTGCCCTCCCTGCACCCACTCTCCTCTGGACTGGGGGCCCTGCTGGGGGAGGCCGGGTACCCTTACCCCTGGGGGGCTCTGCAGGGGGCATAGCAGGCCCCTGTGAGGGCCTGGCCCAGGCGGTGGGGGGCAGGGTGGTGGGGAGCTGGGCTGGGGGGCCTGGGGTCTTCTCAGGAAGGGTGGCTGGGGGCGTCCTGCCCTCGCAGACGGCGTCGGAGCTGTTGCTGCCAGCCCGCAGGGTGCGCTTCCCCTCCGAGGTGCAGCTGAGGGGAGGGGTGCTGTCAGGGACCCGTGGGGCCACGCTGGGGGGCCTCTGGCAGCGTCCAACACCACAGAGCACGAGGGGTGTTGAAGAGGGGCCGGGCCCAGCTGCCCCAGGAAGCTCAGCCCCGGCTGCAGGATCTCCGAGGCTACGGCTCACCCCCATGTCCCCACTCAGTCTGCTCCCCAAAGGCTCCCCCTGGCCCTCCCCGCAAACCCCTGCCCCACCACGCAGCCCTAAAAGACGACCTCCCAGCTGCGGCTGAGTGGGGGTCTCTTGCGCTCCCGGGGCCAGGGCCAGGGCTGAGCAGAGCGACGGGCCCTCATGGGGCCAGTAGCTCCCTGAGCCTGCGGCTTCCAGCTTCTGGACCTGCCTCCTGGTTCCTAGGCAGCCAGGCCCCTGAGCCTCCCAGCCCCTGAGACACTCACTTGGTCCAGGGTTTGCAGGCCGAGTTGTCACCGGGGGAGAAGTGTCCTGGTGGGCACGGGGCGCAGTCTGCCACAGAGACGACACGGAGGCAGTGAAGACTGTGTGCAGGCTGGGCCTCGCGCTGCCCCTTGACCTCTGGAAGCCCCTCCCGTACTCCACCCCCTGGCTGGACCCAGAGCCCCCAGGTCTCTGCGATACCTGTTGGGGGAGGGGCACCGGGTCCGGTCTGGGAGAGGAGAGTTGGGGAAGAGGTGACAGTGTATGATGTGGGGGACGTGGACAGATCCCAGCCCCGGCTCACCAACTCCTCGCTTGAAGCCACCGAGGGGCTGGGTGCCGGGCCGGCAGCTGCAGACGGTGTCGTTGGTGGCTGTGCATATCCGCTTGATTTCGCTCCCACTTCCTGCAGGATGCGGCTGGTCTCAGGCCGAGGGCCCAAAGCCTCCTCCCCTGTCCAGTGGCCCCCTGGATGCCTGGTGGCCCCTTGAGGCTGCATCCCTCCTGGCCACGTGGACCAGGCCCCGTGGCAGTCTGGCCTCCCTTCCCGCCCTTCCTCCAGCCCGCAGGACCCTCTGTGGCCTGAGAGGCCACAAGGCCGACGTGCGCCACACCCCAAGTCCACGTGGTCTCAGCTCCCTGGGAGGCGGGAGGTGCCGCTGGGGACCCCTGAGCGGGGTGAGCCCTGCTGTGGTTTGGGGCTGGTCCTGTGGCTGTGGGGGCCCCTGTGAGCGTGATTGGGGCAGGGGGGCGCGGCAGGGCGGCAGGGGCTGGGCCTCACGCTGGTTGCACTGAGTGCAGGGCTTGCAGGTGTCGTAGTTCACGGCCTCGTTGTAGAAGCCCGGCTTACACGGACGGCACACCGAGTCCCGGCTGTCGGTGCAGCGGCTCACCATCTGGAAACCTGCGGGGGCGTCGGGGCTTCGCAAACCTGCCCTGTCCCAGGCCTGGTGCTAGGTCCCCACCACCTTAGAGCTTCACCCGCTCTGTCCCAAGCCCACTCGTCCCATGCTACCCATACCTCGGCTCCACCTGTGTGCCCCTGCCCCCCCCCCCCCGTCCCCTGTCCCCTGCTGGTGTCCCCTCCTCTGCAGACAGGCCGCTCACCTGGGTCACACTCCTTACAGCACTTGTTGCCCCTGGGGTAGGTGTTCTCCCTGCAGACGGGCTGGGCCGCAGCCCCCAGCCCCAGGAGCAGCAGGGCGGAGTGGAGCGCGCTGGGCCACCGGGCACCCACACACCTCATCGCACCGGCAGCACGGGAGTCTGGGGGTTTTCCTCGCAGGATGTGGCTATAAAGGCTGGGGAGGAGGGGCCGGGCGGGCGTGAGGAGGAGGGCACCAGAAGGACACCAGAGACTGCCAGGGCCACTCACATCCAGTGGGTCGTGCGTCTGGTCTCGGGGAACAGACCGGGAGCGGCTGGGACACGGGCACACGGAGCCCTTCGTCAGCCCTCGGCCACCACCAGCCCCTCCTACAGCCGCTGCCCGATCTGCCGGGGGTCACCACACCAGGAGGGGCAGGACAGTCCCCTCTCTGGGAGCCACCCGAAGGCCCCGCCAGCACTCACTCTGCCCAAGGACTACAGTGGCCCTCGCTGCCCCCAGAGAAGGTCCCCTCGGCACAGTCGACACATTCGAAGCCAAAATTGTATGCCCCTGCAGACAGACAGAGGGACAGAAAGACAGACAGACAGGCTGCAGGGCCACCGGTGGGTGTGGAACCCACACCCGACCCCTCCACAGAGGTCTCAACACCCCCAGGACCAGGCCCCAGAGAAGCCAGCATCTGCGTGTGCCCCATCCAGGCATCTGTGCGGGAGGCGGCCCTGGGGGGACCTGGAGGCCGTGACCCTGGGCTGAGTGCAGGCTCCCCTGGGGGCACCTGGGGAGGACGGCAGCGATGGGGCCAGGGTGGGGGTGGAGAGGCAGCAAAGGCCAGGCCTGGGCTGGTCCCGAGGGCCAGAGGGCAGGAGGCCAGTGAGGGTCCCGGACAGAGGGGCTACGGCTGCCGTCCCCATGGGCCCTAGACCCGCCGCCCTCCAGCCTCACACAACTCCCCTGTATGGGCACCGGTCCAGCCCCTGGTTGAGGGGAGGGCTGGCTCAAGTGGCTGCAATGCTGAGAGACACAGGAGCCCCTGCCCAGAGACCACGTCTGTGTCCCCCACACCAGTGACCTTCCTTCCACGCCCACACGCCGCTCAAGCCCAGCCTTGGCTGTGAGCTCGGCCACTCAGGCTGAAGCCCGGAGGGACTTACCGTGGGTCTCCACCTCCTGGCCGGGTGGGCAGGGGTGGTGTTTGCAGGTCTCGCACTGTGGGTCTCCGCAGTGGAACTCGGGCTGCAGACACGTGCAGGTCCCCTCTGGACAGGCCTGGGCTGGGCGGGGACAGGCTGGCCCCTCAGCAGCTGGGCCAAGCTCCCGGGGAGGAACGGGAGGCGATGCCAATCCTCAACCCTCAGCGAAAGGCACCCAGAGTTCACGGGTAAACTGAGGCAGCACCCTAGGTCAAGCGATAGGCTCCACAGTCTGGACCTTGGTCCAGAACCAGCTGCGGGGGGAGGGGAGAGCCCGGGGCCACAGCACAGGGCCACTGGCCCCAGCAGGGGCAGCAGCTGTGTGGGTGGCGGGTGCAAAGCTACGTCGGAGCGCAGCAGGTGTGGGCCATGACACCGGGTTCCCAAGTTCACGTGCCGGAGCCCCGACCCCCGGGCAGCTGCATCTGGAGGCGATCTGGGTCAGAGGTCACGGGAGTGGGGCCCGACCCCATGGGGCTGGTGTCCGTGCTAGAAGCAGGAGCAACCCCAGGGAGCACCGCACAGGGACAACCACAGGCCAGTCCCGGGCAGGTGGCTGCCCACCAAGGACAGAGACCTGGGGAACCATCGTGGCCGGCACCTGGACGCCGCAAGTCCAGACCTGGGGCTGGGGACGAGCAGCCCCAGCCACTAGGCCGCCTGCCACGTGCGGTGCTCCCACTGGCCCGTCCGAGCAGACCCAGCACGTGCGGCTGAGTGGGCATCTGCCCTGTCCCAGGGGTGGCCTGTGTCCGTGTCCGTGTGCGGCACACGTCACTGGCCCTGAGTGCCGGGGGCACCTGTGGCTGCTCCCGAGCACACCTGGGCCCGTGTTTGGGGAGTTTCTGTGAGGACACTCTCAGCACCGCTCGCTGGGACAGACTGGAACGGCTGTCCACTGTCAGTCCCGGGAGCACATGGCATCAAGTGTGGCCCTGGACGGTCCCAGGACAGGCGGCCACCACAGCGTGCGAAGGGGAAAGAACGCAGGCACACGTGTGCACATGTACACGTCTGTCGCTGGGTGCCAGGCAGGGCAGGCATCTCTGGGCTGTTTTCGTCCTTTCAGACCGGGCGGATGCACAGGCTCACCTATCTGACAGCTCATTTAAGAAGTTTCAGGCACAGACGCCTGGAAAGTCCCCTCCTCCTGGGACGCTCAGGTACCAGCCAGCTCCCAGCCCACCTGTGGGAAATCCCCTGGACTCTGGGCCCCAACAGGCCCGCCTTCCCAAGCCTCTGGAGTGAGAGGGTCCACGTGGGGGGACGGGGCAGGGCGTCTGGGCGGCCCAGCCTGCACACGCGTGTGTGTGAGCGCACACTGTCTCCCACTGATGGTGAGAAAATTTTCTTGCCACATAAAAAAAAACTACAGCCCTGGCTGGTGTGGCTCAGTGGACTGAGCGCCAGCTTGTGAACCAAAGGGTCGTTGGTTCAATTCCCAGTCCGGGCACATGCCTGGGTCGGGGGTCAGGTCCCCAGTGGGGGGCACAAGAAAGGCAACTGATCAATGCTTCTCTTCCTCTTCCTCCCTCCCCTCTCCTTTGTCTAAAAATAATCTACAAAAAAGAAGGAAACTGAACTGCAGCCTCAGGTGTGTGTGGGGGAGCAGCACCCTCTCCTTCCCTGGGGCCGACGTGGGGCCCCTGCCTGAGTTCTAGGGTCTGCTCTGCGAGGCCCCACAGGCCTGGCCCAGGGTGTCCACTCCCAGGTGAGCCCTGGGCACTGACAACCACGCGTCCCCTGTGGGCCCAGCCACCAGGTGATCAGCCGGCGTCCCTGCCAAGCTCACAACTGCTCACACCCACCCACCCCACCCTGGCGCCCGGCCCACCACGACCTCCTCCCACCGAGATGTCCCAGCTCCCGTCTTAGTTCTGCAAACAGTCTTTGCTTTGTTTTTGTGGAAACCCAGGTGTCACCCCGCCCGTTCCTCTGCGGTAGCCTGACCCCAGGCTGCTGGGAAGTGGGTCCCTGTGGCAGGGCTGGTCCCGTGAGCCGCTCAGGGCCCCCCGCCCACCCGGGCAGGGCCCGCGCAGGCTGCACGAGGCAGCAGACGCACCAGCCGGGCGCTGGGCCCCCAGGGAGGCTCCGGAAGGCCTCCAGGTACTGCCCGGAGGGACCACACCCAGAGGAGCCCAACGGCAGCCCACACCGTCCCTCCCATCCCCAGGCCTCAGCAACGTCGGGCCCCTCCTGGCTCCTCCACCTGGCCCAGCCCTAAGCAGTGGCTCAGGGCTCTCGGGTGTCCCCACCCTGGGACGCCCACTCCCTACTGACCCCTCGAGAGCGGCTCCCACTGCCCTGGGGTGGCCCCCGTCCCACCACAGTGTCGGCAGAGGACACAGCACGAGACCGGGTATGCGAACCGAACCACCCGCCTCAAACGCACGGAGGGGAAGCCCCCGGCCCCACCGCTCCAAATGATCATGTGTGTGCCTTTGTCCAGAGAGAGAATAAAGCCGGGAGGAAGAGGCAACTATATTTTAAAGTAAGTTAATGTGATTCCTGCCACAAGCATGTGTTTCCTCAGAGACCAAACCCCGACAGCAACTGGGATGGCCACCCACCCGCCGCCGCCGCCGACACAGCGTGGGCTCCACCAGAGCATGGCCACCGGGGCCTCAGCCTTCGGCTTCAAGGCAACCAGCAGCCTTGCTGCTTCTCCGGCTCGGCGAGCCCGCAGGCCCTGCCGTGCTCGGGCCCTGAAGGCGCCTCCCTCCGAGTTCTCAGAAGCCAGACGCTGAGATTGCGCGGGCCTCCCGCACGCCCCACAGACGCCCCGCACAGCAGGCGGGGCTCAGAACTCCTCGTGGACATTTCGGGCGTAGTCCATGAGCTTGCTGCCCGTGAAGAACTCGCTGTACTTGAGCACCTCCTCAGGCTCCAGGTGGCGGTTCTGGTTCTCGTCGGCGACGGCAATCATCTGCTTGGCCTCAGTGAGGGCGTTGTACTCGTTCATGGGGTCCATGTACTCCTGCAAGAACGCTGCGCCTGTGAGCACCTCCAGCCTGCAGCCGGGACACCCCCAGGACGCGCCCGCCCAGACCCTGGCCCAGGGCCGGCGGCCTCAGCCTGGGAAACAGCTGGGCATCCTGTCACAGCGAGCCCCAGTTCTCAGGACACCCTATCAGCTGGGACCTGCAATGGGCATGCAGGCACATCCTAGAATGTTCCAGAGAGCAGATGCTGGGCTGGCAGGGCTCAGGGCCGTGTGAACACTGCCAGGGTGTGGGGGGCAGGGAGAGGAGACCCTGCCCGGTGCAGAGCGGGGCCAGCGGGTCACGTGCACACAGCCTGAGTTGGCTGCCAGTCCGCGGTGGGGACAGGAGCCCCACCCCCCGGCTGCCTGCCAGCTACCACCAGGGACCAGAGCATTCTCACGTAAAACAACATGACTCGTCCACGGAGGGAAAAACGAGCTCCCCAGCACCGACCCACGGAGGCGAAAATGCTGCATCCTGGTCCCAGGACCAGCCCTGCCACCCAGACCCAGGAGACAGGCACGGCCAGCTTGCCGGGTGCCGGCTGCGTGGCCCTCCCCCGGCCACCGTCAGTCACGCGGCTCCGCCAGCTCCAGGTCCCGCTGAGCGGCCCACTCCGCCTTCCTGGCTCAGGACTGTCTTGAGGGTGGCGCTCCTCGCTCGCTGCGGCCCCTCCTCGGACCCCCAGCACCCCCGATGCCCTGCGCTCACCTCCAACTCCTCCATGGTCACAACGCCGTCACGGTTGGCGTCGATCAGCTCCTCGAACTCCTTTCTCCTGTCCCGCACCCAGCCATCGTCGATGTCCTGGCCCCGCTGATTCTCCACGGTGCCCACGGGCAGGGAGATGAACTCGGGCAGCGAGAGCTGCTTGTCACCGTCCTGGTCTGCAGGACAAGGGGGTGCTCAGAGCGCAAGTAGGCACGGGACCCCCGGGACCACCGAGTAGGGTCAGCCAAGCAGGTTTTACCACTGGATTTTCGGTTTGTGACATTTTAGACTAAAGCCAAACAGCTGTGCCTCACAGGGCCTGTGGACACTGGACTGGGGCCACAGGGTCAGAGGCCACCCAGCCCAGGGCCCACGCACACCGACCCCCTGCCGGGAGGACCAGCGAGCTGCCGGCGGGAGGGCCTCACCCAGGTCCCGCACGATCTCCCTGACCATGAACCGCAGCATGCCGCGGCTGTGCTCCGGGTGCAAGAAGGACAGGAACTCCTCCTCCGTCAGCAGCAGGTCCGGGGGCGGGCTGTCCGCCTGGTACCAGCGGTCTTTGAGGTTCTCCAGGACTTCCTGTGCTGAGAGAGGCGCGCCTGTGTGCGTCCAGGGGACCCCGAGACCCGATGCCTGGACGCGGAGGCGAGCTCAGGACACGGTCATGCGAGGCCGGGGGTTCTGCCCCTCAGAGGAGAGTTCACACCCCAGCAGTAAATGGCACAGAACTAGCCCCTGGACACAGCCCCCCAACACAGGTGCAGCCCCCCACCCTGCTGCTACATCAGAGAAACGGGCCCTGACGAGGGGACCGAAGCAGGACTTTGCCCCTTTCCTTCTCTCTGGGTGCCGGACGTGGGAGGCAGGGCTCAGAAGGAAAACCCCCTTCCCAGCGCTGAGTTCGAAGCCCTCCACGCTCCCCGCCACAGGGCTGGGTGGGTGGCCTCGGGGACCACCCCACGCGGACACAGCAGGAGCAGGCAAGATGCAGGGCCTCTCCGTGCGGGGTCCTGCCAGCTTCGGCACAGGGCCGCCCCGGCCTCGCCCACGGCATCATGCTGACCACCTCCGGTGGACACAGGTCTGCACTGGCCACCTGCTGGACGGCAAACTAGGAGCAGCTGGTTCCTGCCCACCGCACTGAGGGACAAGAGGGACATGACGGGCACAGACCTGCATGTCTGCCTGGAGCCTGGGAGCCTGATTTGGAGAAAAGCGATGCGTGAAGGACCTAAGACAAGGTCGAGGCAAGTGCCCCAGAGTGAGAGGACACAGATGACAGAGACTGGGGTGACGTGGCCACAAGCAGGGACGCCAGCAGCACCGAAAGCTGGAGGGACGCCTGGGAGAGACCCTGCCTGGAGCCCTGACCGTGAGAGGAGCCCCACTCTGGGGGGGGGGGGACAGCAGGAGAAGCAGAGACAAAGATTCAAACGGGCTTAACTCACCTATTACCAGAAAATTCAGACTGGCTCACAAAACAATACCCTCCTCTCTGGTCCATAAAAAACACGCACTTTGGAAAGACTGCCAGCGGAGGGCTCCTGCTGAGCGCTCCCCCCCCACGGGAAAAAAGAGCTTCCACGACCGCTAGAGCCTGCCGTGACAGAGGGGTGCGTCCACCCAGCCCTACGAGGCCGGCTTCACCCTAACCCCAAACCACACAGCAGCGTCTCTCGCGAACACAGGTGCTAAAACCCCCAACAAAACAGCAGAGCGAACCCGGCAGGAGCAAAGGGGGCACGACCACGACCAGGCGTCCGAGGAGCAGGCGGCCACGCCAACGGGCTGAAGGAGAGAAGCCCGCGGGCACAGCCGGTGCATAGGAAGCATCTGGCCAAACCCAACCCCCTTCGCAATCAAACCACCAGCGCACTGGGAAGGGAGGGGCACCTGCCGGACCCGACGAGAGAACTTACGAAAGCCCGCAGCCAGCACCGTGCTTGCTGGGGAGGCCTCGAAGCTCTCAAGAAGACAAGACAGGGAAACTGAGGCCGGGGCTGGGAGGGAGGAGGACTGTCCTGCCGCAGCAGGGCTGGGCCACAGGCCGACACGGTGCCAGCTGCCCCCCGGGGCGCCAGGCGGGAGGGCCTGTCCCCCGGCCCCCGCCAGGAGCCTCCGCCTGCTGGCCAGGCTCAGACGCCGCACGGCGGCCCGGGGCGTGGTGGCCCGGGGACCAGCACTCACTCTCCTCGTCGACTTGGAGCTCCTGGTCGTTCTTCAGCTTCTCGGCCACTTCCCTCTCGTTGTGGCCTTTGCTGGCCAGGAACTTCACCTTGTACTCGTCCCAGGACACGCGGCCTGAGGGGGCAGACCACCTTGTGAGCAGGTCTAACGAGGACCACTTTTAAAAGGGGGAGTGTGATCACTTTAAGGCGCCTGTTGGAACCCGCCATGTGAGGGCAGGGTGGAGGCGACCGTGCCCAGGAGGCTGGCCGTCCTGGCCGGCAGGGTGAGCAGCACATGAGGGCCCAGGGGCGCTCACCGCCTCGTCCTGGTCTGCCAGGCCCACTGGGGTCGGGCGAGGGCCCTACCGTCACCGTCGGGGTCCACGGCACGGAAGTGCGCCCTGCTCTCGCTCACGGCCTCCTGGAAGTGCTCGGCTGTCTTCTCCACGATCCAGCGCTGCATCTCCTTGGCGCTGATTCTCCTGTCGGCATTGACGTCCACCCTGCAAGCGGATGCGCCGGGTCAGAAGAGGCCCCGGACCCCGACAGACATGACGGAAGGACACAGGGTGGCCGAGGGCTCCACAGGCAGCTGTGGAACTGCCAGGGCAGTGACACTCTGCACCCTGTGGGAGTGGTGGGGACAAGGGGCAGGAAGGACACCGAGACATGGGGGTGGCTGGATGCAGAGGCCAAGGCTGGGCACTGTGAGCAGCAGCACGAGCAGCTGAGACAACACCCAAGAGTCCACAGGGATAGACGTCAGGGGAGGGCGGCTCCGCACAGACCTCCACACGGGACATGGGGTCCGGTCCCTCGGTGACAGGAGGGGCAGGATGTGGAGAAATTCCACCGGTGATACCACCTGACCCAGGTGACCCAAGAGAACACCCCCTGGGATGTGACCTGGGCACCTGACCTCACGCCACCCCACCTGCCTACGAGCACGCCTGTTAGCACTCCAGGCCCCGGTGGGGTCGGGGGGCTCCAGGCCTTCCAGCTGGGCCAACGCCCTTCCTGGGGCGCACGGCGACAGGCGCCTGGCCCACCCCCTTTTGTGGGCCTGCTCTGCTGGTCACAGAGAAGCTGCCTGCCACCTGCCGGCTCGGCCTGGTTCAAAGCCTTTCTCTGCTCACTTGAAACAACAAACCGAACTCCAAAGGTCAAGGAGGTGGCCTCCGTGCTGTTCACCTGCCCCCAGTGCACCGCTCCCCGCACCCGGCTAGGAGGCAGACCAGCAGGGCTCAGGGGGCAGGACCCCCAGCGCCGGAGGCTCCTCTCCCGGCCCCAGCGCTGAGCCTCAGAGCCCTGGTCTGGCCGGGGCCTGCTCTCCGATGTGTCGCCCAGTGTGCAAACTGCAACGCCGAGGGTGCCGCGCTTGGTGACCAGGCTCCTGCTGTCTCGGCTCCCTCTGCCGATGGGGCCTCACGGCGGCTCATGTTGCCACACCTGGAGTCTCCCTGATTCAGCAGAACCTGCCTGCCCACCTTCAAAACGCCCAGCCCAGCCCGGGTCTGCATGCCCCTGAGCCCCACCCTCCTCTACCAGCTCTCCTGGTCCCCTGGGCATGGACATGGCAGGCGCCAGGCCTTCGGTCACCCGACCCAGGATGCAGGGTGCCGGGTGATGTCATTCACAGAGGACATGAGGCCCAGTCCAACTGTCAGGGCCTCGTCCTGGGTCCCTGTCCTGTCTGCGAGGCCCCTCGCCTCCCTCAGGTGGCTCCAAAGCCCCAGGCCACATAACCAAACGTGTAGGATGGTGCCTGCGCTCACAGCGACAGAGCCCCCCCAGTGTCCCGCCTGAAGCTGAGCCGCGCACACCCACTCTCCAGTCGGCCCCCACACCTCACGGACACCACCAGGCCTCCTCGAACAGGCACTGCGACCTTTTGCAGCCACTCCCGCAACCGCCTGCCTCTTACCACAGCGGGCACGGCCTGAGGCCACCATGCAAGGCAGGCCTCACTCCAGGCCTTTCCACAGCCCTCCTGGCTGTGAGGACCTGGCACGGCCAGCAGGCAGCCCCGTGCTCTGGCCCTCTGTGCCCCAACCCCCCACACTGCTCAGCGCTGCATGCGCCTCAGCTCAACCCCTGCAAACTTCCCCAGTGTTGTCAACCAGCAGCACCCGTCACAGTGCCTGCCTCCAAAGCTCCTCACCAAGTGGGCCCTGCGTCCCCGCCCACACCACACCAAGCCAGGACTGGACCGATGCCAGCCACCCCACATGCACCCTCAGCCTCCCAGCCCAGACACCTACTTGGAGAAGATGACCATCAGCTTCCTCCTGCTCTTCCGAGGCTCTGCGTCCTCCTCGAACCCGTCTGTGTCCTTCCCCAGGAAGACCTCCTGGTGGAAGTCCTTGTTGAGGTGCCCGTCCATCTCCAGCTTCACTCCGTTCAGGTGGTCCGGGGGCAGGATCTCGCTGTCCTCCCTGCGGCCTGCTCTGTCCCGGGCAGACGAGTGGTTGGCAGGCCGGGCGGATGCCCCAACCAGAAGCACGGCACCCAGGAGCCAGAGGCTGCGAGGAGCCAGGACGCTGCCTGGAGCCTGCCTGGATGCCATGGCCACCTGGGCCCAACCGTGAGACGGCCTGCAAGCGTGGCCAGTAGCTGGAGAGAGAGGAGAGGCAGGCAAGGAAGTGAGGCCATAGCCCACGGCCGCCAGACCCCGATGAGCAGTCAGCTGTCTGCAGAGACGGCGCAGAGCCAGGACTGGGTAGAGCCCCACAAACCCTTAACGGAAAAGACAGCTTCTCTGTAACACAAAAGACAGCCCTCGGACCAACAACAGGTAGAGTGGCAGTGCCTTCTCTGAAGACACCGGATGTCCAGCCCCATCCCTCCTCCTCAGGTGCAGCAGCCTCATCGCAGCACCGTGTCCATCCCTCCCAGCATCGAGGCTGAACCCTCTTGAGATCCCAACTCAGCACTTGTGAGCTATGTGACTGTGGCTAAGCCGCCAGGCCTCGCCAGCCTCAGTTTCCCTCTATGGAAAAAGGTGCCCCCAACCTGACTTCAGGTCTTTGTGAAGACTGGGCCTATGCCAGCAAACACCCAAACCCACCCAATGGGGCAACGCCCCCCTCCCACCTTTCATTGAGCCCTGTGTGTGCTGAGGTGCGCGCGCGCACACACACACATACACACGCAGCACACCTGTACTGCCCTTTGCTCCTTGGCACAAGGTCGATTATTCCCACTACTTAACCTTGTTTGCAGAAAAAATAAGCCAAGAACAAACGCATGGATGCGAGTCCCCCCTCCCCCGTGAAGCTCCCGCCCCTGAGATCACAGCATTTACTGATGTCCCCTGATCACTTCCCGGGAAGCAACAGTTCCGGGACGCGCCCACCAGCCCAGGTCGGTGGAGGCCACCTCTGGGCGTCCGTCCTGGTGAATCCAGTTTCTTGCCCCAAACGCAAACGCTTATTTTAAAAGCTTTCCCCCGGCTCAGGAATCGTACTGAAGGTGCCAGGCTTTACAGGATTTCGGGTCTTCACGGAGTCCTACTAGTTGGCGTCACAGTCCCGTTTCGCAAGCGAGGACGGTGAGGTCGCCCCGCGCTGAACGCGGGGTCCACGCTTCCCGTGACCCTCGGCCTGTGTCCACTACATCCGCGGTCCGGGCGGCTTCCATGCCTCTGCGCACACCCTGCCCAGGTCCTCACTCACCGCCCGGGACTCACCAAAGAGGGCCGAGCGCCGTGACGCCTCCAAACAGAGTCGGCTAGGCCGCGGCCATTTTTCTTCCGGGAAGAGGCGGGCCTCCAGGCCTCGAGAGCTGGTGCGACCTGCGCGCGAGGACGCCGGCGCCGCCATCTTTTCTCTTGGCGGAAAAGGCCGCGCGGCCCTCCCGGGGTGACCAATGAAAACGGCGCGCGAGGGCACGTGACGGCCGGCCGAACGGCCCGCAGTCCGGCGGGCCTTGGCCCTTGGGGGTCTCTGCAAGCTCGCTGGCTCGCCGGCGCGCCATGAAGCTGCCGCGGCGTGCGTGGCGGTACCGGACGACGCTGGGCCTGGTCGGCCTGGTGCTTTGCGGCGCCGCGCTCCTCTATCTGGCGCGCTGCACGGCCGAGGGTCCTGGTCTGTCGCCCGGCCGCGGCCCCGGCCCTCTGCCCGCCGGGCCCGGACGCTCCAGTGCCTTCCTGGCTGTGTTGGTGGCCAGCGCGCCGCGGGCGGCCGAGCGACGCAGCGTGGTCCGCGGCACGTGGCTGGCGGCGGCGCGGCGCGGCGGCCCAGGCGACGTGTGGGCGCGCTTTGCAGTGGGCACGGCCGGCCTGGGCTCCGAGGAGCGGCGCTCCCTGGAGCAGGAGCAGGCGCGGCACGGGGACTTGCTGCTGCTGCCCACGTTGCGCGATGCCTATGAGAACCTCACCGCCAAGGTGTTGGCCATGCTGTGCTGGCTCGATGAGCACGTAAGCTTCGAGTTCGTGCTCAAGGCAGACGACGACTCATTTGTGCGGCTGGACGCACTGCTGGCTGATCTGCGTGCCCGCGACCCAGTGGGCCGCCGCCGCCTCTACTGGGGCTTCTTCTCAGGCCGCGGCCGCGTCAAGCCAGGGGGTCGCTGGCGTGAGGCGTCCTGGCAGCTCTGCGACTACTACCTGCCCTACGCGCTGGGCGGTGGCTACGTGCTCTCTGCCGACCTGGTGCACTACCTGCGCCTCAGCCGAGAGTACCTGCGCTTGTGGCACAGCGAGGACGTGTCGATGGGCGCCTGGCTGGCTCCTGTAGATGTGCAGCGTGAGCACGACCCGCGCTTCGACACAGAGTACAAGTCCCGCGGGTGCAGCAACCAGTACCTGGTGACGCATAAGCAGAGCCTGGAGGACATGCTGGAGAAGCACCAGACGCTGATGCGAGAGGGCCACCTGTGCAAGCAGGAGGTGCAGCAGCGCCTCTCCTACGTCTATGACTGGTCTGCGCCGCCCTCGCAGTGCTGCCAGAGGAAGGAGGGCGTTCCCTGAGCGCTGCCGCTGCCATGATGGAGGGGCGGCAGCAGTGGGTCCTTTTTGGAGCCCCCATTGGTCTTACACCGGGAAAGGTGACATGTCTGGCTGGATGAGCCCAGCGCTCGAGGAGAACCTAGTCTCTGGTGACCAGTGGGGCTTTCAGGCAAATGCCACACAGCAGCGGACAACTCGTAGGCCCCTCACCGCTCAGTAGCCACACCTCCAGTCTTGCTCCAAAGCATCTTGCTCTGAGGCTGGGAGACCCTGGGGCTTGCTAGGGCAACGAATGCATCACGTCCAGGTGGAAGTGTTCTGCCCCCAGATTTCAGCCAGCATTTGCCTGGACTGGGGAGATGCCCAGCTTCGGGTGTGAGTCCAGGAGAACCTTCCCAGTCTGCAGAAACTTCTGGCCCTCCCCCCACGACTCTGCCACACCCGCCCCCGCTTGTCTTCCTGCTGTCCCAACCCGAGGTTGGAACAAGGAGCTGAAGGCTGGAGCTGCCCTGGAGCACAGATCTGACTTGTTCTGGGTGGGGACCGTGGCCCGTCCCGCAGCCACTGTGCTGACCGTCCGCCTGGGAGCCCCCTGCACGGAGAGCTGTGACCGCCGAAAGCGCCCTGCGGGCCCTGAGCAGCAGAGCCTCGTCGTTGCAGTCCAGCGGCGTTTACGGGAACTGCCGCCGTCTCGTTGGGTCGGGCCACGTCCTTTGTGTCTCCTGTTGGTGTCGGTCTTGCGTCAGTCCAGATCAACCTTCGTTTGATGTTGAGTAGCTTCGGTCTCCACATCTCTAGAGTGAATTCGTGGTACATGCCATACAGCGCTTGCCTGTGATTTATGTATAAACATTGTAAAGTTGTGTTGATAAGGGTTTCAGTCGGGAGTGTGTGGGTCTCAGTGTTTTTTAAATTATTTGAGAAGACTTTTCTATCAGAACTTGGAACTTGTGGATTAATCTGTTTTTACAGTGTGAACTGTAGACCATTGCCGCATGTGTGTTTAAGCATGGAAGAATTTTTAAACTGTCCATTTTTCTTTTCAGTTTACACATAAGTCAGTCCCGTTGTCTCGCCCTGAAAAGACTCTCCTTTTAAGGCCTCCTCGGGGCTGCGCGGGGACAAGCGTTCCTCCCGTGTGCGTCTGTTGTGCCCCGGTTCCGGGAATCGGGACCCTGGAATGTTGACGAGACTTCCCAAACTCTGTCTTAAGGAAACAGGCTGGACGGCCAGCGTGTCCTCCGAGAAGAACGCAGTGAGGCACGCTGGGCAATCCGTTCGCACACCCGCCCCCTCAGAAGGCCAGGCTTCCTTTTTCCCCTGTTGACTGAGAGGTGGGGGCTGTGGTCACTGCACGCACAGGGGAGACATGGCGGCGGCAGGGTGTCTGCACGCCCTCCCTGGCCCGACACAGGCGCGTGCCTCATGCTCTGTCTGGGTGACCGGGCTATGCTGCCAGTCTCTGGGGTCCATGTCAGGGCCCTGCGAACGGGGGCTGCACACCTCCAACCTGCCTCTCCACCGCCAGTCATGTTCAACCCCGGGCCACGGATTTAAGAGCAGCTGCCTGTCATCTCAGCCGCCATCCCAGATCCCCCAGAACAGCAGCTTCAACGGCAGGCAGTTACTTCCGAGGGCTCTGGAGGCGGGAGGTCCAGGACCAGGGTGCCGGCAGGGTGGGTTCTGGCGAGGTCTCTCCCTGGTGTCCCCCTTCTTGTGCCCTCTCTTCTAAGGACATCAGTCCATCTGGGGGGAGGGCCTCCTGACCTCATCTCTGCCTTCCCCTCCTAACATCAACACACGGGGGTCCAGGCCTGCCCCTGAAATCAATCCACAGCAACGGGTTCAGGGTATTTCTGTTTCAAGGTGGAAGAACTCGAAACTCAGGGTCAGGGGCCAGAAGGGCAGGGGTGTCATGTGCTTCGTGGAGACACAGTTGTGCCGCCTTCAGAAGGCAGAGGCCGAACCTTGGTGATCCCAGGATTCCGCAGGGCTAGTGACAAGGTGAGTGAGCTTTCTGATTGGCTGCCTCAAGCCAGAACTGACGGTCCCTGCACACAACTTGTTCACAGGACGAGGATCCACGAGAGGGTCCAGGTTCGGGGACCCCAGGGTGAGCAGAACGGGGCTCTCCCCCCAGAGGGACGCTGGCAGCACCTGGACTCTGTCCCGGCCAGCCCCTGTTGACCTTGGCGGTGCCATCTGAACCTTGGGGCCCTCAGAGCAGTCCGTGTGCGGCCTCCCGTCTCAGACTGGGAGCAGGCGAGGCCGGAGCAGGGGCTGAGGCCCGAGTGGCTGGCGGCCCGGCCGGGCCTCTGGTCGAGGGCTGGACTCTGGGCTCCTGCCCCACCTTCCAGGTTTCTCCAGAGAGCGGACCCCCGCGCATGGCAGCCGTGTCCGTGCCTCCCCGGTCCAGGCGTGGGCCCTCGGGGGGCCTGGGCTTCAGCATTGGGCTGACCTGCAAAGACAGGAATCTGTTCAGCCTGCACCTTGAGGTTTCGAAACAGCACGAAGCCCGGGCTGACCACACGTCCACACTGCGGTCGACGCGACGTTGGGGTTCAGCTGGAGTTGAGGACCAGCAGCCTTTTCCTGGAGGGACTGGGGACAGGCTGCACGACATCACAGAGCCTCTGGCCCTGGTGGAGCCAGGAGCCCAAGGAGCCTCCTCGGGCCTGTGCTGCTCATCTCCTGCCCGGCACGTCCTCCCAGCCAGGGTGCCGGCCCAGCCTCCCTGTTCCCTGTACCTTCCCCTGCCCCGTGGCTCCTCTTGGTGGCGAGCTGGTCACGGTCCACCCCCGCCTCTGCCCCAAGCAGCCCTCAGTCTGCACCTCCCACCTCCCACTCACCGTCGGACCCACGCCATCTGGACCTGGTTGTCCTGAAGACCTGGGCTGAGCCCAGGCTGTCTGTGAACCCAGCACTGGCCTGGGGCCCGGGAGGGAGGTGGGGGCGTCAGGCGTGGGGCACACAGCGGCAGGGTCACTCGAGGGCCAGGGGAAGGTGCCAGTGGAGGCTCACCCTGGGTCACAGCCCCTTCACCTCCTGGCAGCTGGAGGAGGAGAGACCAAGTGCCTTGGACAAGGTCCCGGAGCTGGAAAACGGGGACCTTCGAACACTAGTAACTGGGAGGAACCCTACGGGATTTTGCGAAGGGGGAAAGGTCATGTGCTGCCCACACCCCCGAAGCCCCGCCCAGGCCTGCACCGCCCCTGGTTCGCTGGACTGTTCTCCTCCGGGAGGCCCCTCAGGTCACCCACCGACCGCAGGGCCCTAGAGGTGAGACCAGCTCAGGACCCAGGAGCCCCTCACTGTCCACCTCGGTCCAGCTGGGTGGGAGAGGGAGCTGCCCAGTCTCCCCATCTGCGACTCCAGGGTGCGAAGGTTGAGGTGGGGTCCTCTCAGACCCTCGGCGAGCTCTCCATCCGTCCACCCACCCGGGTGGGGCCTCTGCTCGGCTGTGGTCACGGTCCTCAGGGACCTGCTGTAGACCGGTTTCCCCTCAAAAAGCACGGTGGAGACCTGCCCCCCAGTACCCGTGCTCGCGGCCTTATTTGCAGACACAGTCAAGGTGAGATGAGGTCATTCGGGGGAGCCCCGCTGCAGTGTGCCCGGTGTCCCTACTAGAAGAGGGGACAGCATGTGACGATGGGCAGAGAGGAGCGAGGCACTGTGAGCCAGCCGCCAGGACTGCCCCCTCCAGGGGCAGGGAGAGGCCAGACGGGGCTCTACCCAGACTCTCCGGGAGGGAGCGAGGCCCTGCTGAGCCCGCGGTCGGCCTCGGGGCTATGGAGAGCAGGCGTTCGCGCCTCTCGGCCCCACCATCGGTGGCGCTCTGCCCCAGGGGACCGACGGCTCCCAGTGCCCGTGCCCTCGTCCCTCCCGACTCCAGGCGCCGTGTGGGAGGGACGCACCAGGGCTCACAGGCCCCTCGGCCCCTCCCAGGGCCCGTCCTCCACTTCCTAGGGTTCAACACATTCCTGTCCAGCTCTCTGGGCTGAAAGGGCAGGGCACTGCCGTGGCCACAGCTTGCAGAGGCTTCATCCCTCTGGCTGCCAGGGCCCCGCATTCCCTCCCTCTGTGGCCCTGGCCCTCGCCCCCGACGGGCCGGGACAGCACCCTCAGCCCGGCTGACGTCTCAGCCCAGGATCTGCAGGGTCTGTTGGGTGGCCGGCGCTCCTTTCTCAGTCCCAGCCACTGAGCACTGTCCCCCTTATGAGACTGATGACTTTTGCCATCCAGGGCCCCAGCAGGTGAGCAGAAGCAGTCAGTCCCCTGACAGGCCTAAAGCAGGCCAGGCGCCGGCCCCCGTGGGGCCCCCGGAGGAACCCCAGAGAGTGTTCAGAGGTGCCTGCCGGGTCAGGGAGCCTCGTGAGCTGGAAGCGATGCCCACTTTGCTCCTTGGTGCCTGCACTCTGGTTCCTGGGGCCTGGGCAGTGGGGTTGCCGTCCCTGGACAGCCAGCTCTGGGTTGACTGGCCTCTCTCCCGAAAGAGTCCAGGCAGCAGGTGTAAGGCCTCCCTGTACGTCTGGACACCTCTGCCGCCCATCTGTCCATTGCCCGGGCCTGAGAGGTCTCCTGGTCCCGAGGTCCTCCACTCCCAGGTCTCCCGGGGGGTCACCTCCCAGCCCCTGAATGGAAGACCCTCCCACAGCTGTGGGACCTGGAGCAGATCGATCCCCTCCCCAGAATCTGGCCCCTCACTCGGGAGTCCCAAGCAAGCCGGCCTCTGCTGTCTGTGCCCAGGCCGGCCTCACTCCTGCCACAGTGACCCCTGCCCCCTGCCACGTGGCTTGGGCAGGCTCCCGTGGCGGGAGCTCTGCTGGAGCCCCTGCTCTGCCAAGGCCGGGGAGGGGTTCAGAGGAAGCCTATGGCCATGGGGGGGGGCGTGCTCTCTGTAGGTGCCTTACAGCCCCTCTCACTGGCCATTCCCTTGACCGGTGTGGAAAACAAGTGACTAAAGAAAGATCCATAGTCCCCATGAGGACACCCAGGGACCCTCATACCTGGGCCAGCAGGACCCTACCTGGAAGCCTGCCGCAGGTGCCCAAGTCAGACGTCTGGACAGGGATGCAGCCCCCAGTCCTGGCACCAGCAGGTGCCCAGGGGTCTGCCAGCCCCACCCGACGAGTGGGCCCTACGGAGAATGGACGCTCAAGGAGGACGGTCTGCCCACGCGGCTGCCTGGAGACCCAGCCTCAGCAGAAGCTAAGGGTGGGGACGAGGAGACTCCTGCCCTCCTCCTGGACACGCTGGGGGGCTGCCGCTGAGCCGTCTGGAAGTGGGTGTGGAGGGCCCAGGCCCAGGTGAGGGTCAAGGGTCTCCACCTGAGCCTGGAGGTGAAAGCCGCCCCTGCCCTGGGAAGGTGGGCGGGCAGAGCTGAAATCCGGGAGGCTCGGCAGTTGGGGGAAGGGGCCAACAAGGGGCCACTAATGGCTACTCAGCAGAACAGCCAGGGGCCCACCTGCACCCCAGACCCCTGTACCCACGTGCGCAGGTGGCGCCCCTGTTGCCTCTGGCCCGGGGTCCCTGTACTTTTCTTGCACACGGTACTATGGCCCCTGCTCCTGGACGGTGGGGTCTGCTGGGCAGGGTTTGGCTGGCCACGGTGCCGGGTGAGCGGCAAGCTAGGGAGAAGCCAGGGGCGGCAGCCTGTGGCCCCGGGAGCCCGGAGAGGGGCCGGTTCCGTCCTCTGGAGTGGACACCACGGGCGACTCCAGACCTCTGGGCCCTGTGCAGGCAGGGGCCCGGGGGGCCCTCGTCCAGTTCCCCCTCCCACTGACCGGGAGAGAAGTGGAGAAGGCGACCCAAGCCCTGACCCCTCTCTCCAGTGGCGTCTGAGGGTCTCGGCAGCCCTGCTCCGAGGAGCCCTCACACCTCCTGCCACAGCCGCCCCAGCCCCGAACCACAGGGACAGAAGGTGAGCGCCAGGAGCGAGCCCAGACGGCCCGCAGACGGGGGAAGTGGGCAGCCTGGACTGGGCAGCCTCCACAGGAAGGGGGAAGTGCCTCCCGGGTCCCCCGCAGGGGGACTGCAAGCTGTCACCCGCCCCCTCCCCAGCAGGAAAACTTGAGGCCAAGACGCTGGAGAGCTCCACTTCAGAAATGGGGTTTTCCTTGGCCCTCTGACGCCCCTTCCTGTTCCCTGCTGTTCTCACTGCCGCCCCCTCACCCTCGCAGGCTCTGACAGAGCACTCTGGAGGGGCCTTGGGCACAGGCAGGGGTCCCTCCTGCCCTTGCTGCCGCCCTGGGGGTGTGTGTGACACACCGGCTGTTGCAAGACTGATGCTATCGCTTCTGAGGAACCTGTGAGTCACTGCCTGAGAGCAGGGGCTGCGCCCCAGAGTCTGCGGAACAAAGGCCCTTTTTGTCCAGGCCCCGCCCCTCACCAGCCCACCCGTACGCACCGGCAGACACGCGGGCGGACAGACGTGCCGAAGGTGGCGGCAGGCGCGGGTGTGGGCGGGACAAGCTCCTCAGCCACCAGGAGGCTGCGGGAGACCCAGGCTGCAGGGACCAGGCTGCCAGTGACCCCAGGCTTAGGAGGCCTCAGCCCCTGAGTCCACTCAGGTTTCAGGGCTGGAGACCCAGTGTCTCGTTGAGCCTGGGCAGGGCCCTGAGGTCGTGCAGAGCTCGGAGCCGGAGGAGACGCTGGCCAAGTGGTCAGTGAACGAAGGCCCCAAGACACAGCCCGCCCCGCTGCCCGGCCATGCCCATCCCCGGTCAGCGCTCTGCGTGCAGGACAGAGGCCTCGACACCATGCTATGGCTTGCTGTCCTCCAGGCGCCCCTGCCCCAGGACAGGGCGCTGGAAGCTCCTTTTCGGGGGAGGTCCCTCTTTCCTTGCCCAGTCCCGGAGTCCCCACCTCAGGGTCAGAGCAGTTCTGCAGCCACAAGCCTGGTCTCCCAGTGCAATGGGCTCATTGGGTGGACCGACCTCGATGAGCCTCCCTGGTGCCAACGGCCCAACCACAGACACCCGGAGCTCCGCGCCTGGCCGGCCAGAAACTGCAGCCGCCAGGCCCCACACACCTGCCCTGTGTTTGCTCCCAAGGGGCTTGGCGATTCCAGCTCAGCCAAGAGAGACAGGTCCCCGGATGTACCCTGGGGACACAGCAACCCCAGCCCACACGTGTCACACAGACACACAGCATCGCAGCCACCAAGGACAGGTGTGGTCAACACGGGGTCGGCCTGGGGACCAGATACACAGACCCAGAGAGAGGAGCCCAGGCCCTTCACCCCAGACCCCCACCCCCCGCAGCCCCCACTCCCCCTATGCTCTCTGGACCCCTCTCAGCCCTTGGTCTAGGCCACAGGAGTTCAGGGTGTCTGGTCTGGCTGTGAGAACCTCCCAGGCCTACAGGGAGGGGTCCGCCAGGGGACAGACTGCCCAGATCCCTGGAGCAGAGCCCCCTCCCAGCCCCAGACCCAACTAGAGGAGGCGGAGTCAGAACAGAGGCTCGTCTCCGCCCACGAAGAGCCAGGCTGTCCCGGCTGTGCCTTAGGTCAACAGGCACCCCAGGTCCGGTCAGGTAGACAGCTTGCTCTGCACCAGTGCCATCCCCAGCCCCAGAGGGGCCCCTAGGAGGCAGGGCTAGGCAGCCACTTGCTCACAGCTGGGAGCCCCCCACCCTGCCCACCCAGCGGCTCCCCACTCCTGCCACAGCCCAGGGTGGGGCCCGGCTGTCCAGGCCATGGCTGCTCCTGGCTCCAGAGAGGACTTTCCAGCCGTCCTGAGCCAGCTGCCCACAGTCCTGTCTGCACTCAGACCGGCAGCAGCCGAGGGTACTGGGGGGCAGGCATGCTGTGACCCAATTCAGAGACCCGCCCGGCCCAGCACCCCAGCGCCACCTCGGAGCCAGGAAGGGCCGGTCAGGGGCAGCCCGGTGGGAGCCCCAAGACCAGGGTTTGGGAAGCACCCAGCAGAGGGCCTCCTTGCGCCCCTGGCAGCAGCCCCTCAGCCCCGGTCTGGCAGGCGGCAGGTCAGGCAGAGGTTCTGGGAAGTGAGCCCTCGGAGGGGTCAACAAGGTCAGCCCAGCACCTCCTGCTGCTCCGGGTGGGACTCCGGTCGGGGGTCAACCCGAGGCCAGCCAGCACTGTGCTGGCCACTTGGCTCTGGCCACAGCCAGGCACTCAGGCCACCCCAAAGCCCAGCTCCACACCCAAGGCCAGGCCAGGGGAAGAGTCCCAACCCCCAGGCCCCTCACACCCCAGGCTCCCCAGCGAGCTGCCGTCCTCTGAGGCAGCAGGTCGGGCGGGGCTGCAACTCACTCACAGGGCCCTGCTCAGTGGGTGTGACCACAGGGCCCAGGGCCCCTTAGTGGGGCCCAGAGCCCTCCAAGGCCCTGGGGGATGGTCGACGGTGCCATTTGGGAAAAGAAGCGGCTGAGATGGGTGATCCAGGGTGGGGCCTCTGGGGGCTGACCCTGTGCCAGCCCCTTGTCTGCACTGAGGGGGGCAGGGCAGCCTGTGTCCTTCGAGGCTGGTCTGAGCCTGGGGCCTGAAGCCTGAGCCCTGGGCGCCCCCAGTTCGGGCTTCTGGACCTCCCTACGGCAGTAACCGCCGGCCGGGCCCCGCCCCTTGCTACTGTACCCCAGCCGAGGGGCCGGAGGCAGCACATTCCAGGGCAGTCACGGCTAAGTGGTGATGACCTGCGATCAGGGGGCAGAGACAGGGAGGAGGAGGGCGAGACAGGAGGCCGCTCCCGGCACTGGCCGCCTGCCCACCGTAAGCTCCGAGGGGCCACTGGCCGTCCTCGCCTGTCTCCCGTCTGCCACTCTCTCCAGGGCCCCCTCAGGATCCGGGTCTCCACCTCTGTCATCGCAGCTCCGGCAGCAGGTCTGAGACCTGCCAGGTGAGACAGAGGTAAGACCTGCCCTCTCCCGGGCCGGCAGGTGGGGGGACTGGCTGGTGTTGATGGACGACAGTCAGGACAGCCCCGGGCAGGGCGGCTCCAGGCCAGGCTGAGAGGGTCCCTCAGCAGCCCCACCCGCAGCCCAGGGTGGCCACCTCTGTGGACAGGCCTCCCGCCCCTGCTGCAACCTGCAGCCGAGCCAGGCTGGCGCTCGGGACCCGGACCCCGGGGTGGGAAGCGGGGGCGGGGACCCATTCCACCGGCTCCCCTGCGTGCCCCTCCCCCGCTGTCTCCTCGACAGGGACTGCAGGGCCCCGCGCCCCCCCCCCCCCCCCGCGAGCTGTCGGAACATCCCCAACTCAGGCCAGGCTGGCGCCTGCAGTCGCTGTGAAGCAGAGACCCCCCCCAGCCTCCCCCAGCCTCTGACGCCACTCTGGGGGGACCAGGCAGAGAGGTGGGGACGGGTCAGTGGCCAAGCCCAGTGCTGCACAGACCAGCGCCCGCCAGGCTCAGCTGCCTCATTACCCGCCACTGGGGCCCCTGGGGGAGGGGCTGGGTAATGGTCCTCAGGCCCCAGGCTCCGCCAGCCCCACCTCCCACCCCTGTGCCCTGAGTCCGCAGCCAGTCCCCCAAACTGGGCCTTCTGCGCCCCCTGCCCCCACCTGCAGGACTAAGGTGCCTCCTCTGCTCAGCCTTGGAATTGGGGTTTCCAGGACCTGCTGCAGTGGGGCTGAGCCCCACCCCTGGGTGCATCTGGGCAGCTCCGCAGAGGCCTGGACACCCCAGGGCCGATTTACGTTCTTCCACGTGGGTTTGCTGTGGCTGCAGCGGGGTGGGGGCAGGGGCCCCACATCCTGCTGGTCTGGGGCGGGAGGACCCCCACATGCCCACACACACACATCTGCTCCCTGTGCTTGCCCCCGCAGGACGAGGCCCTCTGAGGGGTCCCCATCTCACCCCCTGCTCTCCAGACCCCACTTGGCAGCCGGGCCCCATACTGCCTACCTGGGGCTTCAAGTCCCCCAGGTCGAATGAGCCAGGTGGTGGGCCGGGCTGAGCAGGGGCCTGGATGGACCTCTGCCCCGGTCCTCAGGGTAAATGTGGACTCCAGCAGACACGGGGGCTGTGGGGGCTGGACACTCAGCTGGAACCTCAGCCTCCGAAACAAAGCCCATCCCCGCCCCCAGGACTGCACAGTGACCAGGCAGCAGGGAAGGCTGGGGACTCTTTATTGCTGTGACCACACATCCGACAGAGGGTGGGGGCTGGGCGGGCGGCAGGGGGCTCCCCACGGCCCTGAGGGCCCTCTTGTCACAGCTCCTCTGGGAGCCACTGGGGTCCTCACGTGCCCAGGAGCAGGCCGGAGAAGCTGGAGCCACTCTGGATGGTGAGGGCCGCCCCGGAGCCGTTGTCCACGAAAACAGAGGCGTACTGTCCAGCCTGCAGACACCCCACAGTGGACCTCCTCAGCCATGGGGCCTGCCCACCCACGGGGAGTATGTGGCGCACCCACCAAAGCCTGTGAGCCTGGGGCCCAGCCCCCCCAGCCTCCCAGACCCCCAGCCTCACCTGCAGCTGAAGCAGCCCCTGAACCAGCACCGTGAAGATCCTGCCGCTGCCGTCCAGGCCCGAGATGGCCTCCAGGGACCTGGACACGGTGTTCAGGGTGAGGGCACAGCTGCCCGAGGGCCTGGACCCCACCCAGTACTCAGTGCAGCCTGGTTGGGGCAGCCCCTCCGCTCTCCACAGGCGGGACAGTCCCCACTCAGGCCCCCTCCCCAGCACTGAGGCGGCCCCCAGGAGGGCCCACTCACGTGTGCCGATGGCACAGGGACTCGATGCAGATGAGCGCCCGCACGGTGTCCCGGGCCCGGGCCCTGCCCTGCAGCCCCCTGCGGTCTGCGGAGACAGCCAGCTGCAGTGGCCCTCAGGGAGGACGGAGCAGAGAGGCAGGGGCTAGGGCTGGGAGGTCTGGGCTCACTGGGGCAGGAGTGGCTGCCAGTTGGGGGCAGCGGACGTGGGGTCCCATCTGAGCCCCCAGTGGGAGCTGGGTTTGGAGCAGGAAGCAGCTGTGCGATGGGACCCAGGCCCGGGGCCATCGGCGTCGGGGCGCACCCAGGAAGGCCAGCCCTCCGCCCCAACCCCGGCCCTGCTCACCCACATGCAGGCTGGCGGAGAACTGGAAGATGGCGGTCACTGGGGCTGTGAACCGGCCGGAGGCCAGGCTCAGGCCAGAGCCCCGCAGGAAGGCGCCCTGGGCAGCAGGCTGCAGGGACAGCGGGCAGGTGGGTGTCTGGCTGCAGGGCCCGGACACCCGCCAGCGGGGAGGCCCCTGTGACTGACGGCCCCTACCCGAGCACACCCACGGGGACACGACCTGTGTGTGTGCCTCCCTGGATTGCTGGCCACAGGCTTCAGGCCCCGGAACTGGAAGGGGCCCCAAGAGCCCCCACAGGACAGACACCCTGCAGGCCGGACGCCTCAGACCCCACTTGAAGGCGTGGTGCGGGACAGGGATCTGGGCCCCTGCTGTACGCCGTGTGCCCGGGACCAGCTCTGGCGGCTGTGGACCCACTCACCCGTGGCGGCCACCCCAGCATCCTGCCCCCAGCAGTACCCCCAAGGCAACCTGGGCTTGCGGGCCCCTCTGACACCCCCGCGCGGCCCACTCACAGCCTGGAAGCCCTGCAGCTCCACCAGCGTCTTCTTGTCCACCAGCACGGAACCCTTCAGCCGGCAGTGGAAGGCCTCAGCCACCGGCCACCCGCCCATCCCCTCCGGCAGCAACGAGCCCCAAAGCCCCGAGAAGCGTCGCTCGGTGGCCTCTGTGGGGACAATGGCAGGGGCAGCAGGTTGGGGTCACTGCAGACCCTGGGAGACCCTCCTGAGCCTCCCGGAGGCGCGGGGAGCAGGGCACCTCACCTCTCAACATCTCCCGAAACTCTCGAAGCAGAGCCTCTCTGGTGACTTCTGCCCCCGCAGGCCCGGGGGGACCGGGGGGCCCGGGGGGCCCTGCAGGGCCGGAGAGGCCTCTCTGGGGGAGGCAGGAGGACATGAGCGTCCCGGCAGGAGCCACAGCCACCCCGCCCTGGGCTCAGACGCCAGGCTCACCGACTTCTTGTCTCGCCCTCGGCACCGCTTCCTCAAGGCACCGGCGTCTGGACGCCGGACGAAGCTCAGCCACGTCGTGTGAGCGTCTGAGAGCTCAGGCCCCAAGGCCTCGGGCGGCTGCAGGGCCAAGGTGCAGGACTGGGGGGCTGACCCAGGCCCCACTGGGCCCTCCCTGTGGCCCCAGGGCAGAGTGGGGACCCCTGGAGCCCAGGCCGCCTTCGGCAGCACTTGGAGCAACGAGGAGGCGCACAGGCCAGTCCTGGGTGCCCAGCCCAGGGCCTCAGGCGGGGCATCGGCTTGGGCCTTTTCCAAAGCCAGGCCTGCTGTCTGGGCACCTGGGCTCTGACTGTGTGCTGGCGGCACCTGTCCCCTCCCACCTCCCCCTGCTGCCACGCAGACAGGCAGGTCCGTGTGTCCCCACAGGGGCTGGGCCCTGGCTGAGGCAAGAGGTGCAGGACAGGAGGGAGTTTCCCAAGAGTCTTTCTGAGAGTCCAGAGCCCCCAGCTGAAGGGTTGGGGGAAGGGCTGGAGGAGTGGCCCAGGGCTGCCAGAGACCCTGTCCCCAGCCCTTGGACCACCCTCCTTAAGCTCCAGGCAGCTGGGAGAGGCAGGAATACCCCTGCCTGCGTCCAAGATGGAGACCCTGCTTGGTCAGGGATGTGGGCTGGACAGAGAGCCTGCACCTCCGAGAAAGTCTGACAGAAGCACATACCACGGGCAGGAGCAGAGTGGGTGGCCTTGAAGCCCCCACTGCCCCCAGGGCACCATCCCAGGCCTGGGGAGTGCAGCCCGGCAGTCAGCCCTCCGCCCAGACACAGCAAGAGCCAGGCTCCTGGGCAGCTCCTGGCTGGGGAAGGCTTGGCTTTCTCCCAGTGGGCCAGAGAGGCCTCCGTCCCGGGGGGCGGGGAGGGGCAGGCCCTGACCTGGGTCCCATCAGGGAAGGGAGGCCAAGAACACTCAAACGTCCCTTGATTTCTGCCTGTGCCCTTGGCCACCACAGATCCTGGCTGTGCCTGAGGTACCCAGGGGCCCCGGAGGGGCAGGTGGAGGAAGAGCAGGGGTCCTGACACGTGGGGAAGGCCCGGGGGTGTGTGCTGCACGACCCGGGGCACCCAGGGAGGCCCAGTCCTGTCCGCAGACTGTCCTGTGCACTTGCTAGGTCAGCAACCATGCCTCCCTGGCTGGCAGGGCCCCGGGACTCTCTCCTCACCGGCTCATCTGGAAAACGGGGCCTCGGGCTCAGTGGGGCCGCGTGCGTGGGCTGAGCGCAGCCGGGCTGGCGGCCACAGAGACGCCCTTGGGCGGCAGGAGGCCGGGATCAAAGGCACAGGGGCTGGCGGGGGTGCCTGTTCTGGCAACTGCTGCTCCCCTTGCAACCCTGCGGCCCGGGGTCAATTTCAAGACCCCTCAGCAGGTCCTTAGCCAAGGGCAGAGTCTAAGGCTGAGGCCGGCTCTGGTTGGGGAGGGGGGGTAGGTCCTTAGGTCCCAGAGAACCTGGGCCAGAGGGACTCTAAGGACAGGGGGCCACTGAGGGAGTGACAGCTGCACAGCAGGGCTGGGGGCAAGAGCGTCAGGACAGCCTTAGCTGCTCCCACTCTGGGAGCAGCAGGGACGGGTTCCCAGCAGGGCGTCTCCAGGGCAGCAAGGAGCAGGCCGCCCGTGCCTACCCACGCCCTACCCCGAGCAGGCGATGACACCTGAAGGCTGCAGTCGCCGTCCCCTCCCCAAACCTCTCTGAGGCCCTATGGTGGCCCAGCCCCAAGCCCCTCTCCCGGAGATCCTGCCCAGAGCCCCACCCCACCAAGACGGGAAGGGTACTGGAGAGTCCGGCAGACAGGGCGGGGAAGAGCAGGCAGGTGGCGGGGCAGCCCGAGAGTCCAAGCCCCAAAATCCAGCCGCAGGCAACCCCGCTCCCACGTGCGCTGGTCCGCGCCTACCTTAGGGGAGCCAGGCAGCACCTCGCTGTTGGCCACGGTGGCGTTGGGGGTCTCAGTGCGCTGGCCTGGCTGCCGCGGTCTCTTTTGCTCCCGCCGGGCCCCGACGCCCCCAAGGAACACGAGCTGCGGCCAGAGGAGGGCCAAAGACGCAGCCCAGGCCCAGCGCATGGTGCCGGCCTGCGGCTCCGGACCTCGGGGGAGGCTCAGCGCTGCGCCCGGGGTGCACTCATGGGGGCGGCACCGCTCAGAGCCCCCGTGCGGAGGCGCGGCCCTGGCGTACGGCTGGTCGCCGCTGGTGCATGTCTGTGGGGCACGAGCCAGGCGCAGAGGCACAACAGCCACCACAATGGGCACTACGACAGGCAGACAGCACGAGGGACGGGGCAAGACGCGCTCCTGTCCCCGAGGGTCCCGCCAGTAATGGCTTTCGCTCACGCTCGTAGTGCCCTAGTTGCCGGCGCCTCAGCCAAATAAACCCTCCCCTCCGCCCCAAAGCTCGCCGGCTCCAAGGGGGAGGGCTCACACGGCCGATCCGTCAGCGGGCTCCCAGGCAGGCCGGGGGCGTGGACGGTCCAGCACCCCCACTGACCACGCGACGCGCCTCGGCACTTGAGAATCTGGGGGCTGCGCCTCCTGGGCCCTCCCACCTGCCTTGGAAAGAGCCCCCACCCTTTCCTGGGAGGCGGACTCACCCTGGGAACCGTTAACGAGGACTCGCCCTGCCCCCCATCCCAGCTAAGCTCCTGGCACCTCACACTCGCCCCTTCTGGCGGCAGGCCAGGAGCCCCAGGGTGGAGAGCTCGCAGCCCCATCAGCTCCTTCCTGCCACGCACCTCAGCTCTCCGGGACCCTTCTGGCCCTGCCGGTCTCCCTGCCCAGGGCTCCTGGTGGTGTCCCAAAGCCTGGCTGGGGCCCTGCCCCTGGGAAAAGCACAACCAGGGAACAGGGCGGCTGGCCCTCTGGACCCCTAGCCCTGTGCCAGCTGGGGTGACCCTGGGTGCTGCTTCTCCACTGGGGTGAGCGTGCCAGCAGTGGCTGATGGGTCGACCCCCACGGTTGACGAGAGGCCCCGCTCTTGGACACAGGGCCCACCCCTACTGCCTGAGGGGCTGCTCTCACCCTCGGGTCTCTCAGCCCCCTGAGCCAGTGGGCACAAGGGCAACTAGCCCGTGGGCCGGCCCCCGGAGGTCAGCGCCCACCTGAGCCCCGAGAGCCTTGGCCGGTGGCACAGCTGCCAGAGCCGTTCCCTCCACAGCCGTCCGGCCCCAGGAGGGTGAGTGGTTCCCTCCAGCTGGACCAAGTGGCAGCGGGAGTCCTTCCTTAACGACCTCCAGGCTTCGACAGCACAGCCGGGGTCAGTTCAAGCCCCCAGGCCCTGTGGGCTGGCTGTCCTGGCACCTTGGGGGCCCAAGTGGGGCTCGAAGCTGGAGCCCAGACCCTGGCTGCCCGCTGCCCGCCTGGTGGTGTCAACCAGCGGTGCCCAACCCCTTTGGTACCAGGCACCAGTGTCGTGGAAGACAACTTTTCGGTGGAAGGGGACGGGGCGTTGGGGGGATGGCTTTTGGGCCTGCCGCCGGGCGCTGCTCGACTGTCCCTTGCCACACACGGACCGGGCTCTGACCCAGTCTGCTTTGTCAGTGCCCCTGCAGGAGAACCCGAAGCTGCGCCCCAGCGCCTGCACCCCACCATCCCGGCCCACGCGGCCCCTCAGGCAGCACTTTCACGAGGGGTGTGCACTCAGGTCCCTCGCAGGTGCAGCTCCCAGGGGGCCCGCGCTCCTCAGAGAATCTGACCTGCCCAGAGGCAGAGCTGACGGCGATGTGAGCAACGAACGGGGAGCAGAGATGAAGCCGCGCCCGCCGCCCCTCACCTCCTGCCGGGCCGCCCAGGTCTGCACAGGCCCCAGCAATGGGAGGGTCCTGGGCTTGGGGCTGGCTGCCTTGAGCGAAGAGGGGCACACTGGTCCGGGGACAGAGCAGAACAGCCCCCCAGACCCTCGTTGCGGGCGATTTCCAGACGCCTGCCAGGAACGGAGGAGGCAGCCCAGTGGAAGGACCCCACCTGCCGTCAGCTGCAGGCACAGCCCCCGCCCCCGGCAGACAAGCTTTCAGAAGACGTGCGGTGTGTCCACCCGAGGACACCTGCCCTCCCCTCCTGGCTCAGGCAGAGGTGGTCACACCCACCCAGGACAGCAGCGCCGGTTCTGGTGGCTCCCTGAGCTCCCGACCTGTGCCTAGCAGCGGGTCAGGAGAGGTGGCCCAGGGGACGGCCAGGCTGCCAGACCACTCCCGGAGGCCGGAAACCTGTCTGCCATCACCCGCGCCCTAGTGGCCCAGTCCTCGAGGCCCCCGTGGGTGCCAGTGAGTGCAGCTGGCAATGCGCCTGAGGGCTGCCGCCCCATGGCCGCTGGCCCTGCCCGTTGGACGGGTAGCCGAGTGGCAGAGCCGGGACAGAGCTGGGCCTCCAACCGTCCCAGCCCCATGGCACCCGGGGATCAGCTCGAACCCCAAGCACCCTCACCAGCAGGAAGCAGTGCTCCAGCCAGTGGTCGGCACGTCGGCCCAGCCGTGCTCTGCAGCGGGGACACTGTGCCCTCAAGCTTGGGCCTGGGGAGGGTTCGAGGTCCCAGTGTACCTGTGACAGAAAACTGGCCCCGGCTTTCCGGGGTCCCTGCCCTGTCCTGAGAGTCCTTCCAGGGCCAAGCCCCCCTCCCAGGCCAGCCCTGGAGCTACCTGGGGAAGGACAGCTACCGTCTGCCCTGGGGGTGGAGTGAGGCTCAGGCCAGTGTCCTCACCTACCCAGACAGTGGACGCCCAGGGGCCTGTGGGAGGACAGGACCATGGGTGCTGGGCACAGCCCCTCCAGCAGGCTGTCCTCTCGGCCTGCGAGCAGGATTCACTCCAGCCCCTTAGACCGAGACCTCTGGGCGTGACAGCCTTGGCCGGGGGAGGGACGCAGGCCTCTGCTCCGCACAGAGGTGGCGCCTCACACGTCCTTGGACACTGGCATCGTCAGGCTTCGCCCCCTCGATAGAGGATGACTTCAGCACACGGCCTGCGTGATGAAGGCTTCGGCTTTGCCCACTGGCGGGGACCTGCACAGCCAAGGGTGGGGTGGCCTAAGGACACGACCATCCTCCCGTGGGAGCTGACCTCGAGGGTCACAGCTGGGCCTGGAGGCACCGTCGCAGGTTCTGCCCAGGCCACCCTCTGCCCACAACCTGCCAGGTATCGCACCTCCCAGAAGCCTCAGGGAACACGGAGCGTGTGGACCAGACGCTGACCCCCAGACACACCCTCAAGCCGGCTGTGGCTGGAGGACAGGCCCAGGAGCGCGGCACTGCCACCAGGTCCACGTTGGGTCGCCACCCAGTGTCTGCGGGGCCACCTGCCCACATGCCGCTCAGCACACTTCCACCCACAAACTCAAAACAGCACAGGACTTAGGGACAAAAAGGACAGATTTTCTTCACAAAACAGAGTTGAACACACACAAGTGGTGAATTATAGGGCAATTTTAAACAAACTGATCAAAAAACAAAGTCAAAGATGCAGAAACGCTGGCTGCCCCTCAGTGTCCCCACTGGCCCGAGCGGGGTCACGGTGTGGCCTCCACTGGCTCCCCAGTGAGATCAGTAAACGCAGACACAGAACCCAAAAAGGTCCAGGCCACTGGTCCCAAAACTGAGGTGACGTCCATGGGCTCTGGCCCTGATCTTGGCCATGTCCTCCCAGGACAGCGTTTGTCCTCTGTGATGGCCTGTGTGACCTTCTAGACAGGGCCACATCTGGTGAGAAGGGAGAGAAGTTCCGCAGTGCACAGAGCCAGCCTGTGTGGGGGGCTCTCTGGGGTGCTGACGTCTCCCGCCTCCCCAGCACCCGAAGGGCTGCTGGGCCACCTGGACCCAAAGAGTTCAAAGCAAAAGCCCCAGGGGCCCCAGGACCGGGAGGGGGCTGAGGCCCCACTGCGCTGGGCAGCTCTGCCCACAGCTCCCAGCCACTTCAGGAAGCAAAGGGCGACACCTGGTGGTCACCGTGAGCAGACCCTCAGCTTCTGGCGGAGCCAGACCACAGGCTCTCGTGGCAGGCGCCTGATCCCCTCTAAGGGGACACAACCCATCTCCTGGGCCCTCCCATGGACGACTGGCCCCCAGGCCCACACGGACAAGCGTAGCTTGGGACCGGCCCCTGCCCAGTGGGTCGGAGCACCGCCGGACTAAGAATGTACACAGTGTGTTTGATAGGCATTGAGTTTTGTATTTTTAAGTGACCAAATCTATAAAATGAAAAACAGATTTACTAAAACAGGTCCAAAAGACGATACAGGAGATGTGGTATAAAACCAAAGCGTGAGGCCCCTCCTCCTCGACCCCCGAGCTCCACAGACCCTGAGACCCGGGAACGCATGTCTGAATGTACCAGACCCGACCCACACGCTCCGGCTGTTCTCATTTTCCTCTCAACGGTTTTTAAGACACTAACCCAGGAGAGTCAGGTGGTCTGCCCTGTGCTCAACAGTGCATCCTGCCAGCCAGTGTCCAGCCCGGGCCCAGCGTCCCTTGTTTGACCCCTCCGCAGTCACCACGTGCGGCTCACTCCTGGGCGATGCTTCTCAGCACGTACTTGACCGTGTAGGCAAAGGCTGCAAACCCGACTATAACAAACAAGTTCGCCAGGGCGCCGCCCAGGAGTCCGTGGTGCCGGTTGGCCTGCTGGAGCCCCACGAGGTGCGGCCCCGCGCCGGGCGCGTGCCCGTTGAGGAGCTGAAGCCCGTTCTGGGCGTGGTGGGTGTCCCCGTCCGGAACGACGTCTGGAAGGGGGAGCGCCGGGGGCCTGCTGTTGAGCTCGTCTTGTGCTTTCTGTTTCTGTTTAATCTCCTGAGAGAACAGCAAGAAACAAAGAGGTGTGTAAATAAGCCAGACCCGCTGGGACCAGGGAGGGTCCCACGGTCCCCCACGAAGACCCTGAAATATGGGTGGCTGCTGGTGGGCTCAACCCGGGCACAGCCCTGCTTTCGCACATGTGCAGGAAAAGTGACCTGGCGAACCACCAAAGCTGCGCCTCCCGGGCCCAGGCCTGAGCCACACACCCTAGGAACCCAATCACTATGGCCTTGAACTGCCTGCAGCCCAGCCGCCTGGCTCATGACTGCTAGGACCTGGGGGCATTTCATCCCTCACGGCAGGACCCTGCCCCACCCAGCACCTCCTCGCCCAGGTGGCCAGCTTTATGCCTTGTGCAGACAGGCCCCGTCCCCACGCCCCCTGACCTCTCCCAGACCCAACTTCCATCCCCCTAGTCCCCGGGCACCTCTGGGGGGCAGATCTGCTGCACCTAATGCAGTGTGGGCACAGGGACCCTTTCATGCTCTCTGTCTGCAGGATACATTTCCTCTGGGAGAAACCAAATTTGAAAGTGTTTCCCACCCAGGGAAGCCAAACTGACAGCCAGCTCGCACGCTCACCTCCACGACCTCAGGAAAGAGCTCACAGAAGACTTTGTCTTTCAGGTTGAACACTAAACTCTGGGCAGCCAGCTGTCTCTTCTAGGAAGAAAGAGAAGAAAGAGTGTCAGCCCTGGGGCTGCCCTCAACTGTCTGAAATCGTCCCGGCTGCTATCTTCCTGTTGCTGGGCATCCTGGACACGCTCATTGTCACCCCATCAGCTCCCGATGGCCACCTGGATGCTCACTCACACAACAGAAAAATAAACACCAGTCAACAAGAGAGCAGGCGCCGCACCTGGAGGCAACACCCTCAGTCCGCAGGGCTGCCCAGGAAGCTGGGTGGACCCCAAGGGACCCAATGGACCTCAGGGCCCGGGGTCGCTCCCTGATGCTTGGGGAGCAGGACACGGGCCGGGGTCCCCAACTCGCCAGCCTCACTCCCTGCCCCTCACCGTGAACTCTGACGTCTCTATGCTGCCCAGGGTGGGGCCCTTCTCCACCATGAAGCTCAGGAGCCCAGTCAGGATGGTGGAGACAGACCAGGCTGGGTTCCACGTGTCTGGGTGGAAATCCGTGATGGAAAGACACAGCCTGCAAAAAAGAGGCCCACTCAGCAGCACACACACTTGCCATGACCCCAGTCACGCTTCTGGAGCAGGGCAGAGACATCTTACCTCGTATTGCACTTGAACCTTCCATTGGGGGTTATCATATAAATACTAGGAGGTTTAAAGGGAAATTCCCTGGGAAAAATCAGCTTTCCGTGGTAGTAGCCACCTGCGTCAGAACAGAGAGAGCGCCTGTCACAGTCCACAGAGCAGCTCCTGGGTCTTGAGCCTGCACTTACCCCCACTCCAGCCCACAGGTCCCCCACCTCATGCCCACCTGCCCACAGCACAGCCCTCACTGTGCCCAGGTCCCCCGTCCCGAACCACTGCTCCACCACCAAACCACACCCAGCAGTAGGCCAGCCTGCTGTTTCTCCACCTTAAAAATAACAGCACGCAGCCCTGACTCTCACGCCGTCTGCTTCCTGCCACCTGCACCCTCTTACGCACAATTCCTGGGCAGCATGCCGGGACTGCTCTCTCTCCAGGTCACCTCCCACCACTGGGGGTGGCCACATCTCAGGCCTCCTGACCACTCCTGCCCTGCCCGCCAGAGGTCTCCTGTCTTCACCCCCAGTGCAGGGGTCCCTTCGGCCCTGCCCTCAGACCGCACTTTTGGGGTCTCACCTGGACCCATGGGACACATGAGGACTGTGACGACTCTCCAGGTGGCAGGGCAGACCTCTGAGCCCCTGTCCAAACTCCAGACCCATGCCTGGGTTACACTGCCCCAAAAGGTCCAAGCCAGATTCCTGCTGCTTCCCTCAAACAGCAACTCCATTCTCTCCACTGTCCAGACTAAAATCTGGGGTCACCCACCCCTATCACACCCATTCCATCTGCGTAACCCGTTGGCCCCACCTGCCAACTGACCCAGAGCCCAACTGGCCTCACCCCCTCCAACCCCGCCCAGGCCTCACAGCCCTGCTCTTAGGCAGTCCCCGGGAGCTTGCCAGAAACGCAGAGCCTTGGGGCCGCCCTAGACTGGCGATGCAGGCGTGTCGCATGCACGCGTGTGCACACTCAGTGAGGCTTCAGGAGCGCTGCCCTGTCCTCACCCTCAGGCATGGCCCTGCCTCCAAGACTGGCACACACCAGTCCCACGGGCCCACAGGGCTCTGCCCCAGGCCCGTCTTGAGTAGGGCCTGCCAGCACCCGTGTGGCTGCAGTGCCCCGGCTGCCTCACATGCCCACTGCCCCTTCGACTCCCAGGGTCACCTGTGGGGCCAGCTCAATAGGCAGATAAGCCCACCAGCAAGAGATGGATACTCGGCATGGTGCTCAGAGCCCATGCCCACTCAAGACCACTCAGAAAAGCCCGAGCCCTGGCTGGTGTGCCTCAGTGGACTGAGCTGTGGCCTGCGAACCAAAAGGTTGTTGCTTTGATTCTGGGTCAGGGCACATACCTGGGTTGTGGGCTGTGTCCAGGGGAGGGGGGGGGGGCAGCGCAGGGGTTGAGAGACACATCCATGTATGTCTCACGCACATGTTTCTCTCTCTCCCTTCCCTTCTCTCTAAAAATAAGTAAAACCTTTTCTTAAAAGATTTTATTTACTTATTTTTAGATAGGGAGGAAGGGAGTGAGGAAGAGAAGGAGAAAAACATGAATATATGACTCTCATGCGCCCGCCAACCAGGAACCTGGCCTACAATCCAGGCATGTGCCCTGACAGGGAATCAAACTGGTGACTTTCAGTTCATGGGTCTCAATCCACTGAGCCACACCAGCCAGGGCCAAAAATAAATGAAATCTTAAAAAAGAAAACCGAACTCTAAGCACACGCACTGAACCCAGTGCCCCCCGTCCGGTGCATAGGGAGCCACCACCCCAGGTGAGAGCCAGCTGCCACCTGCTGCCCTCGGGGCCTGTGCAGGAGCCAAGGGCAGACAGTGCAAACTCGGGCAGAAGACGGACACCCCACACCGTAGAGAGGGGGTTCTAGGAGGGCCTATACTCTAGGAGGAAGCCGCAAGAGGTGTCCCCAAGGGCGGGAAGAAAGGGGGCGCTAGGAGTGCAGACCACGCGCCAGCAGCTTGCATTCCAGGGTCCGGGTGGCAGGGCACCTCCTCCCGTGGACCCGCTTCTGCAACGAGGCAACAGTCCTGCGTCCTCCACCCAGTCCCGTCCTGTCTCCACACCTCCCCCTGCAGACGCAGTTCAGCAGGCAAAGGACTCCTCCCACTTTACTCTTTTTAGGGTGGGGACTGGGTCCTTCGCCTTCCCCTGTAAATGTCAGAATGAACGTTTCAGCACAAGCTTGTGCGTGTGCACAACAACCTCTGTCAGGGCTGCAAGTCTGCGGCAGTGCTGGGCAAAGGGGGGCAGCTGTGAACCGCAGGGCCTGGCTGTGCCAGAGAGCAGGACAGTGTGGGCCCAAGCAGGGACAGCAGGAGACATGGGAGAGGAGGATGAGAGATGGGGAAGGACGGGTCAGAACGCCCAGGAGCCGGAAGAGGAGCAACGAGGGAGGACAGTCATACCCTCAGGGTCCTCAAAAGCCCAGACACAGAGCCCACAGAGCCACCCGCAACTGACAGGTCCCTAGGAGACCCTGCCGAGAGAAGGCAGCAGAGGGCAGTGCTGAGCTGAGGGGGGACTCCCAGCTGGTTCAGTCAAGTTTGTTAACACATGTGCCTGTGTTTGCTAAGCCTGTGTTTACCACGGCCTGTGCACTGTTCTGAGGCCGTCTTTCTAGGAACGCTGCCTGGACAAGGCCATCAGCAAGCCCATACCCAGCTGCTGGGCACAGGGATGCTCCCAGTCCTGGTAACACGCCCACCCCTACACACCCACTTTGGGACACACATTCCCTGGGGCAGACCCTCCCAGAGGGGGGCCCCCGGCAACAGAGGAGTCCTGGGAGGCCAGTGAGTACCTTCGAGGGTGCAGGCCCTCCTCCTCCCCCTCAGATGCTGACCCTGAGTCCCCAAGGGGCCCTCACACTCTCTTCTGAGGACAGCGCTCTCCCAGTGAGGGTATCTGCAAACCCCGCACACTGCTCCGGCCGCCTCAAGTCAGGACCCGGCGGCTGGAAAGCTGAAGGCACTGCCCGCCTGGCTGCATGCGGCTGTGCCCCGGGCTGGCCTGGCCACGACTCACGCCCCTACCAAGGGACTTGCCGACTGACTGCTCCAAGGTCTACTTTGTCCATGACACCAGGACCCCAGGAGGCACCAGCATCAGCAGTCAGGAGAGCAGAGGTGCCCCGCTGACCCAGGACAGGCCCTGTGCACACACACCAGGGGCCCCGCTGCGTCTGCAGGATTCGCCCAGAGGGAGGTGCCAACACCCCATCTTCCCCTGGACAGCACCCTCCCTCACCAACAGCAGGAGGACCCGGCGCGTTTCACTCTTCCTGCAGCCCCGACCCCACAGGCGTCAGAGACTGGGTGGGACTCCAGTGCTTATGGACGGTCCCCAAGACACACGGACAAAACCGAGCACACACCTCCAAGACTTGGAGAATCACTAAAATGAATTCCAAGGAAGTCCAATGTGAAAAGCGTATTATTTACGTTTACACCTTGCGTTTAACAGTCAAGGTCTATTCAGGTGCAGCACTGCCCCCAGCCCAACTCAGAGCAACAACTCACCTTCGTAAGCAGTCTTCTCAGGGCCTCGGACCACGTAGTGCCTGCAGGAGAGAGGACAGTCAGCCGGCTCTGGGGGTGGCGAGTCCCCAAACCTGGGTCACTCCAAGGCCAGTGGTTTGCAGGGCCACCGAAACCAGACATGCACCAACATTCAGTCTGTGAACACTAAAGGTCGAGGGCCAACCAGCAAGGCCATTCAAAGCCCTTCAGGCTCTGGTGCAGCCGACGCTTCCATCACTGTGTGACCACACACACACACGCACACACACGTGTTAACATGCAAACCAGACACCTGCTATCTGCTGCTCAATACATTTTACCCCCAAAACAACAACAAAAGCTGTGATCCTGTGTCAGTGGACCAGGAACAGCCCTCAGAGCTGAGCACAGACACACCCAGGCCGGTGCCTGAATCCGTCACTGCTCCAATTCCTCTGCCACTCTGAGAACACAGGACAAGAAGAGCGCCTAAGTGGTGAGAGCCCAGCAGCGCCAGGGCCACCAAGTGAGGCCCAAGCAGCACAGCACTCAGAGGACAGGCCTTGTCCAGGAGCGCGCTCCCCGCTCTGGGGCCCGGCACTGCAGCCCTCCCCGTGGCCGGGGCTGGATCTGCAGAGGAAGCCTGTTTTCCTGAAGGGGCAGCTGGAGCTCTGGTGGGCGCCAGGCAGAGAGCCTTATGAGCCCCACCCACTAAAACTTTTCACTGTGCTACACCTTAGCAGTGGGTCCTCCCAGCAAATGATCGAACCTGGGGACCCCAACTCTACACAAGGAGGAGTGGGTCCCTGAGAATGCCCTGGGGCCACACCTGATTTTTGTCATGTGGGGGCAGGAAGAGCTCTACAGTGACACTGCCATCCCCTCACGTGCTGAGGCCCACGTGGCCCTGAGACCTGTCCCTACCTGCCAGCTCTGGCCTTGCTGTGGGCACAAGAAGGGTAACTCAGAACCCTGAATACCTGTCCCATCTGAAAATTTTTTAACTCGGTTAAATCTTTTTCCTTCAGATTAAAGAAAAAATTTTTTTAGTTCTGGCTGGTGTGGCTCAGTGGATTGAGTACCAGCCGGCAAACCAAAGGGTCATCGGTTGGATTCCCAGTCAGGGCACTTGCCTGGGTTGCAGGCCAGGTCCCCAGTGGGGGACACTCGAGGGCAACCACACATTAATATTTTTCTGCTTCTCTTTCTCCCTCCCTTCCCCTTTCTAAAAATAAAAAAATTAAAATCTTCAAAAAAATTTTAGAAGTTCAAGTACTTTTAAATTGCTTTTTTAAGAAAAGATTTGATTTGCCCTGGCTGGTGTAGCTCAGTGGACTGAGCACAGGCCTGTGAAGCAAAGGGTTGCCGGTTCGGTTCCCAGTCGGGGCACATGCCTGAGTTGTGGGCCAGATCCCCAGTAGGGGACACATGAGAGGCAACCATGCATTGATGTTTCTCTCCCACTCTTTCTCCTTCCTGTCCCCTTTCTCTAAAAATAAGTTAAAAAAAAAAGACTTGATTTACTTACTTTTGTTTAGAGAAAGGAGAAGGGAGAAAGAGGGAGAGAAACATCAATATGTGAGAGATACATGGTTGCCTCTCACACTCTCTAGGCATGAGCCCCGACTGAGATTTGAACCTGCAACCATTCGGTTCACAGGCCAGCCCTCAATTCACTGAGCCATATCAGCTAGAGCAGCACTTTTAAAAATCAAAATGTAAAACATTCTTCAAAGAAAAAAATGCTTCTTAGTATTTTAGCCCTACACCTTATTTCTGACAAAAACACCAGCAAACCTGGCCAGGGCAACAGTTCTACAAAGGCATGAAGCCTCCTGACCCCATACTTTCCCCCGCTGGGAACTGGCCTGCAACCCAGGCATGTGCCCTGACTAGGAATCGAACCGCAATCCTTTGGTTCACAGGCCCGTGCTCAATCTACTGAGCTACACCAGCCAGGGCGCCTGACCCCACACTCTGACACAGCAAAGAAGTTACTCTGAAGCAAATGTTCAGAAGGCACGGTCCCCTCATGTCACCAGCCTGGGGCCAGTGCCAGAAGCTACAGGATCAGAGCCTTTGTCCCCTCTGTCACAAACTCTCCGAGCCCACAAGCAAAGGGCAGAGAAGGAAGGTAGAGAAGTGCAGCTTCTCCTCCAATAGCTCTGAGGCCTGCACCAAAGCCTCCCTGTCGGCCTGCAGACCCAGACCTCTCCCAGAAGGACCCTCTCCAACCCGGAGTGCAGGGGTCAAGGTCAAGGCTCTGTGTCCTGCCTGATTACCACTGTGAATGCCTTCAGGCCTCACAATGTCTGACTGACACCTCAGACGGGTCAGACACCCCTTTCTGAACCACGACAGGAGCACCAAGCCCACCGGCCCAGGCCGCAGGGAATCTGGGTGACAGGCGGTGCAGGGTAACTGATGACGCAGAGCCTTACCATTCAAGAATGTTGGAAGGGAGGGGCTCAGCACAGATGTAAGGCACTGGGTCTTTCTTAATTCGAAGGTAGTCCTGTTTCAGTCGCTGAGTGGCTGTAGTTGGTGCTCTCTTAGTGCTGTTGTTGCTCATCTGTGAAACATAAACGCGAACATTAACAGCGGAAAAGGACACAGCACCGCCGCGTCTCCGCCCACAGCCTGAGATGGTCCCTAGAGCAGGTCTCTCTCGGCCGGACCAAGGCCTGAAGACTGTCCAGTTTCACCCACCCCCTTAGACGCCAATGGCCTTGCAGCTTTGCCTTTGTCATCTACCCTGCCACACCTTCATTCAGATGCAGAGTGTTTTTTAAAAACCTGATCTACTTTCAGGTGTTCACGGATGGAGGTGTCTGAAGCCTGGACCAGACCCCAGGCAACTGCACACTGCTGCAGCTCTGTGCTCCGGGACACCACGGCATTCAGGACATGCCTGCAGCAGCCTCTGCAGAAGCCCGCCATCACATCCCCAGCACGTGTGCCACTGTCACAGTGTGTGGAAGGAACAGGGGTACAGAGAGCCTCTTTCAGAGACCTGAGAGGGACAGGGAACCCTAGAAAGACTCAAGTGCATGTGCTGGGCAGGAAAGTCTTCCAGGCAGAAGACCCAAGAAAGGACTGTACCCAGAAACAGCACTGGATCACTGCATCAGGAGCCACAGTATGTGGTGACTAATAAGGCTGGCCAGGGAGGCCAGGCCGCCGAGTGGTGCTCAGAAGGGTCTTAGGCCAAAGTCTTAAGATGCAACAGACCTTGTGTTAGAAAGGTCACTCTGCTGGTTCAACACAAGACAAATGAGATGGGACAGCATGGGACAAATGAGATGGCAGAGACAGGACAGTGCAGGGCAGCACAGAAGGCTGGGGACCAGGAGTGAAGCAATGGCCATGATGGAAGAGAAAGCATATGGCCTGGGTCACCTCTGCTCTGCTCCAGAAACAGAGGGGATGGTGGTGGGGAGACAGGGCGCCCCACTCTCACAGGCACCAGAACAGCTCCAACCCAACCGGAGTGTCTCATAACTAAGGTAGGTAAGAAAGCTGTACTGCTAACACTGAAGTGTAGAAACCACTGTGCCAGCACAGGACAGAAACACGAAGGACACGTAGGGTGTGCAGGGACAGGAAGGCAGAGGGTACATCCAGGCCACTGTGGTGGCAGACTGGGTGTGGGCAGAAGGAGCCATACCCACCCCACTCACCCCCACACCACTGACACTCTGCCACTCAGCTTTCTCAATTTATCCTTCCACAGCACCAGACAAGGGTGGCCAGGCTCTCTGCACCCTGACCTCCCTGCCTGCACAAACCCAAAGTCATCTACCCCCACCACGCCTGCCCCTTCTCAGCCCTTGTGTGTTCAGTTCCCTAGGGACAGCCGGGCTTGCTCCCTCCCTCCCTGCAGCCTCTGCTGTCACATCACCTCCTCAGAGACATCTGTGGACTCCTGCCCAGTGCCTGGCTGAACCCTCCCTAGAGCATCAACGCCACTGAACATCCAGCTTAGTGGGCTCACAAGGGTCTTCCTGTATGCACCACTGCCCACTCTGCTGCTGGCTCTGGATCCCTCACCCTTAGATCCTGCTCCAACCCTGTCCATTGCCCCCACATTCACCCTAACGCAGGGTCTCACAACCTCCCAACTGGCCTCCTGGCTGCTAGTGTCTCCCCCTTTCAGTCCATCTTGGACTTTAAGTCTTAACTTTGTCACTGAGTTCTGGTCACAACCTTTCAAGATCCTGTCACAGCCAAACAGAAAAAGCCAGCACTTCCTCCACCTCCCAAACCACCCCCCCCAGGCAGTCGTTTGAGATCCAAACCCCCTTCTCAGGCTTCCTGGCCTCCCGAAGCCCAGCCCCACACAGTGCAGGTGCCCAGCAAGCCCCACAGAGACCCTGGGGTTCTGGGAGCAGCCACAGAGTAGCCTGGGAGGGCAGGTCCCCCCACCCCACTGCTCCTGAGCCCCGGGGCAGGTGGCTCACCTGGGCCAACACCCAGGAGCAAACATAGCAACCACCCAAAAGCAGAGCCACCACAGTCTTCTGTTCCTTTTAAACACTCACCCCAAAGAGAACACTTTGCTACAGACATGTTCCCTGTTTGCTACAGAGAACACTTGACTGGGTGATCCCAACACAAATGTGCTAAGTGGCCAAGAAACCGACGAGGCCTGGCCAGGCACAAGGTTCCCTCTGGTTCTGGCTTCCAGGGCCCTAATCTTTAAAAGCCACATCCACGACTCAAGCACTCAGCTGACTCAGAGGAAAGGCTGCCTGCTCAGCCTCTCTGGGACCCCCCACGGTTTTCAGGCGCGCCCCTCCCGGTCCCCCTCCACACCCAGCCCTGCAGGCGGCCGGAACCCACAGGTGTCTACCATGAAGGGAGGGAAGGCTGCTGTGGAGAGCAGAAGGGCACCTGGAGCTGAAGCAGAGCAACCAGCTGCAACACACGGTCCGTCAGCCACCCCCTTGGGACGGACTTGTGCCCAGCGTCCGTTCCCCCTGCCCCTGCCCCTCGGGCCACCTCTGCCACCCTGTGGACCTGCTGCTGGGTGCCGGGCGTCGGCGTGGCAGGGACCTTGGCCGGCCGACTCGACGGGCATGGGACACACCCGCCCCGGTCTCAGAGAGATCTCTGCGTCTCCACCAGGAGGCCCGCCTGCCTGAGCACAGACCTGCCGCCGAGACCGCTGCCGCCAGGACGTGCAAGCCAGTGGCCGCGGGCCCGGGCCCCAGCAGTCTGCACGCTGGGCCCTGCAGTTCGGGGACATCCGCAAGCCCCCTCGCTCCAAAGACGGACCGCCCACCACCCGTTTCGTCGCGGGCAGTGAATGCCGCCCGGCAGGGGCCCAACGGCGCCGGCGGCGGCTCCACCCACCGCGCCGCGGCCCGGCCCCCTAGGAGCAGGCCGGGGAAGGTCTGGGAACCGCATCTGAACTAGGGCCACCGACGCGGCGTTAACCGACACAGAGACCAGCGGTTTATCCCGGCCCGAGGAGCCGGCCGAGGAGGCGGGTGCGGCTGCAGACGAGGAGCTGGTCTCGGCCCCGCGTCCCACTCCCGCTGCCCGGGCGGAGTCACCGACTCCGGCTTCCCCGACTCACCGGCCGAACGTTCCCTTGGCTGCCACCCAAGGGTCATAACCCCAGGCGCCCTCACTCTCTGGGGACCTAGGAAGCGGTTTGCGGTGCTAACTGGTGAGGGTGAGGCGACGGCAGGCTTCCACCCCCACCCCAACGGACTCCCGGGACACAGCCCCAAACCAAGACCGCCGCCAGCTCGTCCCGGAAGGGCCCGCCAGCGCGCCACGAACCGGGACCTCTGTGGGACACCCACCGTGCCGGTCGGCTGAACGCCCAAGCGGGCCGCAGCACCATCCCCGGGCGCCCCGCCGTAACCGACCTCGGGTTCTGCGCACGGAAGCTCCGGGCCGGAGCCCGCGAGCTGCGGACTGGACGGGAACGGGCTGTCCAGGGGCCCCGAGGCCCCGCGTCTCCTGGCCCCACTCGAGCCGGGTCCGACGAGTGGGACGCGCGGCCGAGGCGCCGGCGCAGTCCCGCGGCGCGCACTTACCTCTCCCCGTCGCCGCGCGTGGGCCGCCGCCGCGCTCAGGATCGCCGTGGTCGAGGCTGGAGCAGGGAGCGAAGAGTGGGGCCCGCGCGGAACAGCAGCACCGCCGCAGGGCCGCCACCGCTGCCGCCGCCTCAGCCGCCTCAACCTCTTCAGCTTCCAAGATGGCCGCTCGTGAGGCAGAGCCATCCTCATTTCCGATTCCGGTGCGCTGCTCGCTGGCGGTGGCCGCTCTAGGCCGCCGGAAGAACTTAGCTCAAGTCTCGCTGCTCCCTCCCGCCCAGCGAGGTGGGAACTCAGCGCGTGCGTACTGGCGGGCAGCTCCGCGAGGCGGGGCCGGAGAGGGAACAGTCGGCGCTTGCGCGCTGGCTGGCAGCTCCTCGGGGATGTACTCCGAGCCCCTCGTCAGGTGTTGTCAACTTGCCATCACCCTCCCTGGCATCTCTCGGCCGTATCCTCTTCCAGCCGGAAGTGCCGGGGGCAGACATTGCCCGAAGTGGTCCCTGGTCCCCCACCTTGTACTCTCTCCATCCCAACACACTCAGGGCCGAGGGGTTTCTAGCCCAGAGGGGGTGTGTGCCATCCAGAGAAAGCCAGGCCCAGGTAAAGGATGACCCCAGCAGTGCCGGCGTGAGCCCTGCCCTTCCTCACGCACCCCTAGGAGCCCATTCTCCCACCTGCCACCTTCCAAACGATCGGCCCACTCCGGCCAGGGCCCCAGTTCTCAAAGTTCTGCCCACTCAACAGAGGCCCCCAGCTTGGCCCAGCAGTGACCCAACTGGCCCAGGGACCCTGAGAGTCAAGTCCTGGGCGCCCAGTGTCCAGCCTCTGTGGGAACCTTTGCCAGGTGGAGTCTGCCACTGGCAAGCCTGCCCAGCCCCTGCCCATAGGGAGAGCCATTCTCGTAAAAATACTTCCACTGTTACCCGACCGAATTTTCCACCCTGCCCATGAATAGGGACATTATGCAGCAGTGGACAAGGCATTGAGGCTCACTTTCCGCTCCCACGGTCCCCTCCCTGGCCCAAGGGGTGGGGAAGGCAGCGCTTGGCCACCCTGCCATGGGAGTGGGGCTGAAGCAAGCAAGGGGGCAGTCAGGGCCAGGGCCAGGCCAGGGTGGGGGTCTGGAGGGGAGGGTACTGTTCCCAGACAGCAGCATCTGGAGGCCTCTCCACCTCACGTCTGCCACGAAGGAATGTTTGGAGGGACAGGAAGATGGCAGACAGGTGGGGGTGGGACAGTGGGTGTCTGGGGAGTGGGAGGCTGGGTAGGCCAGTGCACTGCCCACCATACCTCCTCAAGGGACAGCCCGGGACAGGGCCATGTCCCAGACTGGGGCGTCCCCCACAGGTTGTGCCCCGAGAGATGCTGCATATGGACCACGAGGCAGACGGTGGCTGTCAGCCTGGACAGATCCGTAGGGGCCATCGCTGTTCAGAGCCACATGGCAGTGCTCCAAACCCCAGCTCCGCACCCTTACCACAGCCCCGACTACCTCTCGGGGCTGATTGACCACACAACACCTAACAGTGGACACTGAGCACCTGCAGGCCCAGCCATGACCGCAGGAGGGCGGAGGGCAGGTGGGCAGCCCCGCTTGCCCAAGTCTGGCGCCTCTAGAGCCCCAGGACCGGGTCTGAGTAGCGGCTGCTGGACTGCCCTGGTCCCTGGACAGAGCTTGACTGCTCACTGTCCCTCAGCCCGCCACCAGGCGAGTCAGCCCGTGGGAATCCAGCCCACTCACTCTGCCTGCACGTCACGGCTTCCTTCCTGGAGGTGGCTGGTCCCCAGGCTCTGCCTCCTGCTGTCGCATCCAGAAAACATCCAAGCCTCTGGCCTCCACTCCTCCCCCTCAGCACTCCCCCAAGCAGAGCAGGGCCAGCTGTTTTTAGCCTGGGGAAAGGGACACAAGGGAGGCCCACCCCCAGGCACCTGGGGGTTCAAAGACAGTGTGTCCGGCACCCGCCCACCCACCCTGTGGCGTGCAGGCAGCAACAGTTGGGGCCAGAGCCTCAGTTTGTCTCTGTGCAAAAATGGGCACCTGCTCACACTGGGGCACCTCAAAGGGGAGACTGCGGAAGGGAGATCTGCCCAGAACCCCCAGCATCAGCCACCAGCCTGCTGCTCCCCAGCACCCGAGTTGCACCCCAAAGGAGAAGGTGGCTGAGACAGGGGTGGCTGGTGGGTCCTGCCGAGACCCCGGAGCCTCACCCCACCAGATGCACAGATGCTGTCTTGGGTCAGCAAGACCCAGGCCCCCCAGCCCTCTGGCCGTACGGCTGGTGGCCTCAGCAGCTGGGAAGGGAATGGTCAGCAAGGATGGTGGCCCATGAGGCCTGAGACCTTTTCCACTCCAAAGCTGCCCTCTGGAACAGGAGAGACTGGGGCCAGCCGTTGGTAGGGACTTCCTGCCAGCGAGCACGGCAGATGGCCAAGCTGCAAGAAGGGGACAGGGGCATCCACTCCTGAGCACTTTGAATGAGAGGCCCACCATCTGTGCCATAAGAGCTGCCAGGAAGCCAAAAAGGGTTAGAAGCAGGAAAGCCCTGTCCTGCAGCTGCCGCCCCCACCCAGGGCAGCAGTGGGAGGCCGCAGTCACATCTGACCAGAGAGGGCTGTCTGACCAGGGCACCAAGGAGACAGCCCAGAGGTGACAGGAAGTCTGGTGGGAGACACCTGGCCAGACGCTGAGCCCCACAGTGACAACATCACATGCTCAACCCACCCCAGCAGGCTCAGGTCGCCTCCTCTGTGGTGGCCAGAACCCCTGCCCTACATTGTGCTCGGTGCTTGGGGAGGAGAGAGGCTCTGCAGTGGCCCTGAGGAGGCCCTCATTCGCCAGTCGGGGCAGGAACTCCAGAGGGACCAGCCTCTGCACCCACCAGGACGCCCAGCACCTGCAGAGCCCAGGCTCAGACTTCCGGTAGCATCAGAACCCCACCCCCACCCCAGGCCAACTCTGAGCAGCCCCTGCGGGGGAGAACACTGAATCTGAAGGGTTCCCACAAAACACCGGCGCCCTGGAAGTGTTGTCCTCTATACCCCCAGGCCCAGCCGCTCTCTGAGGCCCCGGCCCCTCCCCAGTGACCCAGATGTGGGTGTGGACCCAGCTGCTGACCTTGGGCCCCCAACCAAGGTGTCCCCCTTGGACCAGGTAAGAAGGGTTTAAGTCGTCTGCGAAGACCAGCTCTGACTTCGATCCTGCAGGGGGCTGAGGCACGTGCCTGCCCCTAGCCAGCGCCCACCCACAGGAAGCCCAGGGCTCCCGCCCCCTGCAAGCTGCCCTTGGCTGACCAGGACCCTCGGAGGCTGCAGCCCTTCTCTCCAGACCCCTCACTTTGCAGCCTTGTGACACTGAGCCTAATTACCCAGAGGGTCTGGGGCCTTCCTCTTCTGCTGACGGGCCTCCCCCAGGGCAGTGTGACCTCCCCCAGTCACCTTGATCACAGGGCGCATGCCCTAAAGGAAAGTGGGGAGGCCCTGGCTGAGTCTGAAGGCTCTGAGGCAGGCCCCTTGAGGGGGGTCGGCACAACTGCGACATCAGCTGCTCCCACCTCTGAGCCCCACTGTTTACTCGAGGAAATGGACTCCTGGTGGTTGAGTAATTTGGGAAAGGTCACAGCCAGCAGGTGACAGGGTCATGATTCACACCCACACCCTGGTGAGTCCGGGGTGAGTTCTTCCCCCCAGCATGGCTCCCTCTCCCCGATGTCCTCAGAGGCAAGACCCCCAGCACAGCCTGTTGGGGCTCGGGGACCCTCCCTCATCCCAGCCCAGGTCCTCGGCACTGACTGGGGGTGGGACGTCTGGGGAGGGAGCAGTAGGGCCGGAGCCGACCCCTCCAACCCGGGACCCAGATGAGGTTCTGGTCACCTGGCAGGGTGAGGCCTCTGGGTCCCCTGGGGACATGTTGGGTCCCCCCGTGGAACCAGAGATGGTGGATTGTCCTGGGGGCAGGGGTATTGGGTCGTCCTACCTTCCACAATTGTGTGGCCTCACACGACGGCCCTCAGGCCGAGGATTTCAGCCTCAGAGACCATGTGATTTGGGCCATGAACATGCTGTGTGTTGTTAGCATGTGGTGTGTGGTCTCAGCCTGTGCGTGGCCATGGTGTGTGGCGTGCCATTTGTGGGGGTAATGCGTTGCCTTAGCATGCCAGGTGTGGTCTGGTTGTCGGGTGTGGCATCTTGGTGGGTGGTAGGCCGGGTGGCCTTGCTGTGTGACCTGGGGGCCGAGCCAAGAGCCCTGGGCCACCGAGGGCCCCTTCACACCCAGGCCCAGGAAGTTCCCACAATTAGTGCCCATCCTGGGGGTCGGGCAGCGGGCCCTGGGGGACACTCGGGCTCTGGGAGCAGAGCCACCTGCCGGGCAGCATCCCTTGGCCACGCACACCTGTGCTCAGAGCTGGCGGAGTGATCCAGGCAGGCTGTGGTGAGCAGGCCGGGCTGCTGGGCGCCGGGTCTGCTGGGAGCAGGGAGAGCAGGCGTCTCGGTGCGGGGGCCTGAGCCTCCTGGGCCAGAACGTCTGCTCAGTCAGTGCCCATCCAGCAACCAAGGGGTCCCCACCCGGTGCCGCCTTCTCTTCCCTCCAGAGCTCCTCTTCCCTCTGAAACTCCCTGTCCCCAGTCGGGGTCACAGCCCCAGGCCTCGCCTCCAGGGCTCTGGGCAGGAAAGGCTCACAGGGAGGAAGCCTGTCCCTGTCCTCGAAGGCCTCCCCTTCCGTGTCCAGAGCAGGCGTGGCTGCCCCGGGCCGCTGGCACCTCCCCAACACCTCACTCCAAGCCAGCCTGTTATAAATAGGAGGCTGGCTACCCAGCATTGGGCCACATCCCTCTCTGTCACCTGCCGGAGGAGCTGCCACCATCGGGCCACCTACTACGGGAGAATGGAGGCACCCGCACAGGTACCTGAGGTGGGACCCCTCACACGTGGGGCAATCGGGTGGCCATGTCCTGGGGCCTCCCTGGTCTGAAGTGGAGGGTTGTGTCCCTCATGTCACCACAAGCCAGCGTACACACGTGTGTACACAGGGGTGAGGGCTGGGGAGGCATGAAGCCCTCCTTCGTCAGGCAGCCCCTGCTCAGTGTGCGTGCTCACACGTGTGTGAATGTATGATGGGTGTACACCCTGCTCTTGCTGTCAGCTGAAGTGTGTCGGACCCCGGGGGGCCCACAGTCACCCTGGTGCATCTGTGGCCCTGTCTCAGGAAGCCCCGGAGGCTCCAAGTGGGCCTGGAGACCCCATCTCCAGGGCTGCCCCTCGGCCCTGCAGCCCCCACTGGCGTGGGAGGGGCTGGTCTGGGCTGCTCTCCTGGGGGAGGGGAGACAGCGTGGTCACCAGGGTTGGAAGGCACCTTCCAGAGACTCCTCAGGCTCACCTGCAACACACGGCTGAGGGTCCTGCCTTCCCAGTGAGCCTGGGACGGAGGCACACGTGTGGGCAGAGCTCTGTGCCACACAGGTCCCATTATCAGCACCCGTAGTGGCACGTGCTCCCAGTTGGCTGTGAGGCAAGCCGGGGACCCACAAGCCTGAGGCCACAGGGCCGGGAGGCCCACCCATCCCACTCCGTACCTGGGGTCCCTCAGAGCTGGCTGGCTTGCTGAGACACGTTCCCAGAACACATGGGAGCAGCCTGCTTGGGTACACCTTTGCTTGCAGGAGGCGGGGTGCAGGGGCAGGTGGAGACCCAGCAGGGGCTTCCCCTGCCTCAGCACCCTTCTCAGCTGCCCACTCCGCCCCCCACCTGTCGGTGGGCAGGGCCAGAGCCCAGCAGGCCGCACTGGGCTATGAGGAGCTCCAGTGATTCAGACCAAGATGGGGACAGTGTGGAAAGTCCAGAGAAGGCGGTGCAGTGACTCGGCGCGGGACTGGGGCCAGCATGCCTGGCCTGGTCACTGCCCCACATGCCTGTGCGCCGGGGGACCTGGGGCCTGGAGGTCCCGGGTCTTGGAACGCTGGAACCTCCAGGGCAGGACTGGGGGCCCGGTCCTGGAGGCTCCACTTTCTGGAGCCTCAAGTCCCCAGCACTGGCCCTCCACCTACTTTTCCTGAACCCCAAGGTCCACAAACCTGGCTTCCCCAGGGATTCAGTCTGGTGGACCTCACCCCACCCTGAGCCCACAACACTGAGCAATACGCAGGCCTGACCTTTGGCCCAGACGTGGCCAACGGCCTGGCTCCATCAGTTGCCATCCAACGTGGCCACGCTGGCTGCTGGGCCTTCCCAGGCCCCCCAGTCTCGGGCTCTGGGCCCACCAAAGCAGCACAGCCTCTACCTTGGGCTGGTCGCCGCCTGGCCTGCTCCTGCCCCGTGGCCCCAGCCCCACTTGGGGGGTGGCAGCAGAGAGCCATCCAGCCTGCAAACAGGGCCGGATAGGGCCCCAACACTGCCCCCTGCTGTCCCTGTCCCCACTACCCAGGCTGCGCTCTGCCCTGATAAGACATGCCCGGGGAGGCTGGGTGGTGTCCAGCCAGGCAAAGTGGGGACAAGCCTTCAAGGTTCAGCCGCCTGGGCCATGCCACTGGGGGGCCGAAGGGCACAACGGTCCTGGGACAACTGTCTCTTTCCCAGGGACAGCATGGAGGTCCAGCTGGCAGGACCAGGAGTGGGGGGCGGGTAGAGAGGCTGGGGTGGGGGTCCGGATGGGTCAGGCCCTGCTGAAGTTTGAATCTCCACGCAGGCTGGAGCAGTGGCCCAAGCAGCTGCTGAGGGGCCTGGGACCCGCAAGTATCCCCAGGCCCAGCCCCCGCCGCCCCCGCCGCCCCCGCCGCCCCCACAGACTGAAGGGGAGCGGGGGGAGAGGCTGCTGGAGCTGCACGGCTCCTTCAGGGAGCTGTTCACCTTCTTCTTCGCCAACGCCACCATGCACGGCGCAACCCGCCTGGTCTGCTCCAGCCAGAACCGTCTGAAGGCGGCGTCCTGGGGGCTGCTGTTCCTGGGCGCCCTGGGCGCCCTCTACTGGCAGTTCGGGCTCCTCTTCGGGCAGTACTGGCGCCACCCCGTCATCCTGACCATGTCCGTGCACTCAGATCGGAAGCTCTTCCCCTCTGTCACTCTGTGCGACCTGAACCCACACCGGTGAGGGCAGGCTGGGGGCGGGGCCGGGGCTCCTGACCCCTCACCCCTGCAGCCAGTGACACCGCTCCAGGTGTGCCTGGGCTGCGGAGGACTCCACCTCACCCCACCCCCGCGTCAGGGACTTCTGAGACCTCTGACCCCTACCTAGGGGTGGGAGTTAAAAGAGGAGGAACAGCCCGGGCCGGGTGGTTCAGCTGGTTAGAGCGTTGCTCCCGTGCACCAGGGGCACATACCTAGGTAGGTCGCAGGCCCAATCAATGTTACTCTCTCTCTTCCTGTTGCCCTACAGTCAATAAAACCATGCTCTCAGGTGAGATTTTAAAAAGAGAGAAAGCCCTGGCTGGTGTGGCTCAGTGGACTGAGCGCTAGTCTGCAAACCACAGGGTCACTGGTTGGATCCCCAGTCAGGGCACATGCCTGGGTTGTGGGCCAGGTCCCCAGTAGAGGGTGTGCGAGAGGCAACCACACATTAAATTTTCTCTTTCTGTCTCTACTGCCCACTCTCTGAAAAATAAATAAATAAAATCTTTTAAAAAATGAAAATATAAAAACGAGAGAGAGAAAAGGAAGAGCCAGGTGAAGCTTGGAGTGATTCCCAGGGGACCGATGGCGGTGTCCCCCCGCCCTGCCGCGCCCCAGGCTGGCTCTGACGCAGCTCACCTGTCCCTCGAAGGCCCAGACTGGCGCGCAGACCCCTGCAGGCTCTGGACGAGTTTGCCAGCGAGAATATCTACGCTCTCTACAAGTTCAACTTCAGCGGGAGTGGGGACGCCCCCCGTGCGCAGGCGCCGGGCCCAGAGTCCGCCTTCCAGCTGGACCGCACAATCCGTCTGCAGAGGCTGAGCTACCCGGAAGGCCAGAACCAAGTGGGCTTCAGGCTGGTGAGTGTGCCCCGCGTGGCGCTGCAGTGGGCGTGGCCGCGGTGGGCGTGGGCGTGGGCGGGGCCGCTGCGGGCCTGTGCTGAGCTCACACCCCCACCCCAGTGCAACAGCACCGGCGGCGACTGCTTCTACCGAACCTACCTGTCCGGTGTGAAGGCTGTGCGCGCCTGGTACCGCTTCCACTACGTCAACATCCTGGCCGCGCTGCCCGTAGACCGAGAGGACGGCCCCCGCGGCCACGGCGACCACGGCGACCACTTTGTCTTCTCTTGCCGCTACGACAGTCAGGACTGCCAGGCCCGGTGAGTGGGGGCGGGGCTGCAGCTGCTTCCCTCCACCCCACCCACCGGGCCTGGGTGCCATAGACCCGGACAGCAACAAACAGCTCCCCAGGGAGATAAGGTGGGCTGCGGCCCCAGCCATATGCCCTGGCTGAGTGTGGCCCCCGGTTCCAGGCACTTCCAGACGTTCCACCACCCCATCTACGGCAGCTGCTACACCTTCAACAGCGAGTGGGCGGCACAGCGCCCCGGCATCACTCATGGTCAGTGCTGGCCAGGCGGGCTGCGGGCGGGGTGCTCCAGCCCACCAGGCCTCACCCCCAGCCTCCTGCAGGGATCAGCCTAGTGCTCAGGGCGGAGCAGCAGGACCACCTCCCGCTGCTGTCCTCGGAGGCTGGCATCAAGGTCATGGTTCACAAGCGCGACCACATCCCCTTCCTGGAGCACCGAGGCTTTAGCATCCGCCCAGGCACTGAGACCACCATCCGCATCCGAGAGGTACCAAGGCCACCCGGTGGGCGGAGGAGGGACCCCAGCCCTCAGTCCCTATGTCCCCACCCAGCCCTGGGGTCGGAGGGCAAGGCGAGGGTGGTTCAGTGGAACAGAGGCCTCGCACTCCTGGCAGGACGAAGTGCACCGGCTCGGGAGCCCCTACGGCCACTGCACGGATGGGGTGCAGGGTGTGGAAGTCCCGCTGCTGTACAACACCTCCTACACCATGCAGGTGCGCTGGCCTGGGGGGCGGGCGGGGGATGGATGGGGAGGGGCCCGGAAGGCAGACAGCTGGCAGGTAGACAGGCCCTGGGGGAGGCTCGGCTGCCCCCTGGACCCCCAGCTCCGGCCCCTGCTGTCCCTGCAGGCCTGCCTCGTCTCCTGCTTCCAGAAGTTGATGCTGGACACCTGCTCCTGCGGCTACTACTTCTACCCCCTGCCCCCTGGGGCTCAGTACTGCAGCTCTGTACGGCACCCAGCTTGGGGTGAGCCCAGCCCACTGCCCACCTGCCCACGCCCACCTGCCTGTCAACTTGCAAGCCTCTGGCCACTTCCGGGTCACTCCTAACGGGTTCTCCTTTGACCTCTCTTCCCCAGGCCACTGCTTCTACCGCCTCTATAGAGAACTAGAGACCCACCGGCTTCCTTGCACCTCACGCTGCCCCAGGCCCTGCAGGTGAGTGGAGAGCACTGGGGCCAGGGGTCCCCGCCCTGGGCACCAGGGCAGGGGTGTGACAGGGTCTGTCTCTGCTAGGGAGTCTTCATACAAGCTCTCTGCTGGGACCTCCAGGTGGCCTTCCTCCAAGTCCAGGGTGAGTGCCCAGAAGGGCTGGGGTGAGGGGTGGACAAGCATACGGGACATGTGGGGCCCACGGAGCCCGCCCTGGACCAGCCTCTGCCCCCGGGGTCCCTGCCCGTACACCAGCCAGCAGTGCCTCGAGGGCTGGGGTGAGCAGCAGACACAGGGGGCTTTCTGTGTGCAGGACTGGATCCTTGCCGAGCTGGGCAAACAGAGGCCCGGGGGCCCGAGCCCCAGGAGGGGGCACTCCACCTCCTCTGCTGGTCACGTCCTGGCCCCTCTGCCTGCCAGCCTCCCACTCCGGGGCCCCCAGGGAGGGGCCCCGCCACACAGGCCCCAGGCCCAGCCCCTCCCACCTCCGCCCAACCCCAGGAGCAACGTGGCCAAGGTGAACATCTTCTACCAGGAGCTCAACTACCGCACGGTGGATGAGACGCCTGTGTACTCGGTGAGAGGGCCAGGGCGGGGCAGCAGCTGGCCAAACACAGGGGGCGCCGCCCCTGCTCGGCCCTGCACACAGGGGTGCGCCCGTGCACGAGGCCCCTGGCGCCACTCACAGCCCCCCAACGCCCACAGGTGCCGCAGCTGCTGTCAGCCATGGGCAGCCTCTGGAGCCTGTGGTTCGGCTCGTCCGTCCTCTCCGTCCTGGAGCTGCTGGAGCTGCTGCTCGAGGCCACGGCCCTGGCCCTGCTGCTGGGCTGCCGCCGGCTCCGCCGCACACGGGGGTCCCAGCCCATGGCTGTCCACCCCAAGCCAGAGACCAACCAGTCGCCCGGTGACTACAGGCGTGATGTCCAACACCCAGGGCCCCAGCCGGCGATGCTTCCCAGGGATCTGGCAGGAGTCTCAGCCGAAGAGCTAGGTCAAGTGTGTGTCTGCCAAGACTCCTGACACTGAGCCAGCCTGAACTTAGTCTCAGCTGGGGGCTGTAGCAGCGGCAGGCTGCCCAGGGTCAGCACCAGACCAGCACCGGAGGGCCTCCCTGGCCAGCCGAGCAAAGCCTAGGGCCTAGGAAGCAGCGGCATCGGAGCCCGAGGGCTGGCAAGCAGGCCCAGGGCATGGAGCACATGAGGGTCTCTGGTCAGTACGGCCACTCTGCCCACTGGCGGCCTCACAGCTCTCAAGGAGCCCGGGCAGGGAGGAGGAGCATCCCCGCCACGCTGGATTCCCATTCCAGGTGCGACTGCCTGTGCACGTGCGATGGCAGTGAGCACGCCCATGCACATGTGTGTTGGCGTGTGTGTGCCTGCGTGTATCCATGCAAGTATGATGCCTTGGGGTGCCTCCACACAGGAGTGTGTCTGTGTTTGGTGTCATGTGTTTGCCTGTGTGTGTGGGTGTGCACAAGCATGAGACAGAGCCTTCCCCCGCTCAGGGCGGGTGGGAGGAAGAGCAAGCCCGGTCTGAGGCGCTTGGTGACCTTGGGCCGCTTTGCAATAAAACTGACAATCCCACCTGCTGCCTAGAACACGTGCCTGCCTCCCCTTCACCCTTCGAGAGTGAGCCAAAAACCTCGGGCCACATCACCACACTCCTTGGAGCCACGGACACTTGGGGCTCTGGGGGACAGGAGGATACTGAGCATGGGACACAGGGCTGGGGCTCACCCAAGGGACAAGACCAGGCCCAGCCCATCCTTGCCCATTGGCCCCCACCCTCGCTCCTACCAGGAGCCACACTCCAGGCCAGAGAGGGGCAGACGGGCCTGGGAATGGGGGCTGGGGTGTCAGGAGTCCGTGTTCACCAAAGACGCCCCCAGCCCCCCATCAGCCTCCTTTTGGGCTCTGCTGCCACCCCACCCGGCCACCCCTCAGGAAAGGCAGGGGACCCTGAGACACCCGCCCCCCAGCTGAGACCGGGGAGGGAGGTGGGGAGCCAACGACAGGCCGCAGTGTGCGTGGCAGTTTATTACTGAGTGATCCAGGGTGGGCGGGCCCGCCAGCCTGAGGTGCAGGCGCGAGGCCCCGACAGGCAGTGGGGTGGGAAGGGGGGACAGAGCTCAAGCAGGGAGAGAGGAAGGAGTTAATTCTGCTCATTAGGGGTCACAGCCAGCAGGTGAGGGACTTGGGGGGCCCGGTCAGTGCCCACTTTGCCACCCATGGAGCCTCCTTGGGCAGCCTTTGCATAGTGACCAGCCGACTGGCCTTGGCCTGATCAAGGGCCCAAGTTGGGCAGAGGCTCAGCCGCTGCCCCAAGGCTCCAAGAACAGGGGGCGCAGGAGGCATCGTGGGCCCTGGGGAGTGAGCCGAGGGGCCCAGCCTGTCCCAGGGCCCGGCCTGTGCAGTGAGCGGGCAAGTAGGGGCAGAGCTGCAGGGGCCTCCCCTCGCAGCAGACAGAGCTGGGGTCAAGGTGCTCCTCCAGAGTCCGCAGAGGAAGGAGGCGAGAGGGGGCGAGAGCGAGGCGGGTGCAGAAAGCCCACCCGGTCCGTGAGAACGCACTGAACACAGGGTGCAGAGCGCCAGAGCCCTTCACGCACCCACTCTGAGCCAAGAGCCTCTGGGGAGTCAGGGGCCTGGTCCAGGGCCCACGTGGCCAGCCACGTGGCCTCCGGACGCCCGCGTCCAGCCAGGGCTGAGGCTCCATGCCAGATGCGCCCCCCAGCACCAGAGAAGCCCAGCCTGGACGCCGGGGTCACTAAGTGAGGTACACAAGTTGTTCCCTGGATGGGCTGCCCCTTCTGCCTTGCAGGGAGCTGGTGGCCAGCCACCAGCCTCAGGGCCTCGTGCAGGTGCTCTGGGTGTGTGCAGGAGGGACCTAACTAGCAGGTCACTATCTGGGGCAATAAAAGTGGGGGCACAAGATGACACAGGCCCCTGGAACAGAGGGGCACAAGGTGGCACAGGCCCCGAGGACGGGGGCACAAGGTGACACAGAGCCTTGAGGGTAGTTTGTGACAGGAGCACCCCAGGCTCCCAAGGAGGAGTCCACTGAAGATACAGGGTCCCGCATGGGGTGAGAGGCACCAGACGGTGCAGCACCTCTGGGGAAACGCGTGGCTTCAGAAGACTCAGTGCTGGGGCCCCTCCCCCAGCCCTGCGGTGCGTGGCAGTTCCTAGGAGGGCAGAGCAGGCTGCGGGGGTGGGGCGGGCCCCTGGACTCAGGACAAGGGCCAGGTGGCCAGGTCCACCCGCCCTAGCTTTCCTCCAGGTGGAGACTGATGAACTCCTGGATGCACCTGCGGTACTGGAGCTCAGTGGGGCTGCTGCCCGCCAGGGGGCCCGGCTGGCCCGGGGGCGCCTCAGCCTCACGCATCTCCTCTGCCATGCGCGCCAGACGGAGCCTGCAGGAAGCGTAGAATGAGGGCACCCCAGGCCCACCGCCCCGCCCACACGCGGCGCCCCGCCCACACGCGAAGTGCCCCGCCCCCCCGTCGCCCCCTTCCGGCCTGTGCGCTCACAGCGTAACGATGTCAGCATTAGCCTCCTGGATTGCGATGCTCAGCGGGTCCTGCTGCTCGTGGTCCAAAGCGTGCTGGTCGGCACCTCGCTTCAAGAACAGGCAGACTTGGCTGAAGGGCAGAGGAGACGGACGAGTTGGGGCACGCCCGGGCTGTAGGGTCTCAAAATTGAGGAGGAGGAGCACCTGTGACTTACCCGGTGTGGCCCAGGAGCGTGGCATGGTGCAGGGGCGCCCGGCCCCGGCTGTCTCTTTGGTTCACGTCCGCTCCGTTTTGCAGGAGGAATTCACAGATGATCAAAGAGCCCTGGAGAACGGGGGGCGCAGATCAGACTGAGCCCAGGGATGGCCCCTCCGAGGGCCCTGGGCACCCCCTCCGGACCAAGCCCCGTCTACTGCAGTGGAGAACAGGGTCCCTGTGGACAGCTCCCAACGGGGCTGGAAGACGCCAGCGCGCACCTGCGTCTGGCCGCCCAGCGCTGCTCACCCCGATCACGGCCTGCACCAGTGGCGTCTTGCCCTCGTCCTCTGTGTCTGCCCAGTTGACCTCGGCCCCATGGGCCAGCGCCGCGGCCAGCGCGGGGAGGTCACGAGTGCGCGCTGCACGGTGTGCTAGGAGTCCCGGGTGCAGCTCGCGCACGTCTGCCAGGCCCCAGGCCTCTGCCTCTCCGTCAGCCTCGCCGCCGCTGGACTCCTCCGACTCTGCACCCTCTGCGCGGAGGGGTGGGGCAGTCAGGGGTGCTGCCCTGCTCCAGGGCAGGGGAAGGGGAGGGTGGGGAGAGGCGGAAGCAGCGGTGGGAAGTGTGCACCCACCCTCCTCAGTGACGCTGTCCACCACGGAGCTCACGCCGAGGGCCAAGACGTCCGAGCTGCCATCGGAACTACCCCCTAAGCCACTGTCGCTGCTCAGACCTGTGGGGTCCGTGGGCAGAGGGGGTCCTAAGCATCCCTTACTCCTTTCCAAACCCCAACTGTCCTCCAGAGAATGCCCCTGGGGGCAGGACCAGCCCACACTAGGGAGCAGGGGGCACCCTGCCCAGGATGGGAGAAAAGGGGAGAAAAGTCACGGACAGCACCGGCCCCCTCCCCCCACAACCACCCTCAGGCAGGTCGAGCCCCAGCAGGACAGTGGGCGTGTGCAGGCGGTAGGTGTTCAGCTTTGTCTGTGGCCAGTGCATGCTAGCAGGTCACTGCCCAGTGATTGGGTCTTGTCCAAGCCCTGGAGATGGGGCCCAGGCGGCCCAATTCACCAAGGGCAGCCTTGGCAGAAGATCCCGCAGTCAGGGTTGGCAAAGCAGCGCCCTCTGCTGTCCATGGCCACCCCATCAGCCCTGCCAATCCTGGCGGAGGCCCCTGCCACCTGCCCACACTGCCTGGGAAGGCTCCAGACACACACCTGCATGCTCACTCAGATACACGCTTCCATGTGCACACACATCCCTTGAGGGTCGCAGCCTTGACCTTCAAGTCAGTGTGACCCAAAGCCCCTCGACCCACCATCCCAGCCGTACAAGATCAGCCTCCGAGGCACCAGCTCTGAGCCTGTCCCTCCAGCAAATACTGCCCGTGCTCCCAGGTCCCCAGCAAGTGGCCATGACACTCCCCTCCCCCAGTGAGCCACGCTGGGTCCAGGGGCGGGCTTGGGAGTGGGCAGCGGGGCCGGGGCACTCGAAGCACTTACTACGAGGACCGGCAGCCGCAGCCCCTGCATCAAAATAGGAGAAGAGGGAGTCCAGCTCGTCCGGGCAGAAGAGGGAGTCCCGACGGAACCTGCGCTCCATGGCGCCTGTGCATGGGCGGGAGAACCAGGGCCATCACGCCACGCACCCCTATGAGCCCTGCCTCCTGCCCGCTCAGCCTGACCTCCCAGACCCCGGGCTTTCCGGCTCACACCCGCTGGAGCCTGTCCCCAGCCCTGTCCAGGTGAGTCGACGGCTCCCCCACCTGAGGACAGAGCAGCCACTGAGGGTAGGACAGGCTCCATCCGGACCTTGCGGCGGGTGGCAGGCGCGCGGGGGGAGCTGTGGTGGCCCCGGCACTTCAGCGCCCGCCAGCGCTGCGGGGCCTCCCGAGCTGGCGTGGAGGGCGGCTTCCGCAGGAACCTCTTTTCCACGTACTTGTCCTTGATCCAGGCCTCCTTGTCCTGCCTGGACCCAGGGGAGCGTGAGGCCACACTCAGGGACGGCACTCGCCACAACCCTCCCGCTCTCTGCCGCGCCCACCTCACCTGGGGCTGCTGGCCGCGGGCTTCCTGCTGCCCAGCCCCTCGCACTGGGCTTCGTAGATCTGGTTCACGGTGCTGTTTCCCAGCTCACACATCAGCTAGTGGAGACAGGGTGTGCGGGCCGCAGCCCCAGTTCACAGACAGCCCTGGCTTGCAGCCCCAAGCCCCGACGCCCACTGCCCGGCCGGCAGCCTGCGGTGGCCCCTCACTCACCTTCAGCAGCTCAGGCTCCCACGAGTCCAGGGTCAGGGACCGCACCTTGGAGCAGTGGACACCCAGGCTCCTAGAGGGTGGGGAGGCCGGGGTCAGCCAGAGGGGGGCTCGGCCTATCACCCCTGCCGGCCGGCCTGCCCACCTGCCCCCCCAGGGACCCACCGGTGGATGCCGGAGCACTCGATGCACAGCAGCACGCCCAGGTTGATGCTGGCCCAGCGGGGGTCCAGCTGGCCACAGTCGCCACACTGGCCGTTGCCGGCCACGCTCTGCACGCGCTGAAGCACGCTCTCGCCCTTGGCGCCGCGCTCGCGGGCGTCCGAGGCAGAGTCGATGCTGCTTGTGGAGGGGGACGCCGTGCGATCCAGCCTCTGGGGCGGGTGTGAGGGGCCGCTCAGCCCGTCAGGAGCTCCAGCCCCCGTTCCCCAGCAAGCCTCCTCCTCCTCCCAGCCAGAGGTGCCAGCCCAGGGTAGGTCCCCGAAGCAAAGCCTGAGCACGCTCGTGTGCTGGTGCACTCACGCACCCACACCCACAATGCACACACACGCAGCCTGAGCGCTGAGCACACATGCGGCGGGCGCGGGCG